AATTTCGTAAACTGTCGTATACATAGAAATTCATTAATTTACGGCAAACGGTTAAAACTTCCATGTAGTTAATTTCAGTTAAATAAATGGGATGTAGGGTATGATGATAAAATTAGTTTCACTATGATGAGTATAAGGACATCAGCTGGATGACAAGAACATTCTGAAATAAGCCATTTCAAATCGAATTAAGTTTTACAGCTGTTGCACAAGTGTATGGGTATCTGAGCTCAGCAACTAAGTGGATAACGCGATAGCGTCTGAAGTGAACAGTACTAGGTCCGAGTTCAGGAGTGAACGTTAACTTTCAGTTGGAAATACATCCATTTGACAAGTCCCGAAGAGAACGAAATGCGTATCCTGAATTCCAGCATCGATAGCATCATTTTAAACATTCTTCAGAAGCTCAACAGACTATAGAAACATCGCTGATATGATGACACACGGCTCGGTTACCATAGATGGGTTAATCATAGAAGTTTATACGAATTCTCATCAACTATTGTATCATGTATACATCGACCACATATTCACCATTCGTCAGGTTCTAGAACACAGGCATACTTATCGGCGTCCGACGATGGTGGTCTTTCTTGACTTAAAAGCAGCATTTGACTCTGTAGACCGCGAGACTCTGTGGCAGTGTCTGTCATTGAAAGGCGTACCTCAGAAGTACATAAACCTTGTGAAGGCTCTTTACTCGAACACTACTAGTCGAGTCAGGGCTTATGGCGAACTGTCATCTACTTTTGCAACCTCAAGTGGTGTCCGTCAAGGCTGCCCACTTTCTCCATTTTTGTTTAACTTCATCATAGACCTATTGATGGAAATAACACTCTCGTCGACTGAACTCTCGGGTATTGATCTCCATCCAGGAGGTCCACTTATCGACTTAGAATACGCAGATGACATAGTCCTGTTTGGTGAAGACGCTGACAAAATGCAGAGTCTTCTGGTAGCACTAAGCAACAATGCCAGAATGTTTGGGATGCGCTTCTCTCCCTCTAAATGCAAGTTGTTGCTTCAGGACTGGTCTGCGTCAACACCTGAACTAAGGATAGGGAGTGAAGTAGTCGAACGCGTTGACAACTTCACTTATCTTGGAAGTCTGATCAGCCCTAATGGGTTGGTGTCTGACGAAATCTCAGCACGGATTCGAAAAGCTCGTTTGGCTTTTGCCAACTTACGTCACCTTTGGCGGAGGCGAGATATCCGTCTATCAATAAAAGGACGAGTATACTGCGCGGCAGTTCGTTCTGTTTTAATTTACGGCAGCGAAACATGGCCCTTAAGAGTAGAAGACACCCGTAAGCTACTAGTATTTGACCACAGATGCCTTAGAAATATTGCTGGCATCTGCTGGGATCACCGGGTAAGTAATAGTGAGGTTAGACGCAGGGTATTAGGGAATGATGGTAAATCAGTTGATGAGGTTATGAATCTTCATCGACTGAGATGGTTGGGCCACGTGTTACGTATGCCTGAACACCGATTACCACGACGTGCAATGCTAGCCGGTGTAGGGGATGGTTGGAAGAAAGTTAGGGGCGGCCAAACCAAAACGTGGCATCAGTGCCTGAAGTCACTAACTTGTAGTCTGAGCCATGTTGGTAGATGCAGACTACTTGGTTGGGGTCCGCGTGACTTTCGTAACCAATGGTTGGAGACTCTTGGTGACATGGCTCAGAATCGATCACAATGGCGTCGGTGTATACACTCCCTGTCTTCCCTTAAACTAAGAGATTAAAATCACTTCATATCTTTCTTTCTACGAACTAATTCTTTCTTCCTATACTATATCCTTATTGCAATCTTTCTCCTATATATTACCACCTCTGAATTAACTACTTTTATGAATCCGGTGTTCATCTTGCTGTGCTAATGAGGTATGGCAACCTGGACCGATGCACATATGTGCCTGGTCCTACGTTGTAGCTGACTGACTGACTGACTTATACGAATTCTCATCAACTATTGTATCATGTATACATCATGCACAAAGTTTTTAAAATAATATCTTATACCTAATTTCAAATTAAGAAGAAAGGCCCAGGATAGTGGGTTTTAGAACGCTGGTTGGCGGCCTATGCTCCATTGAGAGTAACAGGCAAAAGTAAGTAAGTAATTTTAAATTAAATGATAGAAGTTACAATCGGATATCTCACAAGTTTAATATGCACTAGAAACTAAAACAGATGAACAGAAGTTTGTTAATTAAAACGATTTGCCTTACAGTTTTGAAGATACTCGTAAGCTAACTAGTATTTGACCACAGATGTCTTATAAATATTGGTGGCATCTTCTGGGGTCACAATGTAAGTAATAGTGAGGTTAGACGTAGGGTATTAGGGAATGATGGTAAATCAGTTGATGAGGTTGTGAATTTTCATCGACTGAGATGGTTGGGTCACGTGTTACGTATGCCTGAACACCGACTACCACGACGTGCAATGCTAACCGGTGTTGGAGATGGTTGAAAGAAAGTTAGGGGCGGCCAAACCAAAACGTGGCATCAGTGCTTGAAGTCATTAACTTCTAGTCTGAACCATGTTGGTAAATGCGGACTACTTGGTTGGGGTCCGTGTGACTATCGTAACCAATGGTTGGAGACTGTGGGTGACATGGCTCAGAATCAATCACAATGGCGTCGGAGTATACACTCTCTGTCTTCCCTTAAACCGTGAGATTAAAATTACTTTGTACCTTGCTTTCTATGAACTAATTCTTTCTTCCTATACTATGTCCTTATATGCAATCTTTCTTTTGCATATTACCGCCATTGAATTAACTACTTTTATGAATCCAGTGTTCATCTTGTTGCGTTAATGAGATATGGCAATTTGGATCGATGTATATATGTGTCTGGACCTACGTTGTAGCTGACTGACTGACTCCATGTTTAAAACTATTAAGCAAGTAAGCACTCATCTGGGAAGCTGTCAAATGAACTAACGAAACTTATTTGAGATTAATGATATTACGAATTTCCATAGAAACATTCAATCTGAATGTGTGCAAGCTTTTACTAGGTGAGACGTAATTCAGAAGTGTATGTTCTGTTTTCGAACCTAGTTGAGTATCTACACTAATATTACCACAAGTATTTGTGTTATCTGAATATTTAATAAGGATAAGTGAAGTAAGCTTAATATGATTGTCAACCTGATCTAATAGGGAGGGACACGATCCCAAGTTTCGCTAAACAGGTGTAATATTAAATATAACAGAGTTCAAGCGTCAGAATCTCGTAATCGATTGAAAGAAGATTCCTGAAGATTAGAGTTAAAATTTAATAGGCATTAGCGGTACATAGACGAATATCTAGGAGACACGAAATGACTCAATGGTGGTTTCAGTAAGATAACCTGATTGATATTCACGCGACTGACACTTCTTAGCTCCTTACAAAGTAGCAATCTGAATTTGTATTAATCATATCATTACTCTAAAGGTATTATCTTTAGATGGTGGCTGGAGGTAGTTGATAGGGAACCCTAGATCCGGGTTTCGTGCTACTTGGCACGAGTCAGCAAGGCGTACATGTAATCTTGAGGGAGCTGGTGCTCCATGGCGGACTCGATCTCGTGTCACCCAGCTTTACAGTCAGAGACGTTACCACTGAGCTATCCTATCGACTACCTCCGACCACCATCTAAATCTCAATACATAGTGCCCGCAGTGTCGAGTCACCTAGACTGGTGGCCACATTGCAACATGATCGATAGCATTCGATCTGCACTAAATATGGACTTGACACACATGACATTGATCACCACCCAGTGATCAGTCAATTGTGGTATTATCATTACATAGCATAGACAACAACTGGTTAAGCATGGTAAAACACCGTTTTTTTTAATAACTATATTTAATTCTTAGTCTTGGATGTAGACTTTTTAAACAGTATCATCGGCATAAGAAATTCTTAGAGTAATTACATGTAATATATCTAAAGTTGCTTATATGTGTGAAGTACTTTACTGTACAGAAAATTTAAGAGTAGGTCTTCATTCTTGAACCTGAAATCAAGCTAATTTCAATCTGATTGCGTTTCAGCCAACTGACATATTATAAGAGATCTCAACGAACAAGTGATCCGATACAAATAATATGATCCGCTAATCCTATCAAAGAAGACCAATCAGATTTTAAAACATTAGAGGATACTTCATGTGAGGACGGCCCACCAGTGAACTAGAGAAAGCTCTAAGAAGCTCAGAAACAGTCGGAGATATTCCATTTAATCATCTTTTGGAAGAATATTCCAATATCCCTACGTTGGTAAAAGCTGGAGATGATGACTAGGTGAAACATACTGGCATAATAAATCATCAGTGTGAGCGTTTCAAATGATCACCAATGATAGAAGATCAGTTTAAATGTCTTGTTTTCTATACAACTTGCAGTCACTTGAAGATGCCGATATCAGAACCAGAATTCTCAGTAAAATTAAACAATGTCCACATATAACGCTACAAGAAGTGAACTTAAAACATGACACTTCAATGATTAAAAACAGTGACGATGAGTTGAAAAAAAAACACACAACCAAAGTCAGCCAGTGACTGGACGAGAATCATTGTGTAATTATTCCGAACAATCAGCATACAGAATTGTCGTCGTCGTCATCGTATTTCGAGATTACTAGCAGAGCTTAAGAGCCATATCTAACGTTCAGTCAAAAGACATATCACTTCATGATCAATTTATATATGAATCATTAGATCATTGACAATAAATAAATGGATACTTATCTTGTCCAAAAAAAAAGAAAGAAAGAAAATGACAGAGATCATAATATACACATATCAACATAAGACACATTGAACAAAAGAAGTTATCAAGTCAACATTAGCATCTATATGCACATACATAAACGTATACACAGAGAAACAGAGGTAGGGAAGGAGATAAAGTGGTGATGGTGGTTGTGGTGATGAGGGGATTCAGAAAAAGAATCATAAATGATTTCAATTAATCTCATTTCATTATTCATTATATTACCATGAATTAATCGTATCCATTTGTTTTAAACATTTATTATAATGTGTCCAAAATAAAGCTAAATCATTTGAAGCAATTAAACGTTGACTATGGATTGGACAAAAAAAATTATTACATAACCATATAGGATCACATGTAATACCATGATGAATTGTACAATATGAACATATTGTCTCTAAATGATTCAATTGGGATTGTACATGATGAATCTATAAATAAGATAGAAAACGAAATGAATGAAAATATAAATAGAAATATAATTAGTATCAGAATGGGTTTTGTGGAGATTTTTAAAAATTTCACTGATTGAAATCATGAGTTCATTGAAGCTAGATCAACATGGAAACCCTGGACGGCCGTTGCATCCTAGTATGGGACTTCTCAACAGTGCGCATCTACGATCCCGCTCCTCGCGAGATTCGAACCAAGGACCTATCAGTCTCACTAGTGACTGACTTCAAGAGATATTCCTAGAGTTCTAGTGGGAAGTCGTTACCAGTGTAGTTCAACCAGGTCTGTTGTAAGATATCAACTCACTGAAGACAATGGTATACGGTGGCGCAACTTCGTGAATTAGTTGAAGCTAGACATTAACACCATTGGATGCCGGCTCAGTGATCTAGTTGGTTAAGCGCCTGACTGATAGGTTCTGGGTTCGAGTCTCGCGAGGGGCGGGATCGTAGATGTGCACTGCTGAGAAGTCTCATACTAGAAAGAAACGACCATCTAATGCTTCCAAGTTTTCAATAGTAGTCTAACAATGATCCGTTGATAATGTCAAGTGAAATGGATTTCACATTTTTCCAGCTAATAATTCTATTTTTACTCTTTATTCAATTTAATATAAAAGGAGTAATGAGTACGAAATTCAGTCAGTCTACAAAATAACAAGATGTCACCATAAAAGGGTGTATGACTTAGCATAGAACAACTGGATTAACTGTATATATTCATTTCTAATCACTCATATATACGATTCCAACTAAGCGATTTGTGTAAAACAACTATCTCTGAATACATTTTAATCATACTATAGAATTCCAATGACACACTTTTTTTCACTTCATCTCCATGGCTTAATCAAAGTCATAAGTCATATTGAATATCTACAATAAGACTAGTAAAATAGTTGCTTGGATACTAGTTGAAATAGTGATGTAAGTTATTTTTTCTTTTCTTTTCTCCCTCTCTCTACGAGTTAATCTTTTTGAACATTATCATGAGACAATTCATATTTTAATGAATTTATTGATTAATATTGCATAAGATTAAGGGATATCGACTAAAGCAATTGAGATCAGATCTGTTATTTTATTTTAACACATAAATATTGGTACAAGAGGGCACCAAATATATATACGCCACACCATATTTGTGTGTGTGAGCTGTAATACTGCCCGGGTGCCCAGACCGAATCAGGTGGTTTTCTTAGGGGACCACACCTCGAGCCTTTGACCTAAGGGTCTAACCCACAAAGCAGTGGAGCATCGTAAGGAGATGCAGTCCCATGGTAGCCGGTGACCAACGATTGGTTCATACGCCATTTGTTCCCTCAGGATACTGGAGCCCATGTGCACCATTGGTTTGGAATCCAGTTAAAGCGCCGGACATTCGCTTTTCGTCCTCTCATTTTCGTAGACAACACGCCGGCCACAAGAAGGCAGTGAGTAGGACTTCCCTGGCAGAGGCTGTATACCCGTGGCCGTGCGAGAGCATTTCGAGAGGGACGGCGGGCCCACCCCACTCTCAGCCATACCAGGGCATTTGGGGGCTACTAATACGTAATCTATTCTATAATGTCATCATATTTAAGTAATGAACAGATAACAATTTAAACGATTTATATAATAAAACACTTACATTACAACCAAATTTTATAGTTCCAATATTTATTAATCGTGAATTACCATCAATACAAGTTCTACAATGACCTAATTGATCAGTAAAACTAGTATTTGGAATCAATGTTTCACAACTAGGACAAATTCGTGGTGGTTGACCAACAAAAGCACGCATAACTGATGAAGGACGATAAAGATGTTTACGTTGATTTTGTGAAATTAAATCAAGCTGTGATGAATTAGGAGATAAAATAAACGATGAAGATGGTGAACCTAGATTAGTGAATTGATGTTGAGGTCTTGAAGGATAAACATGAGACGGTTCGGAAGTCAAAATATATCGATGATGTTTAGAAGTGAAGTAACGAGGAAGTTCTGATAACCTATAATACGAACAAAATAGAAAAAGTAAGGGTTAATGATGCAAAAGCAATTATTGATCACTGAAAGATTACAAGTTCTTGTCATCTTATGAGGATCTCTAATTACTCATATCACTGTTATTAACTTTTTCGTCATGAATTTATTATTTATTTATTTGAACACATAAATATTGGTAAAAAGGTGCACCAAATAAATATGCCTCCAAATGCCATAGTACAGTCGAGGATGAGGAGAGTTAGTTCTCCATCACCAAATGCTATCACATGGACACGTGTATACAGTCACTGTCAGGGGAGTTCTACTCGCTGCCTTCTCGCGACATTACTGTTATGTACGAAAGTGAGGGGTGAAAATCGAATATCTGGCGCTTTAACCGGGTTGGTGGACACGGTGAGTCCATCTGGGGGAGATGAGAAACTCCAATTGGCACATGTGTTCCAGGATCCTGAGAGAGCAAGCGGCTTACGAATCTATTGTTAGTCACCGGCTATAATAGGACTGCAACTCCTGACGTTGCTCTACTGCCTTCTGGATGAGACCTTTAGGTCGAAGGTTCCGGGGTTTAGGCAGCCGAGCAGTATCACAGCTCACATACAAATCAAATGACAAATACTACTGGAAATATTATTCTTGTTTCAATGAGCATTCATGAATTAAAATATGTTGAATAGCTCGTGTAATTTAAATGATCAATTAGGATGGATTGTGGGCAGTTGATGAATGAACAAAGAAATAAGTGGTATATGTTGTTTCATATATTCGAAAACTTTAAAGATTAGTGATTTCCGATTTAGAGTAGGGAATCGCTTCAAGTACAATCTTATAATATACAAGGATATTAGGTAGTTTATGAAAAATACAAATCTTGAAGATATTTGCGAAGAATTTCTTATAACACATGAACTAACCAATTTCGAACACGCCAACCAATAACTTGTGTCATTCTTTCAATTGGAGGTATAAATTGTTTATCCAAATAATAAGCATAATTTAAACGTGGTCCTAGGACACGACGTGATAAAGTGGATTTCCCAGTAATCCATAAAGAAGGATAAATTTCATGTACACTTCGAACACATGATAATAAAGTTTGATCAGATCGTCCAGCTGTTACATAATAAACAACACGTTCACCACGTAATGGTTCACCTCGTGGATCCATAGAAAGAAGACGTCTAGACAACACAATCGGAAAAGAAAGGTATATATATATATATATATATATATATATATATATATATATATATGTATAAAAGATTTTAAAAAAGGAGTGTAGAAGGTAAGCAAGAAAACTGAACAGACAGATAGTTTTAACTATTGGTACTTGTTGGAGATGTTAGATCCCAAGAACTCATTTGGAAAACGTCCTAATTTTGTAACTTTCTTTGTTTTCGCGCCAAAAGCGCTCTTGTCACCCTCATGTCGTATTCTCCACTTGGGAGAACGCTATTGGTTTATTGTATCTTTTAGTATACTAACTTGTAATGCTTCCCAATGACAATTTTATGCTGTATATATGCGTTTAATTTGTGCCTATCATGGTTGCTCGTACTCGTGGCTACTTGCAGGTTATATTTCCCCATTTCGAACTTGGACTTCTCTTTCTAGTTAGTGAGGCTGGGACGCATCAGAATAAATAGCTTATTGGTCTTTGGTCACAAAGTCTTTGTTCCATTCTCCGATTAGATGAACTCGTAATCGTTTCAAACATAGTCGTATTAATACCAAATAGTATTCAACAAATGTTTGAGGTAATATCAACAGTCTATAAATTTGTTTATTTAGACGGTTCGGCATTGCTTTGGCAAGTTTTGCTGACTGTTCATGCAAAAATTGGTTTGCTGGTTAACCGATTTCATTCATACTGGTAGTTGCTTTTTAGTGTTCCCGAGAGCCATTGTCATTGGGACATTGTAAGGCATGCCGCCATTGCTAATATTAACGAGTTTGACTGTCGTGTAAGCGGAATAGATCAACTTTGGCCTGTTCGTGCTGTGCATAATTGATTCACGCGATCATTGATCGGAATAACTATACATGTGATGTGAGTGTGTATATGAATGGTGCGAATGGTCCACCAGGGTGCTTGGTACCTGTGTGGTTGCGCCACAGGATTGAGCTGTATTATTCAGATTGTAGCGTTAAAGCCTGTACGGTGTCTGGTTCCTCTGCTAAACGGGGTTGAGCTGTACTGTTTGGGTTTTTGCGTGAAAGTCTGGATGGTGTCTAGTTCTCCTGAAAACCAATGTAAAATTACCCTGGCCCACAAGGGTATATTATATAACTAATAATAACTAATTATGGAAATATAAACAGGAGACTTGATCATTGACTAATCAACGGTTTAAATTGTGTTTTTTTCTTCTTTATTAACACTAAATTGTGAACAGTCATTCTGTAATACAATCACTTAATCTCAGGTTCACCATCTTTTGATGTTATAGAATCATCTTTCCAGTGTATTGTAATAGTTATACTGTTCAATTTATGGTTCCTACTATCTCCACAATCAACACAGATCTTCCATAGTCACCATCATCATCATCATCATTATCATCAGTAGACATTTGAACAAAATGAAAGGATTACAACATTATCAACAAAATTATATAAATTCTTACTTGGCAATTTGTAATGCTGGTGCAAATGTTCCCGGTTTATAAGAGGATAATCCCCAATATGGTCTAGTAATAATACATTTATAAAATGGTATTCTTCCATGTATAAGAAGATAGGCAAAATGTTGAATTTTATTTCTTAGATTATTTTCAGCAAGTTTTAATATTTTATCCAAATGTTTATAAGGTTGATGAACTAAATTGAATCATACACATAAATTAATTAAGTTAAACAGAAACAAAGAAAATTTAATAGATTCAATTGAAATTAGACCACCCTGAAAAACCTGGAAATACTCGTGAGGTAGGATGATGGTTGCCCACTGTTGAGGAGTTCCATACTAGGACGAAACGGTTGCCTAGTGCTTCCAGGTTTTTCATACTGGTCTAGCTTCAATTGACTCATGATTTCAACTATTAGAAAAATATAAAAGAAGAAATGAATTAGTTGAATATATCACTACACAATAGATACATCTTGATATGAATGACTATTCATGTGTTTCGTTCAAATATTAAAGTCATCATCAGCTGGATGGCGTAGACACATTGATAACAGCTTAAGCATATATACAATTGATTGTATTCGCACTTCAGCAAATTCTGTTTATTGTGGTTAAGAACAAAAAACGTTTAATTGAGATATGATATATACAGATAACTACCCGAAGTTGATATTTAACAATTGTAAACACTGATAGAGTTATCAGACAGGCAGCAGAACAAATTCCAATTGATGATATCAAAGTATTTCCATCGAAAGCGAATATGTGCAAAATTTCTTTTCAGTTTATGTTGTTATTAATGGAATCTCTTTAGTTACTTAAACATATAAATATTGATACAAAGGAGCACCAAATACATATGCGCAGCATAAGTCACTTCATTTTTGTGTGAGCTGTGATACTGTCTGGGTGCCCAAACCAAAGCAGGCAGTTTTCTTAGAGGGGCACACTCGGAGCCTTTGACCTAAAGGCCTAATTCACAAGGAAATAGAGCAACGTCAAGAGATTCAGTCTCATGGTAGCCGGTGACCAACAATTAGTTCATGCACCATTTGTTTGCTCAGGATGGTGGGACACACGTGCACCATTATTTTGGAATCAGAGTTTTCCAACTCCCTTAGGTGGATTCTTTATATCCACCATTCCGGTTAAAGTTTTGGATATTCGCTTTTCATCCTCTCATCTTCGTAAACAACACTCCCGCTACGGGGAGTCAATGTGTAGGACTTCCCTGGAAGTAGTCGTATGCACATGGGGTTGATTGTTTTCATCACGAACTGACATCGACTACGATACAACGCTTTATTATCCTTTTGTTTACATACTTGAGAAACCAAATGTTGATATTTGGAATAAGCGTTAGAGGGGAAGAACATCGTCTAACTTCATTAAGCACTCATGACTACTCATTGAATCCTATCGCATACTAGAATACACAATCTGACTTAGGAGCATATGTGTTTAGTATGTTTTTAAAAAAAAACTTATCCATGAACATGTATACTGTATAAAAAGCCTCCAAATGCCCTCGTACGACAAAGGGTGAGGATAGTCCGCTCTCCATCTCCAAATGCTCTCACATGGCCATATGCATGCAATCACCACCGAGGAAGTCCTACTCACTGACTCCCCGTAGCGGGAGTGTTGTTTACGAAGATGAGAGGATGAAAAGCGAATATCCAAAACTTTAACCGGAATGGTGGATATAAAGAATCCACCTAAGGGAGTTGGAAAACTCTGATTCCAAAATAATGGTGCACGTGTGTCCCACCACCCTGAGCAAACAAATGGTGTATGAACTAATTGTTGGTCACCGGCTACCATGAGACTGAATCTCTTGACGTTGCTCTATTGCCTTGTGAATTAGGCCTTTAGGTCAAAGGGTCCGAGTGTGCCCTCTAAGAAAACTGCTTGCTTTGGTTTGGGCACCCAGACAGTATCAAAGCTCACACAGAAATCGGATTATTTAGGTAGCGTATATCTGTTTTGTGAATCCTTGTACTAATGTTTATGTACTTAAATAAAATAAGATAAATGTAAATCAAACTCACAACTGCAGCTTAACTCTGAATAAATAACCCTAACCACTTTGCATTATTATTGTTAATGTCAGTCGATAACGAAAACTATATGAGATGATAAGCTCGATTCATTTGCACTAGTCCAACTCTTCAAAAAGCAATATTGAACTGTTTTATTTCATAGTAAAGAATGATTCGACATGTGACAGTTGATTATTCAACATCATGTTCATTTTCTCACCATTATGCAATATTTCCTGATTGGTTGATAGATCATTCAAGACAGTCAGTATAGTATACTTTCATTTAATGAATTGATATGAATTACATTAGATAGATCTATTACATATAAGAGATACATACCTTTATCTTCATGGAAATTCCCTTCTATATTTTTCAAACATTTTGGAATAGTGAAATGATTAAATAAAAGTTTAAAATATTCTTCAAGAACCTACAATTCAATAGAAAATGAATAATGAAATCATTCAATATAGTTAAATTATACAATGCATAATTTTTATCTAATTCATTAAGGATTCTATTAACAAGGGATAGTCCTTTTCATTAAGCAAGACTATAGAATATGAAGATCATAAGCAAAGATAGATAGTGGCTAGCAGTGAAATCCAGAAGGCAAGTTTCGTCCTATTTAGGACTCATCATGCCCCAAAATGCCCTGGTATGGCCGAGAGTAGGGAGAGTTCGCTCTCCTTCTCGAAATACTCTCACATGGCCACGCGTTTATAGGCTCTTCCAGGGAAGTCCTACTCACTGCCTTCTCGTGGCCGGCGTGTTGTTTACGAAAATGAGAGGACAAAAAGCGAATGTCCGGGACATTAACCGGATTCCAAACCAATGGTGCACATGGGCTCTAGTATCCTGAGGGAACAAATGGCGTATGAACCAATTGTTGGTCATCGGCTAACATGGGACTGCATCACCTTACAATGCTCCACTGCCTTGTGGATCAGATCTTCAGGTCAAAGACTAGGGGAGTGGCCCCCCAAGAAAACCACCTGCTTCGGTTTGGACACCCGGGCAGTATCACAGCCCTCAAACAACTCAAATGAGATTTGTGTGGTGCATATGTATTTGGTTCCTCCTTGTACCAATATCTATGTGTTAAAATAAATAAAAAATAAATAAGGACTCATCATCGTGGCTTATAAAGCTTTTGACTTCAGGCAGTATTAGGGCAGTTCGCAGAGGATGCATATATGCCAACAACAGACTAATCATTTGCAGTCCTAAATAACCACATCAGGTGAATATGCACACTTTTTTATGTCATACAAATTTCTGATTCACCTAACTAACAACTTGTAAATTTATTTTATCGACAATTCTGAACAGAAAGATTGATTTAGTTTGAACTTATGACTTTCATCTAATGACTTGCAGGCAATAGATCTAATTCTGGATAATAATTATCCATGACTATTGTACAATAGCTGTTGTTCCAGGTCTCATATGTCGTAAAAGAGTGGTGAAGATTTGTAGCTCAAGTGGATGATTTTGATGGAGTTTTATTCTCTGAGCTAGATGGTTTGGTTTTGGAGCTTTTAGCGTTCTTCTGAACGACATCATCAGCACAAACTTCAGGTAGAAGTAAAACGGTTGGATTCCACTCATTAAACTACCCTAAATAATATATAATATCCAGACCAGTAAAGTTTTTTTTCACTTATTCATTTCTTTCTCTTGCTACGATAACCAAATGTGATAATTGAGAGACGATTTACATTTGTGTCAGATTCTCAATCAGACAGAATGAACAGGGACTCGAGCATAAATATGCGTTAATCCAAGGGTCGAAATATGGCGGTAGCAATGACTGAACATTAAGAATTATATTCAAAAAGACAAAGTAAAAACGTATTAATGAAAGGATATCGGACGATAAAGAGCAAATACTATTAAAGCATACTATCTAACATCTCCAAGCACTGATTATGGTTACAATGAGGACTATAACCAGATAAACTGAATCAATTAACATGGCTCAGATCAACAGTTAATAATTTTATGAATGGATGCTATGTCCTGATTTCGCCGCATTTATAGAGCTTTCTATCGAGGTAGGTTATGGGTAGTCAGAAATTGAACTATACAGAGATCTCAACATCCAATGAAAACCTATGTAAATAATCAAATCAAATATTCACTTACTTGTCCTACAAATGGACAACTATCACGTCTTACAGTTTCAATTCCTTTTGCATCAAATACAGGTTTATTTTGTTCAACAGTTTCATAAGCATAACCAACATATCGTTTCTTTGCTTCTAATAGACATGGATAATAAATCTGAAAGTGGAGTTATTTATAGTATGTATCAAACAAAATAAAGAAAAACTCATAAATCGTGATAATTCCAGAAGAAGAAAAAATCTATGGTAGATTACACATAGAAATCAAGTATCTTTTCCCATGGATACTTCAGTCAACAAGAAGATTATTCTATGTATATAACGTTGATTGATGTATTGAAAGAATATTACCAATGACATAAATAACTAAGTGACTGTATATTGGACAATAGTCATAGTGTACATTTCTTTACGAAAACGTTATCGACAGTACGTTAACTACAGAAGCATATTTATCGACATTCAATATCGATTAGTTATTTCTAGCTAAAGGTGAAAAACATGGTTCAATTAGATGATGAAATTTACAGAATACAGAGGATTTATGAACAAACTGAACGAAAACGATGGCATTTGGGTATTATACACGTTAATTCTCAAATGATGTCTTGACTAATAGTATGTTCCGATAACCAGTTAAAGTATGAAGAATGATGTTGATGACCATGTTGGGTTATTTGATTATTCAGGGAGCGAATCCCATTTGATGATTTGCTGAGGAAATTGCGATACGGTCGAGGTTGGTCCATTTGGCATATTTATACCACGTACTGTACTAGTAAGATACTAGACTACCCATTAAACAATGATTATCATGATCAGAAGGAAAGACTAAGGAATAGACGAGTGTCCATGATGGATATTGATCATAAGTGAATTTTCAACAGCGAATTGCGACACTAGGTAAACGGTATTCGAGTAAGAAGGAAGTCTCGACGAGATCAAGTACCACGATAAACTTTTTATACACCTTGAATAAATTAACTCTTATCTAATTATTGGAGAATATAATTTATGACAGACACTTTCTTCTTCACACATAAACCTATTCTATTCAAACAAATACCTTTTCACGTATGAATGATTCACGCTTTCCACTGGATTGTGCAGTATGATAACATGAGCTGGCAAGTTGATATATCATTACGAAAATAATTTTCCAGGTAGTCTTAAACATGACCTCTTAAAATATAACAATAACATGTCCAAAAGATGCAAAACAGAGAGAGATATTACCGAAAAGCTATTACCGATAATCAGTGAAAACCCATTATTTTCGTGGGTAATATCAAACTACTAATATTTTGTGAGTAGTTAAAAAGCTGATTTAGAAAATGTCAATGTAAAGAAAAAAAACAAACCTTTTCAAGTTTTAATTTAATGGGTACCGGATTCATTGATGTTACTTCCTTGGCAATTTGATATGCAGCATCGAATGCTTCTGATTTACCATAACCTTTAAGGTGTATAAATAAACTATCTGTATCACCGTAAACTACTCGTGGTGTTGGAAGACCGTTACAATTATCTGGTAATACAATCTTGCCACTGTTAACTAATTCAATAGCATTTTCTAAAATTTCTCTGGCTTTATGCACAATACTATCACCAAGCTGAAAATTAATCAGGTAAAATAATAACAATAATAATCAAATTCCGAAAGGTTTTGATAATCTTCGTCTTCTCATTAGATTATCCAAATCAAGGAACAGTTAATGAACGACTATAATAACAATAATGTAAAAGAGGAAGGCCAAAAAGCACATTATGTCGGGAAATAGAAGCAGATATGAAAAGGATCAATAGGGACTGGAAGGAAATGGGAAGGATTGCCCAGGACAGGGTTGGATGGGGAATGCTGGTGAGCGGCCTATGCTCCTTCCTTCACGAGGAGTAACAGGCGTAAGTAAGTAAGTAACTATTTTATGATAAACAAAAGTAACAACAAGAGATATTGATTACACATAATATGGGATCTAAATTCACAGTAACACACTACTAATTCTTAGTTGACGAAGTGAATATTGATTAAAAACTCTATACAACTGACTTTTAAAAATACAAAGAAAACGTCTGTGTTGAATAGGTTACTTTTGACGGGATAAAGAAATACATGCAGATATACGTAGAAGATGGGATTGAAACCTAACGAGAAATGATGAAGGTATACGATAGATCTAGCGAAATTATCTGATTCTATATACTAAATAATCACTTGCTAATGGTTGTCCTAAGATAGAATTATACTGTGATTCCATCTAACTGTTTTCAAATCACTCGAGGATATAATCACTCATTCACTGGCTAGATAGCTTGGTAGTATGCTTAATATAGCTGTCTTCACAGGAGCAACTCGGGTAACTGATACTTTGTTCGAGTAAACATGACAGGATAATATCGATGTAAGATTAGCTGTGTAAAATGTTCATTTAACTAGTCTCACGAATTTATCATCCAAGATATTGGTTGCTACATTCGTGTTTAACTGTAGCTTAAGGAATACGGACTTTTTATATATGATGAACATCAACGTCTTTTTCCCTGTATAAAGAGAAGTGTCAAAGACATTTTTGAAATTATTCACAAGTAGATGTGAATGTCAGTAGAAATCATATGATCTCTGTGGATATCATATTTTTATTCACTAATGAATCACTCTAGTCGAGACAATCGAGTTTATCTGTAAGAAAATATAGGAAACTCAAATCAACATTGGCTTCCCTCAGAATAGTGTTAAAGAATTACGGTCAACGTTCATTGTGCCTTCAACTATACTTACTATAGAAAAAATTGATGGGACAGCTGAACTGACATTCAATAGGGATATAACTAGCGATATCCTGCATGACAGATTTGTGAGACCAATTAAAAGGATATTTCACACAGCTATTCTTACGTCCGTATTTTCCAGTCATGTCTACTGGAACAAAGGATAAGTTACTCGAGTTTACCTCTTCGATGTGCATCCACGAATTTCACCTGGGTGCATGGATTTTGATCATCATTGATCAGGCGATAGTGTAAAGTATCTTCTCACGTCAGGGGTGTTGTCTACGAAATTGAGAGGATGAAAAGCGAATGTTCGTCGCTTTAACTGGCTTCATGGATATGGACAATCCACTTATGAGAGTTGGAAAACCCTCATTCCAAACCAGGATCCTGAGTGAACAAATGGTGAATGACATTAAAGAGGAAGAATGTGTTTGTAAAATCTCAGAGAAAGAATTTGAAAAAGCTTGGACCAGATTGCCAGGCGAAACGTTGGATTTACTTCAAATTCTTTCGCTGAGATTTTACAAATACATTCTTCCTCTTTAATGTCTCACGTTAACTCGGAGTCCAAAGATTCTGAAACTATTCGTTCAAATTTAGATGAAAGTTCTTATTTATTATTCTGCAATCGCAAAAATGGTGAATGAGTCTATATTCAAGTCCATCGGATAGCATGAGACTGCATCTCCTAACGTTGCTCGATTGTTTTATGGATTAAACTTCTAAATCAAAGACTCGGGCGGTGGCACCTTAAGAAAACCGCCTGCTTCGATTTAGGCGCCTTGGTAGTATCTCAGCCCTCACACAAATTGAATCATTTGTGTGGCGCATATAGGTTTTATGCCTCCTTGTACCAATGTTCATGTGTTTAAATAAATAAATAACATTTCATAGATTTTCTTCAACTAGCCAACATAAACCAAAACTGAAAGCATAATCTAAGCTTGACTGATGAAATTAAGCCGTCAGTGAGGATTGGACAACGACTATTCAGTATTAAATGAAACAAGAAAATATGATAGCGAAGACACATTATACAACCGATTAAATGAATTGGCTGTAAAGTTACCAACAACAAAAAAAACCGACTCGACATTTTTATCTTAAAAATACTATCGAGATTAGCTTACGTCTACACACGGCATACGTCCAGAAAAACTTGCCGCAGTATAACCATATATCACATTAGCCATTAATTTTAATCCAAGCTGTCGTGCATCTAATAATCTGTTCAAACACTATAAATATGTTGTTAGGTAGGGAAAAACAGAGTAAGCATGAATAAGGAACAAGATAAAGAAAGCACAATTCTAAATATAATAAGAATAAACAGTTGTTTGAGAAACCGAAAGATGCTGGAATCAGTGTTGTATGATTGAATGCTGTAAAGCTGGAATAAATAAGTAGTTGGTTGCCAAAGTGATAACGATGGTTAACTTCAATTAATGGTATTTATTAAGAAGAATAACTGTTAGAGCCTTTGTTTAGTGAATAAAACTAGTAGGTCCTGGGTTCGAATCCCGCAAGGCGGGGTTGTTGATGCGCACTGCTCAGCAGTCCCGCAATAGGACGAAACGGCTACCCAGTGCTTCCAGGTTTTCCATGGTGGTCTAGCTTCAACTGACTCATGATCTTAACTACTGAAATTAATATTTGTTGTGTTTTTTTAGACAATGTTATATTTGTCTTAATTTAAGTGTTGTATCGTTTAGTTTGCACCGAGCCCAGAGAATCAGTTTCAGTATTTCAAAATCGTGTCCTATTTGTAAATAGTTAACTGATCCAATTATTGACATTTTGCATAATGGACAATTAACAAGTCCATTATCAGACTTTCTTCTCAAAACAACAGTCGTAATAACTCACAATGCAACTTTGATGCCCCATTTGGTTTTTTAGAAAATCTAATATCATCTGATCAGAATATCAATGAACAAATGGTACTGATAAGTCTTCTAACTAAACGCTTGAATCGATTTCGTAAACTCTTCTAATAACTCCAGTCTAAATCTACACGAAAACTTAGTCTATGTAAGGAAAGTCGAGTGTATGTATAGTACTACAGATGGCCTTGGGCTTCTGGAAGGTTCTTGAGTCATACTAAACATAGTAGCAGATAGGTAATCAATCAATCATAAACATGACACGTGATTCTCCACTTTCTAGACACTTCTAAGTAACTCCTATTCAAAGGTGACTGGATGAAACGTTTTCCAGAGTTTTTAAGACCCCTATGGACTTTTTCAAGAAATACTTTGGATCTGTTCCCAACAGTTACTATTATAGGGACTTTGATACGACTAACTACTACTACTACTGACATTTAGTTTACTTAGAGATCAGTTCAACAGTCTATAAATTTCGTCATATGTATGTGCATCTACGCTGACTTTAAGAGGCAGACTGGAAAACTATGTCCAACATTTTAGTTCATTCCAAAGAGAAGATCTAATTAAGTAATCGAAAACAACTTCGGTTATCAAGATTTTAAGTTATATTATGAATGTCATGGATTAAAGGGATGAATTCGTAATACAATCAAGGTTTGATATAATTAAACAAACAGATATCTAAACTAATCAATAAATTCAAATTTGTCAGTTTCCAAGGATTAGTCGCTACAACAATCAACTGCTTCATGATACATTGAGTCAATCAGAAATCAGCTGAATGATAAATCCACGTGACTAACCAAGAAATAGTATAAGACATACACCATTAATGGTACATTTCCATTTTTGTTTAATCAATAAACTTCCTTCTCAATCTCAAACGTTTTATTCAAGTAGCCAATTGAGTTCCCGTATTGGAAGATTGAACACTAGCATCGAAAAAACCTTTCTTTAATATCAATTCGATGGTTGTCAGTCAGTAACAACGTAGAACTTCGTACGTACGTACATCAGTCCCAGTTGCCACACCACATTAACACAGAGATTCAGTTGTCGATTCAAATCCCGTAGTGGTAGAGGTGGCAAGAGTATAAGCGGTAATCGGAAAGATTAGGGTTTGGAGATGTTATTTAAAGAGTATAATCCAGTGAAATAAATTTGGAAAGAGAAAAAAAGAGACAAGGAGGATTCAGGAGATTAGAATTTGGGAGAACACAAAGAGTGGATGCACCTGCTCACACCATTGCAAACGATTTTGAGCCATGTCATTCAGGGTCTCTAACCATTGGATGCTATCATCTCGCGGTCCCCAACCATGTAGTCTACACCTACCAGCATGGCTCAGTCCACTTTTATCGCTGATTTGTGTATTTTCTAATCCTATTGGATTATCTGGAAGTATCTATGTGATGATTATCATCTTTTCTTGACATGAATCAATATTTCAAGACAAGATTCACCAATTAAGAATCAATCAGAACACAATTTGTAGACAACATTCTGTTTACAAGTTAAAGGAATCTCCCAAATCTTATTCAAACTAAAGTATTTCGAAAAGATCCGATTGTTTTTAATTCCCTTTAGCTATAAGACTCATTGAAGTTCTTCTATTGTACTACAGTACTAAACGACGACATTTATTATAATCAGGAAGGAGTTTTGTGGATATCATTAGTAATCTAATAGTTGAATTCATGAGTTAACGAAAACTAAATCACTATGAAAAACCTGGACGCATTAGATGATCTTGGTTTCGAATCCCACAGGCGGGATTGTGAATGAGCACTGCTGAGGAGTCGCATACTACGATGAAACGGCCGTCCGGTTCTTCCAGGTTTTCAATGATAGTTTAGCTTCAATTGATTGATGAATTCAACTATTAAATTACATTTATTATATTTTTTTCCTGTTAAATCAAGGAACATAAAAACACACGTCTGTTCCTATAGATACTAAGTCGTCGAAAGTTCTTTAGTTTTCATACTGAAAAGTATTATCAAATTCAAAATTATTACCACTTCCTGAAGATGTTTGTCACAGTTAAAGCGCATAGGTGTTAACCTACTACTACTCTTTATGAGTTAAAATAGAGTATTGAACCATAATGAATAGTAACCATTACCTTATTTGTTTTATACAATTTGATTGAATCTTTCACCATTAAACGAGTTGTAATCAGCTGTTTTAACATGCTATCAATCAACAATAAAATATTGTTTTAATATAAATAAAAAGTACAATGACTTTAGTAAAATAATCATTATTTGTTTCTAGTTTTGTGTGTGTGGTTTGTGATACTAACCGGGTGCCCAGACAGAAGCAGGCGACTTTATTAGGTTACACCCGGAGCCTTCGACCTAAAGGTCTGACCAATAAGGCAGTGAGGCGACGTCAGAAGATGCAGTTGCACGGTAGCCAGTGATCAACGATTAGTTCATACGCTATTTGTTCGCTCAGGATTATGGAACACATGTGCACTGTTGGTTTGGAATCAGGTTTTTTTTACTCCCCTAGGTGAATCCTCTATGTCCACCAACCCGGTTAAAGCGTTGGACATTTACTACTCGTCCTCTCAATTTCGCAAACAACACCCCCGTCACGAGAAGTCAATGAGTAGGACTTCCCTGGTGGTGATTGTATGCATGTGGCCATGTGAGAGCATTTCGAGAGAGAGAGAGAGAGAGAGAGAGCTGACTCTTCCCACTCTCGGCCATATCAGAGCATTTGGGGGCAAAATAATCATTCACACTTTCTTTTTTTATGATTTAATAAAAATACTTTGTGTCGTTCATAGTAGAATTGAAAAAATAAGAAAATAACTCGAGAACTAACGATAGAAACCCATAATGTATGTGTGTGTGTCATTGAACACGATAGCGAAGAGCTAAATGTACCATTTGACTCTTTAACATTATTTACAATTGTGTTAACCTAATCCAGTTATTTGCCATTGATTGACGATTGAACAGTGACCAATATCATGTATATTGAGTTATACTTAATGCTCAGTGGTAACACATCTTTGACTGTAAAATTGGATGACACAGGATAGAAACTGAAAAGAAATATCAATTTCTTCAAGATTACAGGCACAACTTGTTGGTGAGAAACAAAGGGCAGAAAACCTAAATTCAAAATTTCCTGTCAACTATTTCTGAATTACCTTGTGAATTCGGTTATAACTTTAATTATTCTGAAGAAATGGTTTACACTAAGCGACGAAACATCGAAATATGTGACTTCTACTCATTGAAACATCATATATTATTATTATTTGTAACTATAGATCTAGTGAGAAGAAGTGACCAGTAAAGTTCAACCAGCTCAGTGGTAACACATCTTTGACTGTAAAATTGGATGACACAGGATAGAAACTGAAAAGAAATATCAATTTCTTCAAGATTACAGGCACAACTTGTTGATGAGAAACAAAGGGCAGAAAACCTAAATTCAAAATTTCCTGTCAGCTATTTCTGAATTACCTTGTGAATTCGGTTATAACTTTAATTATTCTGAAGAAATGGTTTACACTAAGCGACGAAACATCGAAATATGTGACTTCTACTCATTGAAACATCATATATTATTATTATTTGTAACTATAGATCTAGTGAGAAGAAGTGACCAGTAAAGTTCAACCAGGTCAGTTGTGACATAGTAACTCACTGAAGACAATGGTAGACGGTGAACATTAACCCTATTGTATGTAATAATAATATGTTTATAATTCTTTTGTAAATGACCGAATTGTTTCTAGCTACAATTGATTTATCTGTAAAAGATGATCAATGTAGTCGAAGGGGTAATCACAAATTTGAAATCAATAGACTTTAAATACACCACCTATGAGAACTAAGTATTCTTAACTGGTATATCAGATTCACTTTATAATGATATATGAATTAAGTTTCATATTTCTCAGTGATACAACAGATAAACAAAACTTTATTAATAATGAATGAAATTTAATTGTCAAGACTAAACGTTCGAATGATAGTTTATGAAGCTTCATTTCAATAGATTAATTCTTTTTCAATATTATCGGTGGATAACTGTCTTACACCTGACACAGTTGGATGCTATTCTAGTGGTCTAACGCTTATACTCTCGTTGTAAGGCACAGATTATCGATGGAATTATGTGAACATGTATAGATAAGGTGTCCTATACTAATTGAACGATGGTATTAACAGAATATACATCTTATCAATTCGAGCAAACTTATGTAAACCCTTCAAAATCCTCTATAATTATCTATCTTACTTATTTCCAGACTTCAATTAATTACTGCCTTACCCATCCCCCACCCTATCTTCTTGAATCCCATCTCCAAATGACCTCAAATCTGTTTTTACACAGATAGATAGATATATATAAAATCATTGTCGATAATCCTTGTTACTCTAAATCTTTCTATCATCAATGTCAATTATTTCACATTATATGATGCTTCAATATTACTTGTTAATACATATTAATTGTTGTAAGTGGCTGATGCAAAACCACAAAATACAACGAAATCACAATTGATTGATCACTGGATGGTGATCCATGTCATGTATGTCAAGTCCTTCTTAATGCAGATTGAATGATCGATAGCATTATGATTACATCTCAGTCCTACAGGAGGTTGGTCGCGGCTCGGATAACCCAGTGGCAATGTTTCTGACTGTGAAGCTGGTTGATACGGATCGAATCCGTCAGGCAGCATCAGTTCCCTAAAGATTATAGGTACACCTTGCTGACGAGTGAGAAGTAGCATGAAACCCGGGTCCAGAGTTTCCTGTTGACTACCTCCAACCACCATCTTATCATAATGAAATCATATTATTATTCTGCCTCAATTATTATTAATTCTTAAATCGATAATCCATATAAAAATCCAATATACATCTTACCGTGGTAGAATTCCTTCCCTTATTGATTTTTTCACAAATACAACTCCATTTGGTGATATATTAACTTCTCGACCGATTCTCTACATTCGAACAATGTGTATATACATAAATCAGAAAAACTTTATATCATATGAAGTATATAAGTCTAATAGAGAATCAATTAATCTAACAAATTTATTCAGATAATTTTGAGTACTCAAATGATTGTTTATAAAGCACAATATCTAGAGAACTTCTTTATGCTACCATGTTGGTCAAATTAGTCAAGTTCAAATACGTGACAGATTAGATTTGTTTAACTTTAACATATAAGTGTTAGAAGATCAGGTTCATCAATGAGTAATATCGACTGCAGAGACGATTGAAATCAAGGAGTTATATTGTCTTCATTGAAGATCTCTTCATTTGTGAGATTTACATATTTCAATTACATTAATTAAGAGTGATGAGTATTCACTTGTGAAATTTCATTCTTGAATATCAACAATGAGATAATACAAACCCTTACAGATAAAAGGATGGAGAATATTTGTAGCTTAGGTTTAGGATGTTGTACATAATAGCAGTCTCTGACTAGCATGGTTTTGTTGTGAAAATTGCATTGTTCTTTTGGGCCCCCAAATACCGTAGTACAGCCGAGAGTGGGAGAGCCAGACCTCCTTCTCCACGCGTATACAGCCATTGCCAGGGAAGTCCTACTCACGGCCTTCTCGCGGCATTACTGTTGCTTACGAAATTGAAAGGACGAGAAACGAATCTCCAGAGATTAAAACAGGTTGGTGGACACGGAGGATTTGCCTAATAGAGTTGAAAAAGCATCATTTCAAACCAATGGTGAACATGGGCTCCAGGATCCTGAGCGAGAAAATGGCATATGAACTAATAGTTGGTCCCCGACTACCATGGGACTGCATCTCCAGTGAAATCTAATCGACTCAAATCTCCGTTTAAACAACAACAACACATTGATCTAGGAAAATCCAGCACTTCCTGGATCTTAGTTCTGGCCACAACCCATATACTCTAACAATTAGTTTTATTTAGAAGCCAGACTATAATCTTCACATGAATCACTTATCACATAATCGATAGCCTATTGTCAAGTTTGTAATGTTTAACAGGTTTCTAATGATTATGCTTATAAAATAGATATTTGGCTGTATGATTTCGTTTAGTGATGTAATTCAAATTGACGATTAAAAGTAAACGATAGGATGTTGTGAAGGTACAACTTATGATGGTTAGTATTTATCAACAATACACGTTTATAGTCTGTCTCTGGACCACTTAATATTGTTTTTATGTGATCATTATGCTAAATAGAATTTTAAGGAAATGAGATATTAGTTATCTTCCTGTTAAAATCCATCTTTGTATAAAATTTATTAAGAAGAGTCGATAAAATTTTGTCAATAAATTGTTAAGCGCTCGTGAGACAGGGTCGTGGATGCGCACTGCTGAGGAGTCCCACAATAGGACGAGACAGCCATCTAGTGCTTCCAAGCTTTCCATAGTGGTCTAGCTTCAATTGACTCATGATCTCAACTATTGAAATTACTAATAATATCCACAAAAACCTCTTTCTGATATTAATCAATTATTAACATGAATTTATAGATAAAACTTACCTTGATTAGACCAGATGGAAGTGAATGTGATAAACAACCAAGATTGAATGAAACTTCTTCACTTCATTACATAAATACAAAAAAAGAGTCAAACTACAAATGTACAATTCACAACAAAATAAACAAGCATTTTATTAAGCTTAACAAATCACAATACAGAATTCGTTTATTCCTTGCAGAACAGTTGGTAAACAATCAACTTACTGTTTAATTCTGTAGACAATCACTATGGAAATAATATTTGATGTGATTTTAAAATGGCTTCCTGAAAGTTATTCAAAATGTTGGTCAAGGTCTGCGCGATTATCATCACCAGTGGTTGGAGATTCTGGATGACATGGCTCAGAATCGACCACATTGGTATAGGTGTATACACTGTTTGTCTTCCGATAAACCATGAGATTAAAATTACTTTATATCTCTCTTTCGACGAACTAATTCTTTCTCCCTCTATCATATCCTTATATGCAATCCGTTTTTTGATATATATTACTACCATTGAGGTAACTGCTTCTATGAATTTGGTGTTCATCTTGTGGTGCTAATGAGGTGTGGCAACTTGGACCGAAGTATGGAAGAAAGCTGGATAAAACTGCCATCTATCGGTTCATCATAACTCCCTAATTAGAGTGCAGCTTAGTGGATCGAGACGCTAGCAAATATGGCCTAGAGCAGAAACTAATGTCGATCCTATTGTGACTTGCTTTTGCTTTCTTCATATAAGTGCGAGGAACTTCTTTAACCGAAAGAATCCTTTCTTGTTGTATTTTTTCAACTGAACTGGTTCTCCCATCATATACTACTCTCGTTAGTTTACTTTTCTTTACTTGTTGTTTTTAATTATATTTACCCTCCTTCCTTTGTCACTTCACAATCTCATTTTCTTATTGTGTGGCACGTATTTATTTTAGTGCCCGCTCACACCACTATTTACGTGTTTAAGTAAATAAAAGGATAGAGAAATGTTGAGCAGTGTTACAAAGTAAACTGGGAATGAGCTGACACTCATAAGTTAACTGACGGTTACTGAATTGATAGACTACATCACCAATTACTAGGTGTTGACTTAGTGGTTAGAATATTTGACATATGATCAACTAGTGACAGGTCCGAATCCAGCTAACTTCGGTCTGAACACCAGAGTAAGATCAATCGTCCTCACATCTAAAGTTTAGTCAAAATAAGAATACATAAACTGGCATTTGGTAAATGAAGAACATTAAAATTTCACGACTAAGTGATTTTAATTAGATGGTTAGCCAAGTCATTGATTTATCCCTAAATGAACATTATATATGGCAAACGAAAATTTAGACCGGTTAATAGTAACCAAAAGAACACACAAGTGATTTAAATCCTGTCGAAAATGTTAACTACAATCAGAAGTCAAATGTTATATATTTTTTTTTCAGTGATTCTCATTCATTGATAAAAATAATGAGTGAGTCCCTTACGATTAGCTGTTGCCAACACACTCACCCTTCAAGAAGGCATGAAAGACGTCCCAACAGTGTAGAATAACAATAATTATAAGCGATTATAACAGAAGGATATAATGATTGAAAGTCAAGAACAGCCACAGGACCATCAATGAAAAATACACTTTCTGGTTCTAAATTCAATGGAATCCCTTCTGGAGCAAGTTGATGAGCACGTTGTGTAACACTTGGACTAGGTAAAATAAAATTTGATTGTCTTGCAATTCGACAGAGAAGAGATTCAACTCGATACTGAAAGATAGAATCAATACGAGAGAAATTTTATGGTGTAGCACTTTTGAACTAAACTACAATACAAAAATATTACTCACCTGATTATCGTTTACTGAGTGAAAAACTAAATATCAATAACTGATTTATGTAATGTGCTATAGGTTACAGGAAATAACAATAGCGTCGTATGTTAGGCAGTTACCCACCGAAGATAATGGAAGATGACCGTGCAATATCGTGGACTAATTGGAATTAGACATTAACACCGTTGGACCCAAGGTTCGTGGTTTGGAGTTAAGCGTTCACGAAAGACCGGAGGTCCTGTGGTTTGAGTCCCACGTGTGGGACCGTGGATGCACAGTGCTGAAGAGTCCCATACTAAAACAAAATGGCTATCTAGTACTTCCAGGTTTTCAATGATGATCTAATGTTGATCAGTTCATGATCTCAATTAAAACTCAACAATCTCCACAACTCTATACTGATAACAACAAAAATGTCCAAACTATGTAGTGAACCACTTTCGTAAATTGTAAAAGTACATTTGGGTGGACAGGTTAATTCGACGATGATTTACCCGGTTCAAAGTGTGAGATATTAAAACTAAGCAACAACAAAAAACAAACAAACAGAATCTTTACATTACTATTCAAATGAAGTATACAAAATGCATAGAAAGAGAACCTACATCATCTGATTATGTAACCTATTAATTTAGAGAATCTTACTAGATACTATCGTCTTGAGATTGTATGAAGTGCTTAAATAGAATACACACAGGTACCACATGTTCCATTTACGTCTAAAATTTCCCACAGGTTTATTAGTGACTGGTCTTGTTGGGACGTTAGATCACCAGAACTCACTTGGAAAAGGTCCCAATTTAGTAATTTTATTTTGATAATTTGAATTTTTTTGTTTTCGCGCGAAGAACGGTTTTGTACTATATATATACGTTTGATTTGTGTCTGTTTTTATCGCTCGTGCTTCTGGCTTTTAGTGGAATATACTTCCCAGTTCGTACTTCAACTTCTCTCTTTAGTTAGTGGGGCTGGGATGCATCAGAATAGCTAGTTTATTGGTTTTTGGTCACCGAGTCTTTGTTCCGTTCGCAAACTAAGTGAACGCGTAATCGCTTCAAACATAACACGTCTCAACTCTTTTCTTACGAAATTTCATTATTCCGTTTATTGTCTTCTTGTAGGTCATATCTGAAAGTGTAGTATAATTAACTAATGCTTGATGTCTAAACAGCTAGGTTGTAGGTGCGAATTCATATCGTGCTATGCAGACATTCTAGTACAATTTTCTAAATATATTTTTTAAATATTTCAGTTACTTTGATTGTTGTATTGAACAGTAATTACTTATTCTGATTAAGCTCTAAGAACATCTCACGTTCTTAATAGAATTTAAACAGTAACATTATTAGTACTGTGGTGTGTGCTACTGATATTAAGAGATATAAGTAGTATATGTGATTAATCGAAAGTGAAACACCTGGCGGTAGCGGATTAAGGAGACTGAAGAAAAGAGAATGATTGATGTGCAAACGAAGGGACAATCAACTCTGAAACGATTGACTGATAATTTGCAAAAGAAGTATTTATCGTATGGTTCTCAGATTTTATCAAGATATTCTGTAATGCTGAATTATAATACATTTGGTTATCCCCACTTGTGTTCTCGTTCACTACAGTACTTTTTAAAAGACACAATTTCTTGGCATACAACAAATGATGAAAATCAAGACATACGACTTTGATCATTCATACTTTTATCGTAATTTTATGGTGTGTAATTGAGCACATTGAGTTACACATTCATAAGCAAATTAATAATTATTTATTCAACAAACCTGAGAACCACGAGATAGAACATGATAGAATTCAATGCCAAATATACGAGCAAATTCACTTGTTCGACCAATTAAATCTAAAGTATTCAATAATCTCAGATTTACAATAGAACGACGTATCCAATAGTCGATTGTGCGCCAGCTACTCGACAAAGAGAGAGAGAGAGAGAGTAAAAAAGCATCAAAAGTGCGACTGGATCATGACCAATCATCAGAAATGGTGAGCTGCTAACTTATGAAACAGTTCATCAGTAAAATGAAACAATTAATACATTTCAACTGGTCGTGACTTTAGCCAGTATACAGATATAAATCGTTATCAAGTTCCAGTTCCAATTTCTTAGCTATATATTCATAGGTAGGTAGCTAATGAGAGGTATTTTTCAAGTAACCAATGTTATTTTGTTCAATCTTCGTTTTTGGTCAAGTTTTTTTTTCGAACAAGTAGTCAATATGACAAAATGGTTAAATAAAAAGATGATTAACTGTGCTGGGCTTTATACTATTTAGTTACAAAGGTTCTAGAATAAACTTCAACACCTAGTATTTTACATCGAGTACGGTCATTTTCAACGCGTATCTCAATCGGGTGACCTAAACGCTTCGATAGGTCTAACACTAGTATAATTACCTATTTTGATGTCTATGAAACAGACATTTTAGCGTTACTGATTCAACCTGAACAGATGTGCGCTCATATATATGTTCCCTTAGTATTCAACCGTGGATTTGTACGCGTAATTATTCAAGATTATTCAGGTAACACAGTCGAGCTACATGATCATTCACGAGACAGAAGTTAACAGTAATGTGTATTTCCGATAGCACTAGTGTTATCATTAGCACCATAAAGAATATAATGAAATGGCATCTCTAAAGGAAACAGATAATGTAAAATTTGATTTGTTGATACCTTGATTGAACTTTGAAGAGTCTTATTTGGTAGATGTGCTCGTTATATGTATTTGCTTAATATAATCAAAGTTTATGTAAACTAGATGGAATGTGACTAGTAGTACAATTCAGGACACGGGTTACATCCCATTCAAAGTGGTCATCAACTCTGGGATACATATATAGTCAACTGACGAGTTTCAAACAGGACGGAACGCCCGTCTTGGATTCCACAGCCAACCATATTGCACCAATTCTATATAAACTAGATAGTGTTAAACAAAACTGATGGTTTGAGGTGATTTTTTGGGAAAAAAATACGATGAAATTAAGTCGGTAAAACACAAGTATGAAAATTAAAATTTCCAAGACTGGATTAAAAGGTACATGGTATAGAGAAGGTACTAAGAAGTATATTGTGACCACGTTACCAGGACCAAATATATTTCATTTAGAAACAAACACCTTCGAGTCAAACTTTCCCTAAATAATAAATATTTGTGAGTGTATCTGAAAAAGCTTATTAAACGTAACGAAGCTAGGGAACTGAACGTCTTGAAGCCGGATTTCTAGGTCCCGGATTATTATTCTTACTCTTGCTAAACACAGTTTTCCAGGTCTCGATATGAACCGCACGCCAATGACAAAATATGACAAGTCATTAAGACAAAAAGATGAGAGAGAAAATTAGTATACGACATATTAAATTCGAAAAGGTCAGACTTCACAAAAAAGAAATCCTCGTTCGACATCATTGTACAATTGACCTCTAATGAACAAACTAACATCGTAACAGTGTTAAACAAGAAATAGATTATCGAACACCTTATTGGTAATCGCTAATCTATGTTTGCGTTTATCTACTACTTTACAGATAATAAAATTATGAAAATGGATTATCACAACTATATATTTACATGCGAATTGTTAAATGAAATTTAGTTACCATAGACGAACCAATTAGACATACCGGTTAGCTCCATTCATATTCATGTACCATTCATTCAACTGTGCAAATGTATAACGAGGCATAAATTCCTTCAACAAATGATACACTACAGTCTCTACACTGTACTCGAATAAACTGACCTACGACATAAAACGGTAAAATTAAGAAAAAAAGAAATAAAAAAGACAAGACACATGATGGATTCACTGAAGTGTTGGGGTGAAAACCTTCTTACGTTGCTCCACTGCTTTGTGAATTAGGCTTTTGGGTTAAAGGTTCGAGGATTGGCTCCCTATGAAAACTACCTGCTTCGGTTTCGACACCCAGGTAGTATTCGAACCCTCACACAAATCGAATGATGAAGTGTGGCGCATATATTTTTGGTGCCTCCTTGTACCAATGTTTACGTGTTTAAATAAAAATAAAAACAAAAATTTTACCATAAGTCCTTTCTTGTTGACAGTTTAATTGACAAAATACACTCAGATACATAAAGTAACAGCGACAAACAAGAAAGATATCCCAAAATCTTACTTCATGCATTAAAATCCTCCAAAAACATAGAACAACACGACCGGGACAAGCGAATGGACATCCAGTACGTCCAGCAGAAGAATCACATGGCCATATGCGACGATAATTATTATTAGCGTTATTAGCATGATCCAACTGTTTGTTTGTTATTATTGTGCAATACAACGGACTGCATGGACAATTACATAGGTCATTTAGATCATTAACAAATTCTTGAGTATTAAAATGCCAAGGACTATTTCTTTCAGTGAAAATACAACTATTAATACTACTGTTTGTAGTAGCGGCAGACAATGAAGATGTTGTTGGTGGTGGCGTTTGAACTATTTTAATGCATTTAGCAATACACTGATGACAATGAGGGCAGTTTATAATGTCTGAAAAAAAATTTATACACATATACGACGGTAAAACTTAACAATGATAACTAGTGATAGAATATTGTTGTCAAACTGAATGATTGATTTTGTTCAAATAGCATTTTCAGAGCTGGGTAGTTTTAATCATGACGCTATCATCATTACCTTTCTAGATGACCTGACCAACACAAACTAAATCAGTTATATTTCAATTAATTTTGAATCATTTCGCCCAAGGGCTACAAATACTGATTATTATTGTCGTGCAGAATTCAACCTAGTACTTCACATCTACTGACACGACTCAGATTGACATTTGGTGAATTTATGGACTGATGTTGCATATTGGTTAAGCAGGCCCTAGCTTTTTCTAAGTAGTTCGGTTAAGATATTGCACTTTCCAACGGTGGTTAGGTATGTGTAACACATTTCTTGATCGAACCAATTGATGAAGGTCTATAACCTCATAAAAAAGCTTGTCCCTTTTACATTGAATTCTAAGACTAACTTCAGTATAGTTACTCGGTCGTCTTATAATGCATGATTAATGATTGAAGATTTCTGTGGTCAAGTACTGGTAATACTACAAATAGGTTAATCAGTTTGCAATATAGTGCGTCGATTACCCTATTCAATTGGTTATATCTATTTCATTTCCAATATGTTTGAACTCCACGATTTACGACGAAATAGTTCACCCATACTCCCCTGTTTTCAATAGTGAAACAACTGAGATTAATCGCTGACATTTTCGCCATTGACTATTATAAAAGTATTAAGTGTATATATATTTCCCACATCATACACTGACGTATATACCACTATACTCTCTCTCTCCTACCAATGTATATTATGAGTAGTAACAGTTATTCCTGCTTTATAGCTGTGACACATGACCAGTAAGAGTAGAGGATATTCGTAGGTTACTAGTATTTGATCAAAGGTGTCTTCGAAACATTGCTCGTATATCTTGGGACCACCGGATAAGTAACACAGTTGTTAGGAAGCGGGTACTAGGTAAGGAAGGCAAATCAATTGATGAAGTAATGAAGGCTGAGACATGTGTTACGTATGCCCAACCACCGACTGCCCCGACGTGCGATGTTCAACGATATAGTAGTAGGTTGGAAGAAAGCTAGGGGCGCCCAGACCAAAGCATGACACAAATCCATGAAGTCACTGACACGTGGACTGAATCATGTTGGTAGGTGCAGACTACCTGGTTGGGATCTGTGAGATGATAGCATCCAATGGTTAGAGACCTTGAATGGCATGGCCCATAATCGTTTGCAATGGTGGGCGCAGGTGCATCCACTCTTTGTGTTCTCCCAAATTCTAACCTGAATTCTTCATGTTCCTTTCTTTTTTTTTCTCTTTCCAAATTTATTTCACTGCATTGTATTCTTTGGATAAAATTTTCAAACCCTAATCTTTCCGATTACTGCTTAAACTCTTACCTCCTCTACCACTACGGGATTTGAATTGACAACTGCATTTTTGTGCTAATGTGGCATGGCAACTCGAACTGATGTACGTACTTACGAAGTTCTACGTTGTTACTGACTGACTGACTGATTGATGGTGATAATATGGAGTGTTTTCCAATAACACTATTATCGTAGGTTCTAAATAACCATATAAGATATTCGTTTGAAATGATATCATATAGAATTATAATAAAATATTTATACTCTTACTTATTTACACTAACCTGATGCTAAACGCGATAATTCTCTAGTAAAGGTACGTCGTCCAAGATGATTGGCACGTTCAACAAGATAACCCCATGAAAACCGTTCAATGTCATAACCAATCAATATTTCAGGGTCAAATCTAGATGGAAATTAAAGTTTTATTTAGAAAAATCAATTGAATTATAAACATTTACCAGTTAGAAAGAATTATTGATATGCATTATATTTGTAACATAGTTTACAGCAACGGATTGATCTAAGTTGGATAACCATTAAAGACCAGAGAGTATTGTGTAGTTTTTTTGTCTTGTTATGGAACTATTCAAAGGTGTATATCCATGATCCCACTGAGGATCGAAACGAAGGTACTTAAGTCTCACAAAGAATGATTAACCTCTGAGTAGTAATCTATATGTTGGCCTACTTTTACTTCATTCATTACGAGGATTTTTAATAGTATATGACATTGAGGATATCATTACTGCTCAACATTTTTTAGATGATACTTATAAGGATTGATCGTCTAATATGATATGATTCATTATATTAATGGATGATTTTGAGATCCCTCAAAAATTTGATAGACATTAGTTTGATTTTGGATAAAATGAGTTTATCGTCAACAAATGATCTGCTTCGTTGTTTAGTTCAGTTATTACATAGTGAATTTATTAAGTTTAACAGCTACATGTTTATTTATTTAAAGGACTGCCCACCTATGTATAATAACGAAAAGATCCATGTGGAGATTCTCCTGATACAGTTTGGAAATGAGATAAACCAATTGACAAGCTTGTGAACATTTATCGATTAAGATAGCAGTGAGATGTGGACTGTATGAGCATAGTCACTGTCCATTCCTAACATTCATTATGTTCAGTATTGGTTGTAGATTAACAGAACCCAAACACTATCTCATTCTTTTATAAAGACATTGATTATAACTCTAAATCAGCAAACAGTTAAAAAATAGATCAACTGGACATGGTCTTCGAAATTCTAATATTTAAGAAGTAGATAACCTAAGGACCATAATTTTTTGAGATCACGAGTCAATTGAAGCCGACCAGTATTTCCAGGTTTTCAATAGTGGTCTAGCTTCAACTGTTGAAATTACTATATTATCCACAAAGAAACCCTTCCGATATCAATCAGCAAATGTTTCAAGAGGTATTTCCTGGAGTTCTAATGAGAAGCAGTGATCAGTGGAGTGCAACAAGGTCTGTTGTGAGATAGTAACTCACTGAAGACAATGATGGATGTGTCGCTCAGTTTCGTGGATTAGTTGAAGTTAGACATTAACATCATTGGATGCCAGCCAGATCAGTGGTCTAGACGTTAAGCGCTCGCGCGTGAGACCGCCAGGTCGTGGGCTCGAATTTCGCGAGGCGGGATCATGGATGCGCACTGCTGAGGCGTTCCACAATAGGACGAAACGGCCTCCCAGTGCCCCCAGGCTTTCCATTGTCGTCTAGCTTCAATTGACTCATGATCTCAAATATTGAAATTCTGGAAATCTTCAGCGATTGCTTGATTTTAGAAATCATACTGTGATATACGCTACTTATAAAAATAGAAATAAGCAGTAGGTAGCAGGAATTGAAAGTAGAATGCTTACCATCAGAAGAGTGAAAGAAAGAAAGAGAAGAAGAAGAAGAAGAGGAAAAACAGAAAGCAATCGAAATAACAATAGGATCAGCAGAATGATAAAGTATGTAAAGGATAATTGAAGAAAGATATGCAAATGATGCATTTAATGTAAAAATCTTCATATTTATGTAAAACAATGAATTGGTTTTACCTTATCTAAGTTTTTATTCATCACGATACAACTAAATTTTATGCTTATATTAGTACTAAGCAAATCATTTCATAAATATCCCATGAAACAACTAGAAAAGACAATCAATCAATATAATCCCAAATAAAAATCAATCTTAAGTTACTGTTATAATTCTCTCTTATAACAACCCAGCTATTCCTGTTGCTTAGTATTCTTGAACACCGATTCACTCGACAACTCCCCAAATCAGAACACAGTTAAACAGCAACGAAGTTATAGGTGAAACTATATAATTTATGGACGACCTTTGAGCGACGTTCAAGTGACCATCTAATAACTAGGACCAAATGAAGGTGATAAAGCAGTTTGAAGAATAAGGATTATGATTTACAATTGATGGACAGGGTTAAGAATTCGATTTCGAGTTTTCATCACGAACTAACATCAGCTAAAATGTCAAGACGTTATTTAGCCAAATGAATAAAGAATTTCGCTCTGAAATCCAAGACGTGTTATCTTATACCTTATTCGTTCATCCACAAACTATAGTCTCGCCAAATTGTATTCCAAATAACAAGGGTAGATGGAAGTAAGAAGCGCAATAAGAGAAACGTTAGTATATTTATAGTTTTTTTTTATATGAGAAGCTTCTAGTCTTCTCCAAATATTGGCAAGCGCTGATTGACTGATTCTTATCCAATCAGCGTACGCCAACACTATCGTCGACAGAACAGTTATATGTATTTACTTCCAATGGTTGAGATCATGAGTCAGTTGAAGCTAGATCACTATGGAAAAGCTGGAAGCACTGGACGGCCCACAATAGGATGAAAAGGGCTGTCTAGTGCTTCCAGGTTTTTCATGGTGGTCTAGCTTCAACTGACTCATGATCTCAACCATTGAAATTACTATAATATCCATAAAACCCCTACTGATATTTATACTTACGTTTGAATTAAATAAACAATCCAAGATATAAGATTCCATTCAGTTGAACACCAAATGATACAAGGAATTATATGTTGTAATTTATGTCTATTATTTCCATAACCATAATTTGTTAATCCATGACAATATTTATTAAATGATTGTTTAAATAATCCGATATTTGTAGTATTAGATAATTCAGAATGAATTAAAACAAATAAATTAGTTCTATGAGTATTATCGGTTGATTCTATTGTAGATGATTGTTGTGGATACAAAAAACTAAGACAAGCAACTTGAATAGAATCAAAAGCTGGATCTGGAATTAGACCACATTTTAATAATGATTTTTTAGTTATTTTCGATTCTGTTTGATTAGATGATACAGTATGTGATTTTGTTAAACGACTAGAACAATGTAATTCTAAACTGGCTACAGTTGTATGATCCACCTGAAATTCCAATAAAAAAAAAACATTCAAAAAAAGTTGTAGAGTAGTAAAAAGATGTTTGATAATAAAAACTGATAAAGGATAACATAGTAACATCGAATGTCCGGCGCTTTAACCGGGTTGGTAGATATGGAGGATCTATCTAGGGGAGTTGGAAAACCCTCATTCCAAACCAATGGTGAACATAGGCTGCGGGATCTTGAGGGAAAAAATGGCGTACAAACTAATCGTTGGTCACCGGCTACCATGGGACTGGATCTCCTTACGTATGGTATGATACTGTCTGGTTTGCCAAGTATGTCTGAAATGCATAATTCATACAGTGGAAGCTGAGATTTGTGTTCTTTACTCACCGACAGGGCCAAACGAGAGGAACTAATTAGGACAGTAGGCTGCTCTTGCTGATTAACGTGTCAGTGGTTTGGCACAGTGCCAAGGTTGTATAAGTCGGTGTTCAGATTGGCGATCCTATCATGTGATAAAATCAAAACAGTTATCATATCTCACGTCACAACGACAATGAGATGATGATAGTAACAAGATGAAGAGTGGAAAAAATTGCAGTAGTGATGACAGTAATAAAAATTAGTCATTAATAATATGGTTTGAAAAGATGGAATGAAAAGGTATTTGCGAAGGAATACTGGAACATAACAATAAATCAAAGTGTTTTATATAATAAAACATTGACGTTAGAAGATGTAGTTTCATGGTAGCTGGTGACCAACGATTGGTTCATACACCATTTGTTCCTTCAGGATCCTGGAGCCGATGTGCACCATTCGTTTGAAATGAGGGTTTTCCAACTCTCCTAGATGGACTCTCAGTATCCACCAACACGGTTAAAGTGACGGACATTCGTTTTTTGTGCTCTTAATTTTGTAAACGACACCCTTGCATCGAGAAGTCAATGAGTAGAACTTCCCTATTAATGGCTGTATACGAGTGACTATGCGAGAGCATTTCGAGAGGGAGAGAGGACTCTCTCTACCCTCGGTCGTATCAAGGAATATTAAAAAGAGCAGCAAACAATATCAACGGTAAACAATCACTGTATCAGAATTAATACATACACAAATGTATACAATTTATCATGATTGCATACCTGAACCGATGAGAAACAACGTTGATTAGCACCTTGATATAAAACGCTAACAGAATTACCAGTTGAATGTTGTGTTGTATCAATAGATTGTTCATTATCCGGTGGATATAAAAGTGTTTGATAATCGTCATTGGTATTTTGTTCATTATTGGTCGATGATATTAGATTAACAGCTGTACACTGTAAAATATTACATAAGAGAACCATTTTATAATTAATGTATTATATAAATATATTTTAATTCTAACTAAAATTAGTACAAAATAACAAATAGTAATGATAAGAAGATAACGTCGGGAATCAGAAGCAGACATTGCCCAGGATAGAGTTCGATTGAGAATCCTGGTGGGAGGTCTATGCTCCTCCACGAGGGGTAACAGGCGTAAGTAAGTAAGTAAGTAAGAGAAAATGAATTGAACCCATTAGTTGGACATAAATTGATTACGATCATTAATGTAGCAGGTATGCTGAGGAAACCGTACAAATCTACATAGAATAAAATAGAACCAAAGGTCTAAGATGATAAGATTATTTGGTCGGCCTAAAGTCATCGTTCAAATGATCACCACCTTAACGTTTTCGACATACTGTAAATACGAATGAATTGCAAGGAACATTATTCAGTAAACAAAGATTTCGACACAGCTTGTCCCTAACATCTGGCTTATTAGATAATTCATATCTCATGATGATAAGATAGTCATTAAAACCATTATATTGCCGTTCAGTGAATACACAATTTCAACTTCAAACAATCCATGACAGTGTGACAATTATCTAACACCAATGGTAACGACTGAAATGACTGGACTCCCATGATTACAGCTTACACAGTCGTGGGTGCGCACAATTAGAGAGTACTATACCAAGTAGAAACAGTTGTTGAAGGTTCTCTAGTTCTCAATGATGTCCCGATTTGAATTAACATATGATGAATAACATCTACAGAATAAAATGATCTCCACAAAACTATTTAATTTAGAAAATGAAGTTCAAAAACAGACAGATGGTAGGTGAGTGAACTGAATACCAATATTTTTTACTGTAAACACTTTTTAAACTTTCAATGTACTGTAGAGTTGAATCGCCTAGTTTATTTATTACACTGAAAACTTGATACAAGTGATCCTGTAACTGAAGGTTAAAGAGTACGCGATTACTTACTGATAAGTAGAGACCAACTAGCGTGATCTAAGCTACTTAACGACATCTTATTTGACTGTGAGGTTGAGTTTCAAGTGTCTACAGGATCTATAAGAACTTTCATCTAAATTTGATCGAATAATTTCACAGTATTCAGGCGCCAAGTTAATGTGAAACATTAAGAAGTAAGAATGTATTTGTTAAAATCTCAGTGAATGAATATGAAGTAAATCCAACGTTTTACCTGGCAATCTCGTCCAAGCTTTTCCAATCATCTAGAGGAACTTTTATATAATATTCACGCTTGTGTCAAACAAGGGATTTTAAATGACCATCTCACAATTTTAATCAAGAACTTGAAGAAATTTAAAAAGTATTTAGACTTCGAAATACAGATATTACCTGTGGAAATAAGTCATTCGAAAGGTTGATCGGTTTATCATTTTCTGATTTTGAATCCGTACAAACGAAATCTTCCTTCACAACCTTTGACTTTTTAAAATTCTGTGATGTTTTTGATTGTTTAAGCCACTTATTTACAACCTCTAATCTAGGTGCTGGATATACTGGACGCCAAAATGGAGTAGAGGAGAGTGAAGATGATGATGTCTTTTCTGATTGAATTGTAGATCGGTGATCCATACCACTAAACGGCGATAATTGTGTTTGTGAACAAACACTTAGTTTATCTGTATATAAACTAGAAGTATATGGTGAATATGTGGTATCTTGAAAATCATGATGAAATGAAGAAAACAGAGGTTGTTGTTCAGACAAAACAACTGATGAATAATTCATTTTTGGTGTTTGTGTCTCTGAATTAGCTATCATAGTATTTTCAAGATCTGAAAATTCTTCAGGGGTGTTAAACGTCCTGATTGTTGAAAAGATGTTTCAGCTACCTCAAAATGTGATGGTAAACGTTCAAGAAGGACAACAGGATTTGATAGATTATTACTATTAGACTATAGAAAAGAAATTTGAAAAATTAAAATGTTTTCCTTCAGATGCAGTTATCACAGCAAAACATTTTCGTTAAAAGAAAAGAAGAAACTGAATCGAATCGGTTGGTCCATTACAAATCCATTGTTGTAATTTTAAAGCCAATTAGCTTTCCTGGCAGAAATATAGCATTTCAAGGCAAATAAATCTATTATGTGGATTTGTTTTCATGATGAAAATGTTAAAAGAAAAAACTGGACCTAGGGGCCCGGGCGTCGCACCTGCAATAGGTATACTTTACATGAACACCGGTAACATGCGCTTTCATGAATACATCCCGTGAGATACACATAGGAATACTCATCCCTACACATATAGTTGCTACTTTCACAACTGGTACTTCTGTTTTACCTGAACAGAATTGGTACGCAGACTTACACCTACGAACTTCATGGTACACACATAGGCATAAAGCACTAAGGGAGGGTTGATGTTCATTTCTTCCTTTCCCCTGATTCGCTATCCATTTTTATTTGATTAGGACATAGGGCAAGCTGTGTAGTTTGATACGGTGCAGGCAAGCCCGGCACGTATCCTTTGCATAGACCTATATATATATATATATATATATATATATATAATTACACAAACCGGGACTCATACAATTCATATACATATAGATAAACATAGGGGATTCCTTTACGATTTTAGTGCCTCGAGGTTTAGGTCTACGATTAATCCAGGTTAAAATAGTAGTGGATTAATCTGATCTCAGCATCCCTTCATCAATTTTTCTCATTTTCCCTGACATTTTATGACTTAGTGTGTCACTTCTTAAGAGTAAATAAACAGGTAATGAAATAAATAAATGATCAGGTTATTTATTTATTTATTTAATCAGAAGAAGTAACTTACACTAAGTCATGAAATATCAGAAATCCTAGTTTCTACTAAAAGCGTTATCAAGGAAGTATTATTATAGCCCCCAAATGCCCTGGTATGGCCGAAAGTGGGGAGAGTCCGCTCTCCCTCTCGAAATGCGCTCGCATCGCCACGCGTATATAGCCTCTTCCAGGGAAGTCCTAATCACTGCCTTCTCGTGGCGAGGGTGTTGTTTTCGAAAATGAGAGGACGAAAAGCGAATGTCCGGCACTTTAACCGGATTCCAAACCAATGGTACTCATGGGCTCCAGTATCCTAAAGGAACAAATGGCGTATGGACCAATTGTTGGTCACCGGCTAACATGGGACTGCATCACCTTACAATGCTCCACTGCCTTGTGGATCAGATCTTCAGGTCAAAGACTCGGGGAGTGGCCCCCCAAGAAAACCACCTGCTTCGGTTTGGACACCTGGGCAGTATCACAGCCCTCACACATATCGGATGAGATTTGTGTGGCGCGTATGTATTTGGTGCCTCATTGTACCAATGTTTATGTGTTAAAATAAATGAATAAACAATAAATTATATTATTACCAATATCCTACCCAATGTTCAATCTATTTGAAATTATCAAGTTTAATCTTCATAATCCTACTAATTAACGCTTCTGTGAATTTCGTTCTATGCTTTCAATGAAACGATCAAGTGATGTATAAAATCCTAAGATCAAAAAAGTAGATTTATCTAAAATACGATACTACTTATAACAAAATAAGCGAGATGCTTATAAACTTTAATTAGTGCAATATCTAAGGCGCTTCCCACTTCGGTTCGGGCACCCTGGCGGTAATCATAGCCCACACACAAATCAAGTGACTTATGTGGGGCATATGTATTCGGTGCCTCATTATACCAATATTTATGTGATCAAATAAATAAATAAACTAAGGCGCTTACTGATTCAATTGACAATCAAAGAAAAAGTTATCACTGCAATAGTTGTGTGAGAATTGTTAGCAAAAACATATGATCAAGTCGGTAATAGACAGTTGTTATGTCAGTACCACAAAATCAATCAACAATTGAAATGCAAACTAATTACATAGACAATGGGAACTGTTATGAATTTAAAGTAGCTGCTAAAAGTAGTAAGAAGCGATAATTACAATAATAAATGGATTCAACGTCATAAATTCGTGTGAATACTTATACAGTAACCATATGTTGATCTCCCAAAAACGACTGAAAGTGAAATTAGTTACTAAATATTATTAATATCAGAAGGGGTTTCGTGGAGATTATAGTAATTTCAATAGTTAAGATCATGAGTCAATTGAAGTTAGACTACCACGGTAAATCTCGAAGCACTGGACGGTCTTTTCGTTCTATTATGGAACTCATCAGCAGTGAGTATTCACGATCCTGTCTCGCGATATTCGAAACCAGGACCTATCAGTTTCGCGCGCGAGCGCTTAACCTGTAGACCACTGAGCCGGCCGGCGTCAAACGGTGTAAATTTCTAACTTCAACTAATTCACGAAATTGAGCGACACAACCATCATTGTCTTCAGTGAGTTACTATCTCACAACTGACCCGGTTGAACTGATAGGTCCTGGTTTCGAATCCCGCGAGGCGGAGTCATAGATGTGCACTGTTGAGGAGTCCCACAATAGGACGAAACGACTGTCCAGTGCATCTAGATTTACCTTGGTGGTCTAGCTTCAATTGATTCATGATCTTAACTATTGAATATTATTAAGTAATATAATGTAGTACACAAAAATGATCGGATAGGATAAATGGAATGATAAGATATACGTACGGGAAACTTTTTTTGAGAATCTTTTTAATACTACAATTGATATTATCGTTATGCTCACCTATTTAATCCTCATGTTTTCTATTAACTTCTATGTTTTACTTAGGAAAAAAACCTTATTGAGACCGACAAAATTCCAGCTTTTATTAGCTGGATGATATTTATAAGTAAGAGTAAAATTGGTGATAAAACAACTTACTACTGAATAGTTTATTACAGTAGAAGAATGACAAGTTGTTGAGTTGTTAAGATCAGTGAGTAAGTTTTCTTCAAAAACAGATTGATTTTTGTTTACAATTGAAGTTGATTTGTTCAATGAAACATGATCAGTAGAAACACTAGTATCAATATCATTCAATTGAAGGCTAGATGAACTAAATGACGATATAATTGATGTTGTTGTACAAGTACTTTGTGTATTCATAATTTGAGTAGTTGAAATGTGTTTTCTCGGTAAACGTAGACTAAGACATCGACGTTTTCTAGGACGATTTCTTTCACCTTTAGCTTTAAGTACTATTATAGTTTAATGGGAAGAGAATGTTAAGTGTCAATAGGAAAACATTTCATCGAATTACTAAGCTAATTAATAAAGCCAATTAATGAAAACCGAAAATGTTCTTATTGTAAGACACTTTTCAACAAGTAGATATCATTCTAGAAAGAAAATATGAAAACAAACAATCACAAGAAGAGTTGCAAGTGTTGACTAAAAGTTGTGGTTTTTCAGAAAACATTTTGACGAAGAAAGTTGAGCATTCTCAGAGTGAAAAATTCTGATTATCAACAAATTATTCATCCTAGTCTTTTATAGTCTTTGTCAGTGTCGTATCTTGTTATTGAGGTTCAGTACGGTCTATAATGTTACGGATCTAGGGACAGAAATGATTAAGCTAATCTATTATGATCGGTTCTCTTTGGAAGATGTTAATCTTTCTAATAAAATTTGACCATTCTTGAGATCGCCTTAGTAGTCAGATTCACAGAATCTACATTCGTAACGGATTTCAGCGATTGTTAGCGTAGAAGAATATCGAACACAGAACAAAAGCAATTCAATGTTGTACGTTTTATATGTCTTTTCTCGTAACATTCTATTGTAGTCGGGTTGAGCTCATATTTATTGTTAACTATATCGAAGTGTTCAAATATACGTTTGACATATGTGTGAGATCGATATTAAAAAAAAGTTTTTTTAAAGAACGGTTCTATTGTAGTGGACGCTACTTACAGGATTGTTTGTGAGTAGTATATAGCGGAAGGTGACATCGAAGTTGCAATAATTGTCAAATCGCGCGAAGAGTTTCAGCACATCGAGAGCGCAGTGTCAGCAGAAGACTTCGAGACCAGAAGAGAAACAGTTCGGATGACAGAACACACAGAAAGATGCACATGAACAATTGAAGACTATGTATATGTATTATGTAAATACCACGTAACTTCTCGCAACAAATATACATTCTTCCTGCCTATTGTCTTCTACACTATTATTAAGAAATATACATAACTTGGTTACAAACATCAACTTGTGAGGCACCTGTGCACCTGTATGCGTACAAAAACGAACGCTCCCTGTAATTATGACATAAAGGGTGATTACAACATACGATAGCATGAACGACAGTTGGTAGTAGTGTCTAATGTTAACAACAATTTATAAACAACCAAAATGGGGACTAAAAGCACGTAAACATTGAAACTGTTGTATTTACACGAAGATCCAAGGAATATACAAAACCGTAAACAATTTTTATAGGGGTTAACAAAAAGCAACTGCAATAATATATACGGTAAATGTTATTAGTTTATGTAAATACTTTAGTATATTACGCAATAAATAAACGTGAGTTACACCATACGCTCAAACAATATTCGAAACCCCGCCTGAAGCCCCTCTGGGCTGCTGCCAGTTCCAAGTCCGTATAAAGGAAGAGGGTTGGGTATGGGGTTAGCGACCCCTTCCCGTTAAACACTAACTCGCTAAAAAGCGATAGTATAACCAACATAGAATAAAATGAGTTGAATAGGGAAAAACAAGGACAAAAGGTAGATGGGCTTATCACTTACATTACTCCTTCTGTTGCAATATCAATACAAGGTGAATTTTTCTTAATGTACCACACTGTAAACATTATTCTTTTAAAAGTTTATTATGCAATTATTCACTTATCTAAGTAAAACAGGGACTAATTTCTGTCTATCGTGCATAGTCCAGAGTCTACTGACAATACAATTTTCAAAACTTTTTAGATTATTATTCTATGAAGTTGATTTTTAAGCAACACTCCCGATTTCAAATGGGAATTCATGATTCAGTAGATTGTATAATGAAATATATGTGAAATTAGGGATTGTTATTTTGCTTATAATAGTTTGTCTGAACATTTAAAAAGCATCAATTATATATGATTATTACAAATAGTACTGAATAACATAACTAACCAGTAGTATTTGAAGAATAAGTACTTGTACTACTACTCTGATTATCACCATCACTATCAGTGTGAAATGTATCCACGTTTCCATCAACTTGAGGTATACAATTACTGAAATGATATTATTCAAATTAAGATGAAGGACAAATAAGTAGTATGAATACATAGTAAAATATTTTATCATAATAATTATTAATATATCGCTGTGAAGTAATTACTCTATTGTCACGAGCTTAAATGGTCATAAATCTAAGTCTCTCTCATTCTCTTTCTCTTAAACTAAGTCATAAGAGTTATTAATAGTTAAATGATAATTATATTAGTTTCTGTTAAGACAAATTTCATTCGATAATATTACGTTAATTACATATGCTACGGACAATTTATTGTTCAGTATAGGGGTTATGGAGATTATTAAGTTTTTGATTGAGATCATGATCAGTACAATGGAAGATGGTCGCGCAATTTCATGGATTGGTTGAGGTTAGACATTGACACCATTAGACGCCGGCTCAGTGGTTCAGTAGGTTAGGCGCTCGCACGCGAGACTGAAGGGCCTGGGTTCGAATCCCGCGTGCGTGATCGTAAATGGGCATTTCTGAGGAGTCCCACAATAGGACGAAACGGCCGTTCAGTGCTTCCAGGTTTTTAATGGTGGTCTAACATCAATCGGTTTATGATCACAATCAAACACAATTTAATGATTTAAGATGAAATTTGACCGGAAATATGAAAAAAACTGATGGGCTTTGTGCTCGTAATAGTAATGGTGTGTGCTACTTATATCGACATAAGTAGTATATAACGCTAGTCAGGAATAGAATGTCTGGTAGCAGAAGATTGAACCAGAACAGAAAGCAGTTGGTATAGAATGCAGGAACAATAAATTCTGAGAATGGTTTTTTCTATTTTACCAAGTAACTTGGTAATCTTGTGTTAAATATAATCGGTTGTCCTCACCTGTATTCTCCTTCACTACAGTAGTGTTTCACTAGAGGCACAAACAGTCAAGTCAGATAAGAAATGATCATTTAATTAGATCTCATTTAAAGAACAAAACAAAATTATATTCAGGTCTAGCGATCGTATGCGACGAGTAACAAATTATTAGAATATGTTTAGGAAATAATTGGAAGTATTTTGAACTTATGAACTATAACTGGATAAAACATTTCCGGAAAAACCCCTTCGATATGTTTAGTGTATAAGTTATGTACCACATACCAGTAGCTATAGTATGGTTTTTGTTCTTAAAAGATGGGGAAAACATATCATGTAAGCTTACCTAATGAGCGATATTAGCGTAATAAAAGAGTAGCAAACGAAAAGGTAAAGTAGTTTAAAGATGACTCTGTTCGTTTAACAGAGATATAGCCTGAATGATTTGAGTAGCGCTAAGATAAAATGACAAAACATTTCTTTCATTCTTGCCATAAAGATTTGCGTTGTAAGCACTGATTGAACTCATGTTTATGTCGGTATTTCAATGTACTCAGAGATGGTGGATATGACTACGTAATCATTACGCTGAGACTTTATCGGTTATTTACCTGCGTACATGAACCAAGCTAACTGAGTAGTTAAAAGTCATTAGAATAATCAGTCATTCGGTTCTTTACTACTGAAATGGGTTAACAAAAAACATACTGCTAGTTAGAAGTATGTATCAACTCACTCTGACTTTGAAGTATCACTTTCAGAACTCCAAGAATCAAAAAGTATATCTGAAACACTATCAACTTGAAAGTTAGATTTCAAAATCTTCCCAGCGACATCTGGTGGAGAATTTTCTGCAGACCGACATAAAGGTGAAAGAATTATAGGAGAATCAGACAATGCACATTCATCCTGTGCATGGAAAATTTGTTCATTCATATTCTTGTTTTGTAAAGGAGTTGAATTTAAATGGAACACATCACATGATTCTTCATCATCCTCATCGATTTCATGAAGTGATTCCAAATCTTGCGTTGGGGTAAACACTTCATTAGAATGATTTATAGAGTAGAATAGATCATCACTATCCAAATAACTTCCAACAGGTTGAGACATGCACTCATCATCTTCAGTTATCTCATTTTTTGTAGCACAGAGACTTCCAACTGTTGGTTTATCTACCCCCGATTGTTGACTGCATACAAACGACAGAGCACATTGTGCTGCATTTAAAATTAAAGTTTTGTCATCACCCTGTCCTTTGTCTATACCACTGACATTGGACTGGTCGATGACTGAATTTCGACTAATCAAAGTACTGTTCAAAACCTTGAAACAATGTATAATAAATATATCAGAAATCGCTTATTTCTAATTATATACACTAATATGTTAAGCTTATGTCAATCACAATTGAATAAGAAAATCTTGATGATTTGTGTTAGCCATAACACATACTTCCTGGTGATGTCATAACGTGACAGACAGTTGAAGGGAAATACAATAGAAACGATTAGATTTTGGGCCCAACACCCAAGTTGTATAGTTGACTGCAACACAGTATAGTGACCAATGACCAGTATATCTAGAAACATTACGTCCCCATGATCTGATGGAGTTGAAGATCTGGCTATGAGAACATTACTCACACATCATACTATGAGAATTCTGAGGACAATCGTGAGGTTTGCTATCTATGGAACGTACCTTGACAGCATTAAAATTAAATATTCTCGGAAAACTTGTGTGACCAGTCTTGAGTAGGTTTGCCTTCGGCTCCATATTCATGTTATTAGGTTGATAAGACCATCAATAGTAATCCAGTTAAGTTAAAACTTTTAAAACATGGTTGAATGTGATAGAGTATAAGGAAATATATAACCTAGATAAATTGTTGACGAGTTTCAACACGTAACTTTAATTCAATGCGACTGACTGATAGATGTAGCAATCAATCGGTATCCTAAAACGTCAGCAGAGGAATAGAAACTCCAATATTAAACAAGGCGGATGTTACTAAAACTTCGTATCATAACCTTAAAGTGATTTTACTCCTTCGGTCACTTCATGTCTTTCTATTTTAATAGGTGTAAACGTAACCAGGTTACAAAATAAGAACAAACTAATGAATAAACAAATAACTCATTATTTCTTACATTGTTATCAAATATTTTGTTCTTAGCCAATTCAATAGGACTACAAATCCAATCATCATCATCATCATTAGTCAATAGTCGAGGATGCTGAATATTTGTTGCATTCAACGAAGAATGAACTTCTGCGGGATATTCTACATTATTAAGCAACTGATCCAATTGTTCGGGTGTTGGTACCCATGCATCAAATTCTTCAATTGCATTGGCTAAACGACAAAGGTCTTCTAAACCAGCTGAACTTATCGTTGTAAAACTACTAACTGATTTTGTTTTAACTAGCGGTTGCTGTAGAGTACTATTAATGGGAGACTTTAAATCAATTGATTCTTGAGTATGTTGAACAGTAGCGGACAATTGAGTATTATTAACTTCTTCGGAAGCATCCTCTTTGTAATTAATGTCCAGTTTGTCGTCATTATCGTCATAATCACAATCAAAATTATCATCATCTGTTTGACTGGATTCAAGCCAATTAGAAATGTACTCATTCGGATCAGATGAATCTGAACACAAGAAAATTTAAAACATACAAAATGATCTCTATATATTAAGCTAAGTAGAAAACTGTACACTAATGTATCTATTTGCATGTTTTTGAGTTGTTTTTGTTGTTTATTTAAAAAAAACATTAATATTGGTGCAAAGGGACACCAAATGCATACACACCACACAAGTCACTTCATTCGTATGTGGGCTGTGATACTACCCGAGTGCTCAGACCGAAGCAGGTGGTTTTCCTAGGTACCCACACTCGGAGCCTTCGGCCTAAAGGTTTGATCCATAAGGAAGTGGAGCGACGTTGGGGGATGCAGTTTCATGGAAGCCTGTGACCAACAATGGGTTCATACGCCATTTTTTCCTTCAGAATCCTGGAATCTATGTGTACCATTAGTTTGGAATCACGGTTTTCCAACTCCCCTAGGTAGATCCTCCGTACCACCAACCCGGTTGAAGCTCCGGACATTTGCATTTCGTCTTCTCAATTTCGTAAATAACAATAATACCGCGAGAAGGCAGTGGATAGGAATTTCCTGGGGTAATGGCTGTACACGCGCGGCCATGCGATAGCATTTGGAGAGGGAGAGCGAACTCTTCCCACCTTCGGCTGTACCAGGGCATTTGAGGGATTAATGAAACTCAATTACCAAGTACAGGTTTGTGATCTCGGTTTACGGTCGCATTTTATATAATGGTTACTATTACTATACAGTTGATCAAAGCCAAGTTGAGTAAAGTTCGAACTTGTGACAGAATCGTTGGAAGCCAAACACTTTGCCTCCAAGTCACCACTTTTACTTTTCATACAGATAATTGTATAAATTGAAGACATTTTTCATTAAAAATATTATTTATTATTGATTTATTGAAAATAGTATGGGACAATTCTACAGATAACCCGAATCCCATTTATTTCCGTTGAAATAATAATGATAACACTTAACAAACACATCAATCTTTCCCTTTAATTTTTCTAGTTGACTTTCCTATGCATTAGTGATCGAATTAGATGGTAGATGGTGTAAAGAAAGTCGATTCGAAAATTGACCCAAACTCGAGTATTCTCAAACTTTAATTATCATCTCTGTTTGTTAAACAAGACTATCTTCGATAGTCTAATTATTAATACCTTTTCAATAATTTTTCTTCAATGTCACTAAGTTAGTCAGTATATGTATTCATGTGATATTCGTATCATTCATAGGAGGTAGAGTAAACATCCAGTATAAAAAACGGAATGGAATTTGTAAAGGTTTGTATTCCACTAACAGAACCTTCAATCTGAGCACCTAGAAATAGAAAACTTAAAGCCACTTCAAAATCAAACACGTTGGTAGGCTAAAACCAATGGTAGTATTGTGATGTATGTGCTAATTATGCTGGCAGATATAAGTAGTATGTAGCAGCAGTAAGAAGTGAAATACCTGGCAGCATAAAACTAAAATCAAAAGAACAGGAAGGGAATCGGAACACAATTGAAATAACGACTGAATTGGTGGAGTCGTGATGCATGTGTTATAATTTTCTCTTATTACGACCCAGATATTCCGATTGCTTAGTAGTCTTGGACACCAATTTACCCGACAAGTCCCCAAATTAGAACACGATTGAACAGAGAAGAGATTATATTCCAAATAACGAGGGTAGATGGAAGTAAGGAGCATAATAAGATTTGTTAGTATAGTCACCCAAGTATTGGCTAGCGCTGATTGGATAAGAATTAGCCAATCGGCGTGCAGAAACGCAATCGTGCATGGAACATGGTTTAATGCAATCTATGTACCGCTAACAGCAAGGGACAACCGAAGGAAGATATGCAAATAATGTATTTAATGCATGATTTTCATATTTGATAAAATTACTGTGTAATTTTGCATAAAACGATGAATTGTTTTTCCCTATCTGAGTTCATGTTCATTACAGTATAAGTATATGGCAAAATGTGTTCTGCTAACCGAATTGCAAATGCAGTACCAAGTTCGTGCAGTAAAACACGATTTACTGTTTGTTCGCTAGGCGAAAAAAGTGAAGAGGTAACGGTATTTTTCTAAAGACAATGACAAACTAGTGGGTGAAAGCTTAATGTAGGATAAAGGGTTCATTTTCATATGATCATACACAAACCGATCGTTTATTGGTCACTGAGAAAGTTTCCTTTCGATCATGATCAGGACTACATATCAGTAATACTATATAGATCAGTTATTGATCGTTCTAGAGGAACTTCAAGTAACAGTAGTCAGATTTGTGATAATAAACTTTGTAATGAAAAAAAACCGATATATTGTAGGACAAATTGTATGTACCCGCATTCCAATGCATGCTGATTTTCTTATTTAAGCACCGATATCAATGGATTCACAGTTATTTCATCAAAACTATCCCACTGTTAATTCTCACGACTGAATAACTGAGTCCAGAATAATGCCGTCCAAGTACGTATGGTTTGATCATTGTGATCACATATAGGTTATACATGATGAAAGGAGTGTTGGACTTATGGGTATTCAGCAAAAACACTAACACATACAGCGAGATCCCGGAGTTATAAAACTCAAAAGAAAATTCCTAATACAATTTTCTAGGAGCACTATTTGCAAGCATAAGAATATCCAGATGTAGTGTGCCATCAGATTGTTTAGATTATAATCCGCATCCATATGAAAAGCTAATCTTATGAATACAGAAAAAATCACAAACTTATGACTAACATTTTGCCCACAAATGCCCTGGTATGGCCGATAGTGGGGTGGACCCGCCCTCCCTCTCAAAATGCTCTCACACGGCCACGCGTATACAGCCTCTGCCAGGGAAGTCTTACTCACTGCCTTCTTGTGGTGGGGTGTTGGTTACGAAATTGAGATGACGAAAAGCGAATGTCCGGCGCCTTAACCGGATCCCAAACCAATGGTGCACATGGGCTCCAGTATCGTGAGGAAACAAATGGCGTATGAACCAACTGTTGGTCACCGGCTTCCATGGGACTGCATCACCTTACGATCATCCACTGCCTTGTGGATCAGACCTTTAGGTCGAAGGCTCCGCGTGTGGCCCCCTAAGAAAACCACCTGATTCGGTCTGGGCACCTGAGTAGGATCAAAGTCCTTACACACATCGAGTGATTTATGTGGCGCATATGTATTTGGTGCCTCCTTGCACCAATGTTTATGTGTTTAAATAAATAAACAAATAAATATGGAAAAGAAACAAAAAATAACTTTAAAAAATATCCGATGAAATTTACCTGTACAGTTTATATCTTGTTGAAGTTCCAAAGATGTATATTGATCATAAAGTAAATTAGTCCATTGAGTAAGATAATGCATTTCACTTGTTGACAGATCAACTACATCACTCTCTAATAAATTGGAAGTAATAAGGATATCAAAAGAAAGATGATCAAGAAGAAAATGTTTGATGACATGATTAAAAAAATTATACTATGAACAATTAACAACATCGAAATGTGATACGCTTACGTTTAATTGGTAATAATTCATCAGGAGTAGGCATTTCAGGTAGTCTTTCATTTGTAATGTTACATTTTGATGCACGACGCATTTTCTCTTCATGCCACATAGCTTCTAGGCCAGGATTTATAGATAAATTATCTTTAAAATGTGTAATTAAAACAAAAAAATGATGTCAAATGAAGTAAAAACAATAAGAAGACTACTATATGACAACAAGGATAACAATATATCAGTAAATAATATAAGAATTCATACAAAATCTATGTACATATGTACCAACACAAGATAAGGCTTGAAAGATGAGACCATAGAATTGCGAAATATATACTATGGTAAGCGTAAACTCATTAAAGTTACTTTACATTTATATTTTCAGAACTTTCACCGGGAACAAACCTTGCAAATCTCGACGATTCAGTATGTCCCAAGCAGATATATCAACTTCTAGTTCCATACTTGTACATTTTGGAATAGAGTCTGGTGATAGAAGATATTCCCTGAATAAATAAAGAATGTTGACAAGGTTATGAACCGATAAATTAATAGCGATTAGCCTATAAAAAACTCAACCCATTATATTGTTCACTAACACACTTGATAATATAAATTCACATAATTTTGTCGGAAGTATATTTGTAACCCAAGGAAAAAAATATGCAGATACAAATTTATTTATTATGTATTTAAACACATAAACATTGGTATAAGGAGGCAGCAAAATGGATATGCACCAAATAAATCATTCAATTTGTGTGGGGGCTGGGATACTGACCGGGTGCCTAAACCGAAGCAGGTGGTTTGCGTAGGGAGCCACACCCGGAGCCTTTGACCTAAAAGTTTGATCTACAAGGCAATGGAGCATCGTAAGGAGATTCATTCGCATGGCGGTCGGTGACCAACAATTGGTTCATACACCATTTGTTCCTTCAAAATACTGGAGCCCATGTACACCATTAGTTTGGAATCAAGGTTTTCCAACTCCCCTAGGTGGACCCTCCGCGTTGGACATTCACTTTCCGTTTTCTTAATATTGTAAACAGCAATGATGCCGCGAGATGGCAGTGAGTAGAGCTTCCCTGGCAGTGGTTGTATGCACGTGACCATGTGAGAGCATTTCGAGATGGAGCGCTGGCTCTCCCCACTCTCGGCCGTACCAGGACATTTGGAGACTTTTACAAGTGACTCCCGAAAATTCATACTTTCTCTACTCATTGGAAATATGATTGCCTGATTGAGACAGAACTACTTGCAATCGACTAAAAACCCTAAAGAGGAACAACAGCCAAGTCAAAAATATCTTATTCCTATCGAATGCAGAATAAATTCTCTTGATAAACTTATTTTAATCATTTCTTCTATTAAGATATCATATTCAGGGAACCCACAATTTACTTAGCTTACATTTTATATACGATTCTTATTTCTTACGTTATTTAAAAGCATGAGAAAGAAGAATCGTAAGAGCGTTACATATAAAATTAGACTATTAATTCAACATTTTGTAAAAGTAGTCATGTGTTATTTTTTCATACGGTCCATCAAATACAGTCAACAAAGCCGAATAACTTTATGACTACATTATTTACTTTTAAAGCTGTTAAACAGTTACAAACTTTATGATTTCTAAGAGCTAAGGGGCCATCAACGCGCTTAGAATTTTCTATAACATTTATCAGGGTAGTGCTTTATAAACACAGTTTTGCTCTTAACAAGGTCAAAATGAATGGTATGTATAGGATAAATCAATAATAAGTTTAACAGTTGCTAAATGCATTTTTTATGTCTTCAGATTAAAGGTAACGCAGAAAAATAGTTTAACAACTCCCTGAATAATTATATTGTAAAAATAACCGTTTCTGGTATCGAAGTTAAGGCTATCAATGCTAATTGACAATAAGCCAATGACTAGGCAATGAACTACAACTAGCTAGTTGTTTAATTTCCTGTGCATACGACTAGTAGGAGATATCAATTGTTTCTTCAAACAATTTCTTTGTCTCTACAAGTCAGTTGCGCATTCCCAAGAGACAATTCCATATCTTGATAAATGAGATATAAAATAAGTTTATTTACATTTATCTTTGTCCAAAACAACAGTAGATGAAGTAATTTTCCATGCTTTTAATAATTCAGATATAAACAGCTTAGGACTTGGCGAAAACGTGAATCGACTCACGCTACCATACCAAATCAGTACACTAGGAGGGGGTTAACAAGACGAATAGCCGTGATAGACGTCTGTACTAGTAAAATAGACTAGACATCAAGAATATATTTCGGGAAAAAGAGATGAAATCGAAGAAAGGTGTGAACAATCAACAGTACTCAGGATTTATATATATATATAGTGAAAATGGGGTGGGGAAATTAGAATAAAAGTGCCTTACAATATGGAGGGACAAGTCTGTAGTTCTGAGTTTGTGTTACACAATTACTTGAAATTATTCATGACAGTGAACGCGAGCACATTGGAGCTGTTAGAATATTCAGACACTTAGTGACACTTGGATCAATTCCAGTTTCATTAACCACCCATCACGCAGTTATTGATTAAAGTGTGAAACACATAATTGTAGTAACTTACGGGCCGAATTTTTGGGGATTCCATATATTTTCCGAGCTCCTTACCAACGACGGAAATCCTACAGAATTTGAAGCTACAAGCTATAAATGAACCTGTACACTTACTACGGAATCTGAAATACCCTGCATAAAGCAGGTTCATACCGAACAGATTATAATCCACACAAAACTACAACCAAATAATATAAGTAATACGATGAAACCTGTAATAGGTATGGAATATGTGATTCATAAGTTTGAAAGGGGCGATTTAATACGACCCCACTCAGCAATATCTCGGAACAGACGGAAACCAAACTGGGGTCCACAAGGTAAAGCTTGATGAAAGGTTTTTTTGATTCATGATAACCGTATATCGAACTATACTGGGGTGAAATACGAAAATAACTTACAAACCAGATACCACCGCAGCGTCAAAAACTATGACATCTTTGACATTAAGAGTGCTAAGCTTTGCACGAATGGATTTTTCAAGGCTGAGAACAAACGACTGGACGAATTCGTGAATATCTGACTCCACATTTGGCAGCTCAACGAAAATGTACGGCAAAACCCCGTGTACATTGGCACATATTTTCTGGCCTGAGAAACTTGTAAAAGCACATTTAAGTTACCCGTATGTGTTGTGCCATAAACTCGAATAATCGGGATCCGATGTGAATAACATCTTGCAAACTTTGAATACCCTATATCCAGTAAATCATTTGGCAACGCAAAGTAATAATCTAGAGAGAATATCTTTATTGATAAACATCCCGGAGTCATATATGTTGCAAGATGCAAAATAACTGTAAAGTTCAACCTTCAGCAGGACTGCATCCAATTTGAAGATATGCTGTATTGAGGGTATGAAGAACCCTGTCTATACTTTCTTTTATGCTGAAGAATCTGAAAAAATAATAATAATGTAAGTCGGCAGCTCGGCGAAAAAATTAAAATGTACTGCAAATTTGCTAACAAAAAGAGATCGAAAACACTGTACATAAAAGTCTTAAATGACTTTCTTACCATATGGAAGTCAAGAACACGGGTTTTCAAGGTCGCGTTATGTAACGTGACCTTTAAACACCCGCAATCATTTTGGCTTGCCTTCAATATTCGATACAATAGGCAAATGCATAACAACCAGACGAATTGATTTGAGTTGTTCAAGTGATTATGAACAAAATAGGAGGTTTTTGTTAGCGATCTTTCGTGTCTAGGAGCAGTGGGTCATTTACATATCTAAGTAAATAACTGGGTACATGAAAGAGCATAAACAAAAGAATCACTGGCTAGTCAATGTGAAATTCTACTCCAATCCCTTTGGAATATATTGGTTTACGCCAGGAAGGTATACAGAAAGTTGCTTGGAAGTAATGTACGTAGTTATTTCTACTTCATGCAAACATCGGTACGATCAGCCATATTACGGGTAATGAAAAGCTATCGATTTCTGTAGATTCCGTGTCTGTATCACGAGTAAAGCACATACTCATATACCGAGTCAATAGCAGCAAAGGTTTCATAAGTCATATCCTAGTCAGCCAGGCTCACTCGATCAAAGTTCATCGTAAGAAAGCCGTAAATACCAGGAACTTCAAAATCGAGAGCTATAAAGTCCGTCGAACATGGGTCCAAACAACTGTTATAACTCGATGTCGAAATGCTAACATTGACAGAAGAATAGGTAAGGGAAAATTAATATACTGACACACAAATTCAGTATTTTCTGTCTCGCTAACTTATTGGTGGCTCGTGAAAGCTGGTGCGCTCTTAAGGACCAAAAGTTACCTGTAGACACATCTTACATTGGTTTCAGCAAACAAGGTTCCGCACAACCGGCTGTTATATAAGTTAAGAAATGTCGGGATTGGAGGCAATCTATTTACGTAGATAAAAGAATTCCTATTTGGGCGTCAACAAAGAGTTCGAGTGAACTCAAAATTATCTATCTGGGGAACTGTGCTTAGTGGAGTGCCCCAGGACAGCTTTTGGGCCAGTGCTATTCCTCTTGTGTGTAAATGACCTTCCCCGTCTCCTATCATCATCGGTCTTGCTATATGTTGACGATGTCAAGATATGGAGAACGATACGATGTGAGGGTGATAGCTTAGAACTCCAAAATGACCTGAAGAAATTATCTGAATGGTCTCAAACCTGGCAGTTGCCGATAAATACTTCCAAGTGTGTCGTGATGCATATCGGTCATCAAGGCACAGATACATACACGATGAATAACACTGAGCTACCTGTCGTCCAGACATATAATGACTTAGGAGTCATCGTTAGCCAAGATTTAAAGACTACTGCTTCTGGAAAGGTTCAGAGAACGGCGACTAAGCTGATTCCGGAATAGCGAAGCTTCCGTATGAAGCTCGACTGGCCAAGCTGAACCTTTTCCCGTTTTCATATCGCAGAACTAGAGGCGACTTGATTACAGTTTTCAAATTGCTTAGTGCCAAATTTGCACCTGATATGCCCTCATTTTTCTTGTCTTCCAAAACAGAGAATTTACGAGGACACTCTGAAAATGTTCGCAAGCCAAGAACAAATTACTTGTCAGCTGACTACCGACTTTCCCATCGAATCATCAACGAGTGGAACTCATTACCTCAGCACGTGGTTGAGGCTCCATCCGTCGACTCTTTCAAAAGAAAGTTGAATCAACTGAGGGACCACCATTGCGAGGACTAACACAGGCCATCGGGCCTCCTGTCCTTCCCAAACTGAAACTGAAACCACAATAGAGGACCATATTTCTTCCTTCTTGGTGACGTCCACATTTATATTCAGCAAACATTGTTTGTTTGCATTGATCGTATCGAACATGACCGGACAAAATCAACTTGTTGTTTGGTATCTGCGCTACTTTATATGTTCAAATGAACACTAAACACGTCATTCACCTTTCTGCTTTATTGGACAGGGCCTGTGTTTTCTATTTAGGCCACTCTTAACAACATGGAATTACTAGCATGGATTTTCCTGTAACAGTATTGGATTTACACTCCCCTTTACATCGTCAATGTCAATTGAACAGAAGATTATTCTGTAGTTGAGTGGACTCTTCGTAGTGGTTACTCAGAAGAAGCTTATAAGTGGAATTCGTTACTTGACTGTTGTTACCATTATCATTTAATATACAACCATGTTTCGAGTGCTGCAAATTATGCTGCCTTCCAATTCGTATTCGGTGACTTGAGTATAGTTTTACTTGTTCGAGCATTGTCGTATCCTAATAAGAACTTTTTACGGATCAACTACATTAACTGTTGACAAAAGTGATCTGAACAATAATATGATAGATATATCAAGGACTGGGGTTTAAGCGACCAGTCGCAAAATAGACTGCTTGATGCGGTATAACGCCCTAAAGACAGTGAGTGACTCATTAAAATGTTAACGCCTTAACCAGCAACACCATTATAATCGAAGTATGCTCACTCAGTCAAATCAGATGTCAGAAGTGAAAAAGTTCGAAGATATATTTTGAAGGCCTCAGCATACACTAGTTAAAAACCAAGATCATCAAATACAACACAGAAAGCGCAAAACTAGTTACGCCTGATGGATAAACTCTGTAAGAAGTGAAATCTTCTACAAACACGGAAGCACCATAACTGAACAAGGAGGATCTGATGTAGACGTAAAGGCGAGGATCGGCAAAACAAGGGCAGCATTCCCAGAGTTGAAGAACATTTGAAACTCAAAACAACTGTCAACCATTATCAGGGTCACAGTCGTCAAGATCTACTACAACTATTAATAAAAGGCACAAGCACTTATACACAAATGTCTATGTAAGATACTTAATATCCGTTGACCGGGTACCATTAGCAACAACCCACTGGGGGAGAGAACAAATTCACTTCCAGCTGGAGAAGAAATCTGGGAAAGACGTTGTAAGTAGATAGGAAATACATTGAGGAAATCATCAAACTGCATCACGCAGCAAGCGCTAACTTGGAATCCTGAAGGGAAACGAAAAAGAGGAAGGTCAAATTACACACTGCATCGTTAATTGGAAGCAGAAGTTAAAAGAATAAGTAGCCACTGGAAAGGATTGTATAGGAGAGAGTTGGATGGAGAATGCTGATGGGTGGCCTACGCATCTCCACGATGGGCAACGGGCGTAAGTATGCAAGTAAAGATACCGAATTCTTCGTCAATGTCCCTGTTCTAAACGAATCACAAGTTAAACAGATTTTAGTCAACTCAGAATCCTTATAGATCCACCGTGTGATGGCTTCTCACCTAGCCTAGCCCACTTAATCTGGAACACAAACATCAGCACCTGATATATGAATCTTCATTTATATGCATGTAGACCAGACCGCATCACATCTTAAAACAGAAAATAACAACTATACGAGATCGAGCCGAAATTGGCTGAATGCGAGGGACTGTAACTTATAAATTGGAGATAATTTAAGGATATCAAATCGTGTAACAATATCTAACAGGTCAGATGAAAGCTTGTGATACAAAGGAATAATGACGTATATAGTCTAGTTACCTACTAATTATCCTGTTAGAATATATTTCATGATAGTCCATCAATAATTCCTAACAATTACCATTCAGTTATTCTTCGTTTGATTACAGCACCAGCAAAAATGACAACGAACGTAAGACGTACGCCGTCATGGACTGCAACAGTGCGCATAACCATTCCCGCTTCCTCTTGTTTGGTTGCTTAGTTTAAGCCGCAAATGGGAATTCAGCTTATCCTCAGCCACGAATTCCCCCCCATTGAAACTTGAAGGTTTGTCAGAATCACTGTTAGAACAATATATGCGGGCAGATTTGTAGCGTGGGGTCGAGTCACGGTCGACGATGATCATCACTACAGGAAGACTACGTGCCAGTTAACCGATAATATCCCCCGTAAGGCAGTTGATGGCTGTAGTCGAGATGTATTTGTTGGCGATCTCGTGGTATCGAAAGAATACCGAGATCGTGCGAAAGGAGTACAAGTGTGGTTACTGAGCGTAACTGAATTCGTGCAAGGTCACAATCAACAGAAGGAAGATGCCTTTAGTACAGTTAAACAAACAAGTACAGTAAGACAACCCGTGGTACAATTGGTTATAATAATAATTGTTTCCATCAAACCAATCGTGTTCTCTTGATAAAAGTAGGTCACTACAGATTAATCGTAATTTACGAATAAATGTTTGGTGTCTGAACTGACATTTGGTTATCTCTTATTTGGGTTCAGTGTTTACCCTCGTGAGATTTTGGGAGATAAAATTGTTAATTTCGGGATATTTCCTCTCACAGAGTAAATTTCGGGAGAACCATGCACTGTCTACCCCGGGTTGAGGGAAAAGGTGATATTTCGATACACTGTTGCCTGTATTCGCATCAAGTCTCACTGTGGACTTTCCTCAATATCTACCACTATTTCCTCTTTTTAGTTTGCGTTGGTATCAACCGACTACACCCCAATAACAGATCACAGTAATATTTTGACGTAACACTTGGTAATATACAGTCAATATTGCGTCGTCTATATGTCAGTAATAATCATAGAACTCTTGCTTTGAGGAAGAAGAGGACCATGCTATATATGGGGGCTCCTGAAACAAGATGGAAATCAAAAGTTCATCAAATTAGTCTCGATAGGAAACCACAGTCAAATCTGAGACGTTTTTTTGCCACGGGGAAAGATGTTATCCTTGGGGCCTCTTCTGCAGTACCTCAAGACAGAACTATTTTTAGCATCTCAGTCACTTGAGGCATTAATGATGTCGACAAAAAATTGAGCCAGAAAGTATAACGTACCACTAACAAAGACCATAGTTAGGCGTAAGACCAAGATAACCTCTAGGTCGGTGCTAAAACAGTAAAAGAAATATATGCTGAACAAACCCCCAAACTTTGATATCATGGTCCAAAAATGTAATCTACATATGGAACTCATGCCAAAGTTCGATGTCAATGCACTTACCTATGTAACAAACTTATAGCTAGAGTATAGTCGACTCGCCATGATATAACTGCTTAACCTACCTGATCATATATCGAATCCACATTGCTGTCCAAACTGGAGTAATGTGTCAGTCAGACGTATCGCTTATAAAGACCTCTTATGATAACATTAAGGTTGGTGATAGTTGTTTATATGGAAAGGAGATAATTGCAACGACTACATATCCACAACCAAGCCTAGCAGTCTCTATCATATCTCCGCGTTGATTTGACCAGTCGTTGATGATCGTACCGTCACCTAGTACTCAACAACGATTTCACTTACTGATACTGGTTAAAATTTTCAACATACGTCCAATATGTAAAAAATTTTCTCACTTAAAAGCGCTTAGTTATGATGTAATTATCCTGAAGAATTCAGAGTTAAATGTGCGACTATTTTGTTAGTGGGGTCAAAAAGATCCTAAGATCATACACTTGCCACGTGAATCACGTACGTGACCAGGCTCCGGATAACCAGCATATTTCGTCTAATAAGTAATTAAAGCTCCCACATTTGATAAATGCCATGAATTGAAATATGATTTATTTTTAGTAAATAACCTTTTTTGTCCCATTTTGGTTTTTATATATGTCCAATACGAAGACCCCTTACAATTGACTGCCTGGATACGATGAACCAACTGAAAACACAAGTCCTCTGACAATCATTTTACCATAACTTTGAACTCGTCAACAACGAGTACCCACAATGTTATATACCTCGGAATCCTACTGCAGCAAACTAGTTTCCGATTAAGGACGGGGTTTTGACTCTATCCCGAAATGAAACGGCGTTAGTATTCGGGATCGGACTACTAGCGTTGAATCTGAAAACTGAAAGATACGAAACTCAGACCAGACGAATCTCATTGACCTAGTTCTCTCCATGCTCTGACAACAACTAGTTTTTGATATCCACCGAACAAAACTCTAATGATTTCTCAAGTCAGTAGAAGCAGGGATTTCAAAAAGCTTTACGAAGTATCTCTTTGTATATATAGGACAAGCAAACAACGGTAGATGTAATATCGATAAGGGAATATAAAACCATCCCTCTGTTTTATATCACAAAGAAAACTTTGAAATACAAAAATTCATTTCTATATACAGTTAATCACGTGCACACACAAGTAACGAACGTAGTACAGATATGAAACAGAAGAAACCAAAGAAATGAACAAAAAAGACCTTAGTAGTAGGTTGGTTGGATGTCACTTAGGAATCTTTTTTCTTTCGTTTGTTGTGATTTTATTTGTACAGTTGTGTTGTCTTTACGCTTTCTTAATTCAATTTGATCAAGCCAGTTGCGCAATGACTCTTTCAATTCTAAGGGGAAAAAATGACAACAACATTGGCGATTTACTCAGCAAGTTATTAAAACCGTGAAGCAATCTATGTTGTACAATCACTGAACACATGGAAGCAATGGATAACGTTTTCTTTCTAGTTTGAAAATCTTCAGCAGTGCACACCCATAATCGTACCAGGGAGTGAACAAAGGATCTTTAGGTCTCTCAGCGAACGCTTGACCCTTAATCAACTAGTTTAGTATCCAACAGTTTATTTCTCGAGCTTCAGTGAGCTCGTGAGATTCCACGACCATTAATCTAATGCCATTGGCAGATAATTGCCTCACATCCTACAAGACTGTACTTTACTGGTAATGGCTTCTAACTAGAAGCAGGTTTTCTACTCTCTTTGACTTATGAAACAAGGTTTACAAGATGAATAGTTGAAAATGTGCACGTAAAGTTTGGCATACTGTCTTCAAATGTTTTACACAAATTGTCGTACTGTAGATGTTTAGAACGCACCGAACGGACATATAAATTAGGATGGATTTTTGTGATGATATGTTTCTTATGCTCATTTAGTTATTCTATACATTTCTTAATCACTTGACAATATTTACCAATAAGATGCCGGTTTACAATTATCCGCAGTAAGTATACTTTTTCATTTACACACCAACATCTTAAGCTTTGAACAGTGACACGTTCAACCGACAAAGGTAAACCTTGAACAGTCACCAAATCATGTAAACACCTAAAAGATCAGAACGCGTCTTCTTCAAATCCCAGGATTCATTCCGGTCATATAACAAGGTAGCAGACAGCCATTTTTCCAAAAACCATTCTTTACACACAATCAGGTTGCAGGTGATAGAAAATGGGGTAGTAGGTGGATAATTACCAATTAATAAATACGGAGTAGTAAAACTCAGTCAGTGACTGACTGAGTAAAGCAGATAACATCAGTTAGTGAATCTATGAAAGCTTACAATACGGGTAAAACAGATCTGGAAATATTCCAGTTATGAGATGATCACGTAATAAATGTACAACAATAGTAATCCGTAAATTAGTCTTAAAAGTTACCGCTTCCCTAATATTCGTTTCGTCAAAACAATATTTTCTTCGAACTCGACTATTGATTGACGAAGCCTTCATCGGTATGTAACGCAATAATGCTTGTGTCAACTTTAACTAAGAAGTGAACTAGGAGAATTACTGATATAACTTAGTAATCTGTTTAAGTGACACGGTGTGATTTTGATAAGTCGTTATCTTTTTATAGTTTGCATATACATTTCACTAGGTTTTTTAATATCTAGTATCTTTGTGACAAGCTGGTGTGGAGCAGTCGATATTTTTTTGCATTCGCTTCCTGATGATGAAGTACAATTTCAGGTCATTAGCATCAATGATATCAAAATTGATCTCTCTTTCTTCATATTTGATAATAGAAGAGAATTTATGTTGAAACTTCTACTGACTATAGGAATTGACTTCAGTATGCAGTTACCTAAGAATATGTAAACATTTACCAAGTTATCGGTGAATTTAAGATACTAATGTTTGACGATATCGACATATTTCATCATTTCAATAAACTTGTTTTGTTGTTGTGGATCATTCCATTTTTTTTATTAACCAGAACGTGTTAATAATTTCTAAGTGGGATTTCAAACAGACTTGTTGTTTGACTGAATCACCAAATGCAAGATACCAAAATAATACAAACTGTATTGAGATAATTTACAGACTGGGAGTAAATGTTGTACAAATCATGCAGTCAATTACATTCGAAAATCATAAGTACGTATACCCATCAAATGATATAATAAACTGACAATTCATAAGCTAATCAAAATTTAGTTTATATGTTACACATCAATGCTGTGACTTTTAGAAGATAGTCGGAATAAAAACAAGTCATTTGACCAACATTAAGTGTACAAAATTTGATGACAATAATGAATTTCTTATAAGATATAAAGCAATTTTAATCTCATAGTTTAAGGGAAGACAAAGAGTATATACATCTACGCCATTGTGATCGATTCTGAGCCATACCACCCATTCTCCAACCAATGGTTATGATGGTCACGAGAACCCCAACCAAATAGTCTGTATCTACCAACATGGCTCAGACTACAAGTTAGTGACTTCAAGCACTGATGCCACGTTTTGATTTGACTGCCCCTAACTTTCTTCCAACCATCTCCAACACCGGTTAGCATTATACGTCGTGGTAGTCGGTGTTCAGGCCTACGCAACACGTGGCCCAACCATCTTAGTTGATGAAAATTTACGACCCCATCAACTGATTTACTATAATTCCCAAATATCCTGTGTCTAAGCTCACTATTACTTACCCGGTGATCCCAGAAGATGCGACCTATATTTCTAAGGCATCTGTGGTCAAATACTAGTAGCTTACGAGTATCTTCTACCCTTAATGGCCACGTTTCACAGCCGTGGTGTAGGACAGAATGAACAGACTATTTACAACAAAGGATTTCAAAGTACCAAAAATTAGTGCATTATGTCAATAACGACTTAGTTGCTTCACATAAAAAATTTACTGCAAATAGTAATGGTAATATCCTATAATCCAATCAATCAATGAGATTATAACTTACCTGGAATATTTGTGTGGCGCAAAGCAGAGACCAGTTCAATCGATTCAAATTTGGGTGTTAGACTAGGTAACAACTTTGGAGGAAGCTGTGAATGTTGTTTTGCTTCAGATGAATCCATACGTTCAAGCCAATATTTTGTTTCTAAAGCTTCATCCATTGCACCGGTAGTATCAATCTAGGGATGTAAGAATGTAACGTAATGATCACACACTTGGTTGATGACAATAATAACTGTAAGGTGATGACAAACAAGTATTTATTATTTCCAATAAAACTAATTAACACAACAAACGCTAGAAAATTTGTTCATTTCACCGAATAAGCATACGTTTAAAACTTTGCACTTCCTTCCAACAGTTATGACGCCACTAACGTTGTGTGGCAAAAAGTGGTTTATCACAATCCATTCATTCCATCGTAAATACTTCTAGTCATTTTAATGATGGGTATATCATGTGGTAACATGTACATGAATAATGACGTTTCAATTGGGAAGAATGTGTGTCGAACAGCTTTATTTTAAAGACAGCAATCTATACACAGTAAAATAAAACCTGTACAATATAAAGACAAATATAATTGTCTAATTAATTAAACTTACTTTATTCAAAATACAAGCCATTGGTTTTTCAAGAAGTAAACCATTAGACCATCGTTCCATTTGATTTAAAACTAAATAAGCAACAGCTAATGCATTACGTCTAGAACTAAATTGATCTTTACAAAATCCAAGTGAATCTAACACAAGAAGTATGCATGAACTACGTTCAACATGTTTTAAAAAGTTCGTATGTCTTAAACTCGGTAAAGATGCTTTTGAATCAGATTGATCATTGTTATTTTGATTTATTTGTGCATCATATTGAGCATAAATATCAGCGAGACCTAGAACAAATAGTGTAAAAAAAAAGAATAAATTAATAAAAACAGACCGATTATACATAATACAATAAAAATTATAATGGAATGTGAATTTAAAGGGATCAGATATTCTCATCACAAGCAATGACTTACCAGTTGTAGATTACCACATAAAAATTCTTAATGATGTTATGTTTTATCTTCCACCCAAATGCCCTGGTACGGCCAAGGGTGGGGAGAGTCAGCGCTCCCTCTTGAAATACTCTTACGTGGCCACGTGTATACAACCACTGCCATCTCGCGGCATTATTGCTGTTTACGATATTGAGAAGACGAAAAGTGAATGTCCAGCACTTTAACCGGGTTGGTGGAAACGAATAGTCCACCTAGGGCAGTTGGAAAACTCTCATTTCAAACCAATGGTGTACATGGGCTCCAGTATCCTGGGGGAACAAATGGTGTATGAACTAGTCGTTGGTCACCGGCTACCATGAGACTGCATCTTCTTACGATACTCCACCGCCTTGTGGATCAGACCTTTAGGTCAAAGGCTCCGGGCGTAGCCCCCCTAAGAAAACCATCTGCTTCGGTCTGGGCACGCGATCAGTATCCCAGCCCTCACACAAATTTGATGAGATGATAATTAATTCACAAAGTACTATGCTCGCTCCCACCATAACTCAGACGTGTAGCGAATATGTATCTAGTGCCCCTTGTACCTATTTTCACGTGTTCAAATAAATAAAATATGTTTTGGGGTAAAAATTACATCCGAGCAAACAGTAGACAATTAGGTCAGAATAAAAATAAAGTTATATTAGCATACTATTGATAATCACGGTGAACTAGAGCAATGTTTCGTTTTAGTATGAAACTCCTATGAAGTGCGCATCCACTAATAGACACAGGATATTCAGGTTTCATGACCGCATTAATGACCAAATGTACATATTTGCAACCTCAGTGGATTCGTGCTGATAAGAAGCCTCACAATAGGACGAAACATATGTCTAGTGCTCCTCGGTTTTCCATGGTACTTCAACTGAGGTGAATCTGTAACAAATCCCGTTCAGGAGTCCAAAAATTTTTCCATAAAACTCGCTTTATAAAGTTTAATTTTACAACTAATAATCTATAATAAATTTATGACTAATTAAATGTAAATCTAATATAGTCAACTATTATCTTTGTTCTAATGATACAATGTGTAGCAATTATAAATAAGGATTATCACTATACATTGATATTATAAAGATTATGATTTCATATAGTCCCACAAAAAACCATAATCATAAATCTTGAGTTCAAAGAGGGTGCCGATGGATATATATATATATATATATATATATATAAATTGTCCGGAAAAATCTCTTTGAAAGACAAACTTATACAGTAGATCTTTGCATGCTATATGGTGGTCACCCAGTTATACAGCTTCAGTTGAAAGATAAGTTGCCATGACCGACCAATTCTATGTGTATACACCAGTTTACCAGTTTCTATAGAACTGGATAGGTAGATCATTTGTCAAGGCCTCTTTTTCACCTTATCCAAGAGCATACTCCAATATGGCTGAAATAAATTGCGTCTTCAATTCTGTTGCATGTAGTGAAATCAAGATATTCACTACTAAATTAACCCTTTGACGCTATCTACAAGGTCCGGTCAAAGATTGTAAAAAGTTCACATCTTAACCTACTTTACACTATAGAACATTTAGCCAACCAAAATTTAAACCCTGATCTGTGTTAACAGAACAGTCTATCAGATCTTTCTCGTTTCTTATATTAACTTCAGATTGACCATATCTTATTGTCGGATTTACTTCTTTTATTCAATGAACATATTATCAGACGTAATGTCCCCAAATGCTCTCACATGGCCACGTGCATACAACCACTGCCAGGGGAGTCCTACTCACTGCCTTCTCGAGGAGCGGTGTTGTTTACGAAATTGAGAGGATAAAAAGCGAATGTTCGGCACCGGGTGTGGCCCCCTAAACAACCACCTGCTTCGATTTGGGCACCCGGACAGTATCCCAGCCCTTACACAAATCGAATGATTTATGTGACGCATCCTTTTACAAATGTTTATGTGTTCAAATAAATAATATAAATAACTTTTTAAAAACTCCTACTTTCGTTCATATTACATGGCCTTTACTCCAACTTTTCGGTCATGAACACAGTGTTTATCTTAATGAGTATATCTCAAGTGTTAGAAATTTTAACCCCTATCCTATAATTAACCCATAGAACTGTTTCGTCAATTCTTGACTAAAACTCACATGCTTAATACTTTAATAAACACAGTCTTAATTCAAATTTTAGTGGTTTAAATTATCACACTGTTCATATACTAACTGAAATTTGATCGGTCTTGGTTCGTATATATGCATCAATGTAGTTATTATGATACAAGTTTATATGGAATACATGAAATCTGGTTATTAGTGGAATTTAAGACGCGCGTTTCATCCTGTATGGCACTCATCAGCTGGATGTACCAGACTCTTCTAAGAGTTGAAATTCACCTCAACACTCAAACCCACTAGCGTTCGCTTCAAATGTTAGCGTGTTAACCAGATAGCCACTTTACTTTTGCAGCGTGTATAAACTTCACTCTAGTTTTCAATAGTTTGGACTATCGTGATGTTAACATATAGATTGAAATTTGAGTGACTATCTGGATTCAGTAGCTAAGTGGATAACGTGATGGTGTTTGAATCCAACACTAGTGAGTTTGAGTCCCGAAGTGAATATCAACTCTGAGATGCAGGTATATTCAGCTGACGAGTTTCAAGTAGGATGAAACACGCGTCTTGAATTTCACTGCTAGACACATTTTATGTATTGTATGTAAACATACAATCTGTTTATAGACTATATGAAAGTAAAGTCAAAAAGGATTTCTTCAGTAAATTTACTTTTGCTTTATATTTAAATACATCAGCAATGATGATTTGAACATTTGAACACATAAAATATTGTGTAAGTCGACAGGTTTGCATGTCAGAACTTATACTGAACTGAAAATTAATGAATACAGTAACAATTTGAACTTAATTTGTACGGATATTTACCTGGTAAATCTGCTATACTTATCTTACGATGATCTGAGTATATGCATTTGGCAACTTGTGGTTTGATTGTAGTGAAAGGATAACTGGCAATTTTTGCAGGTGCACCAGATAAAGCTTTTAATAAACTGGATTTACCAGCGTTAGGAAATCCAATCAAACTGTAATCAGACATAAGCTATATTGAAAGAGGAATCAATTATTAAATGTGATAATATAATGTTGAAGTAAGATAACTAACTTATAATAGAGAGTTCACCTAGGGAAGTTGTAAAACCCTGATTGCAAACCAATGGTGTACATGGGCTCCAGTATCTTGAAGGAACAAATGGTGTATGAACCAATTGTTGGTCACCGACTGCCATGCGAATGCATCTCCTGACGTTGCTGCACTGCATCATGGATTGAACCTTTAGGTCGAAGGCTCCGCGTGTGGCCCCCTAACAAAACCACCTGCTTCGGTCTGGGCACCCGAGAAGTATCCCAGCCCTTACACAAATCGAATGATTTATGTGGCGCATATCTATTTGGTGCCTTCTTGTACCAATGTTTATTTACTCAAATAAATAAACAACTTATTAATGAGTACCTGAAAATAATATTTGACTTTTTTAAAAAACTAAACCTACCTTAAATTTACGGTTCTAGATTAGTCAAAACATGAATAACCTTTGTTGAATCGACAAAAACTGACTTAAACCTATGCAAGATAAATATTTAGCTTTACAATATAACAGAATCACTTAACAGAAGTAAACAGTTGGCTTAATTTTATTTTTAAACCCAAAATCGACCATGAATTCAATGAGTACCAACTGTGTATTCTCCCCTGGTTTCATAACAAAAAGATCTTGTTCAGTAAGAATAATTGGATGTCAGTTATCGCTGACAATTTAATCTATGATTCTGAACACAATTGAGTTTATGTTGATTATCGAAGGGTGAGATAATATTTAATGAGTGATTGGATTGCTTCTTATCAAAAGATAACAAATGATCACCTTTAAGTCTAAGACGATACTGTGAGCTTGACCCGGTGAGCCAATATACCCATTTTGGTGAAATCCACCTATACCACCTTGTGCTACAAGTAATTTTTGACCGACTTGATCCAAATTTCCAAGTATTCGTTGTTCTGATCCATTAGATGATGATGTCCCTTGACCTCCAAATAATACAGTTATTCCAGCAGGAACACGAATAGTCAAGTCTTCACCATCTAGACCAGCAACTAAACCACGACGTTTACTTGCCTCTGTTCCATGTCCAGCCTATAAATGTACAAACAGATAAATGATTAGAAGAATGTTTCATATTAATTAAGGGCAAATTTAACCAGAAACCAGTCATACATGAACATCATATTACTAAAGGAAAGAACATTTACTGTTAACCATAAAGTGTATTTAGTTGCAAATTATTATCTGATGTTTTTCCTTATGATTGTAGAAGTTCTGTGATATTTGTTTCATACACGAACAATAGAATCGTGGGGCTTCCGGAAAAAAGGAACTAAAGTTGTCTCGTATACTTCAGATCAAACAACGATGTTGTAGATTTAAACAATAAATAATCCATGTGGTTTTCTACTATATTTTCTTTTAGGATAAGTTAGTGAACAAAGAGCAATTAAATTTTCTGAAAGTTGAAAGGTGGTCAAATATAACAGTCTTTCCGATACTATGAACTTATCAGTATGGGGGTTGTGGAGATTGTTAAGTTTTTGGTTGAGATCATGAATCAATTGATGTTAGACCTGGGTTCGAATCCCGCGGGGTGTGGGATCGTGGATGCGCACTGCTGAGGAGTCCCATACTAGGACGAAACGGCCGTCCAGTGCTTTCAGGTTTCCAACGGTGATCTAACATCAATTGATTCACGATCTCAACCAAAAACTATGAACTTAGTTGTGTCAGAATTGTGTGTATTAAATGAATAAATAGGTAACGTAACTATGAGTCAAGAACATTTGAAAAGTAATTTAACTTGAAAAAATACAAGTAACAATCAATTGTATAAAAAAAATTACATTGGTAATTCCTATTTGTTTTGTGAGAAACTACGATGAGTATCTGATTCTAGGAATATAAATGATGTAAAGTCAATGATCAAGTAGAAGACCATACACTCGCGGTTGGGTCGTATTTACTCGATTGTAGCTAAAGATATCAGCTGACTATTTTAACAAAAGTGGGTGGATAGAAATACAGTAAGTCAAGAGTTTAAAAAACGTTGAAGAACACTTTAACACGTTCAAACGACCCATTGTCAGTATTTTAAAATCTGTTGCCGGAAATTATGATCTGTTATTGGTTTGTGTGAAATAGCTAATAAAAAAAGTACACATACCTTACTTTTCACTAAAAGTTTCTCGTATCACGGGTAAGGTTTAGAAAATATGAACCCGGTCTCATGCAAATGTTTCATGAACCCTAACGTCACGCTTTTAACTTGATAAGTCAGTTCCCGTTCCTAAATACTTAGGAAGAAGTTTTTTTGCAGTGGGCGATCACAAACTGTCAATGCCTTGTCCCATTTACAACGAAATCCCATTACAACTTTCTAACATTTAATCTAATAATAATAAATCATGAGAGTTTAAAGTGCAAAATAGTAATTCAAAAAAAATACCGATAATAATTAAATAAAAGTGCAGAAAAAACAACAAAAAAGCACAGAAAAATACCCATTAAGGGAATTAGGGCCAAGGAAGGATGAGAGGTTGGACAAATCGTTTCTGCACGCAAAGTTCAGGCTTGAGTTTGTGGATTGCCAGTGCCTCTGCGGTGCATAAAATATTGATTCGAACCCCCTTCGATCCAGTTCCTTTGACTCTGTAGACTACCTTAAATGAAGAGTCCTTTGGAGCGATGTGTCCACAGTTGATTAAGTGCTCCTGTATAGAACTCGTGATTGTTTTTCGTTGCCCTTTTAAGAGCCAGGCCGCATAATGTTCCGAGATGCGTCTGGATAATGATCGCTTTGTGTGGCCTATGTAGCATGCCCCACATGACCACGTAAATTTATAGATACACATTGAAGTGGCCCAAAGCGGAAGTTTGTCCTTAACACACCCCAGAATGGTAGGTCGGCTAGAGAAAATGATTCGGAGCTTAGCTGCGTAGAATTTTCTATTCAATGATTTCGAAATCCGTTTATTTAGGATTTCGGCAGCCGTGTCTCCTTTAAATTCCATATTCATAAATAGAGTTTTCTTCTCTACTGTCGATGCTTTGTCATGAAGTCTAGGTGCCAAATTTCTATCAATGAATCTCGGTGGATAACCATTTTTGATGAGGGTCTGTCGAAGATGAAATAGTTCCTGTTGTAACGTGTGTGACTGCAGGTTATGCTAGACAGCGTTTATATCGATCGATCGATTACAGTGACACGGAAACCCGTAGTGGACGATCTAGAGCTCTGATTGGTCCCGCTTCGCAGTCTGTCCCAGCCAGTCGAGTCAGGAACACAAGTCACAGCCTCTGAGTTATGAATCATTATATTTCAAACATACTTTGTCTATATACCAATCAAGCATACCACATCGTACCATAAAATAGGAAACAACATATACAAATTATTTAACAAGTGAAATAAACATCGACCAATAAGAAATGTACATTTAAGGTTCAAGGCCACCATAGACTTAACACGATAATTATTGGTGTATTTTTCCGACTATCCTAACAGTTCCCCATCTATTGTGTCATTGCAATAAATTCGCTTGATCCTCAAGGATAAAGAATAAATTAAGTTCCTTGTTCTACTTAATGGAACCCAACTATGGAAGTTCGTGTATTGTCCATTCCAAGTAGGTTTTCTATATATCGATCTCTGTAAAAAAAACCGTCAGGCAATCTTTTTAAACGGATATCAAGAAAATGAAATTCATGGTTTGTCTCTGCTTCTAGGGTAAATTGGATTGATGGGTGACAGTTATTGAAAATATTCAAGATATCATTAAGGTCACTATCTTCTTCACAAATAATGAAAGTGTCATCCATACATCTCTTATATAAATGAAACCTCTCAATTATTGGTCGAAGTGCCGATTTTTCTAGATTAGCCGTGAATCAATCAGCCAGGCGAGGACCCAATGGAGAGCCCATCGCAACTCCATCTATTTGTCTATAGAAAGCATCATTAAATCTAAATTGCACATTGAGCGTACATCGCAGAAGTAGTTCTTTAAGGTACTGTTTCGGGATACGCATATCAAGATTATTGTTTTCAATATAGTCACATAAAAAGCAAATGGTTTCTGTGAGGGGAACATTTGTAAAAATAGAAGTGACATCTAATGAGAACATTTTCTTACCGGTTACGTTGATATTTCTAATTGAGTCGACAAAGTCAAAGGAATCAAGAGAATTGTATTTTTTGATATGATTTTTAACAGGTTGTAGAACGTCAACTAACTATTTAGCGATCAAGTGATAAGGAGAATTGTTCATATCAAGTAAAGGACGTAGTGGGACATTATTCTTATGAACGTTTGGGAGTCCATAGAGGTCACAATTGATAATAGCCTCATCTTCTATTTTCTTTAAAATTTTAATTAGCATCTGTTCAGTTTTTTCAGTTGTGTCTCTTTGAACGGTCTCAATAGAGAATTTGACAGGATCAGATAATATCGAAGATATTTTGGTAACATAGTCAAGACAATCCATAAGGACAATTCCTGCACCGTTGTCTGGGCGACATAACACTAAGTCCTGATTTCTCCGAAGATCAGATAATTGAGATTTATGTTCTTTTGTAAGTAATCGGCTAATTGTAGGTGTTTTGTTTACATACTGATTACAACAATCCACAAGAGTTGTTTTGAAATGCTCAAAATCTTTATTAGATACTGGAATAAGGTCATTTGTCTGTCGAATGAGGCTTTCAAACTGGATTTTAGCGTTGAGTTCAATAATGTTAGTAGACGTACTACAAAATTTAGGACCAAGGGATAATGCTTGTAGCTGAATAGTCGATAGTGTTATACTTGAGTAATTAAAAACATATTTCTCTGGAGATTCAGTAAAAGAAGCTTGCGTCTCGGTCTGTTTTAAACTTTTCATTTATTTCAAGATCACATCTTCAGTACGATTTTTGCTAACAATATCAATGTAATCTTTGAATTTGAAACGTTGATCTTCTGACAGATCAAATAATGTATGTGAACGTAATGAGATACTTCGTTCCAATACTGGTATTCTAGACTTAATTTCATCGACATAATTGAGAGTAAGACGTTTCAAAGAGCGATGATTTGGGTGAATATGGTTACGGCACTATGGGTTATTTTAATTATCTGAAGAGTTGCAAGGATCCTGTTACAGTGAAGGAACTCAGTGGGTTTCTTAGTTCTTCTGTCAAGCTTGCCATAGCGAATACTAGAATCAATTTCCTGAGAAGCTGTATAGTCAAAGTAGAATATCCGAAACCATTTTTCAAATCATTATCCCGTAATCATATTCACCCAAATCATCGCTCTTTGAAACGTCTTACTCTCAATTATGTCGATGAAATTAAGTCTAGAATACCAGTATTGGAACGAAGTATCTCATTACGTTCACATACATTATTTGATCTGTCAGAAGATCAACGTTTCAAATTCAAAGATTACATTGATATTGTTAGCAAAAATCGTACTGAAGATGTGATCTTGAAATAAATGAAAAGTTTAAAACAGACCGAGACGCAAGCTTCTTTTACTGAATCTCCAGAGAAATATGTTTTTAATTACTCAAGTATAACACTATCGACTATTCAGCTACAAGCATTATCCCTTGGTCCTAAATTTTGTAGTACGTCTACTAACATTATTGAACTCAACGCTAAAATCCAGTTTGAAAGCCTCATTCGACAGACAAATGACCTTATTCCAGTATCTAATAAAGATTTTGAGCATTTCAAAACAACTCTTGTGGATTGTTGTAATCAGTATGTAAACAAAACACCTACAATTAGCCGATTACTTACAAAAGAACATAAATCTCAATTATCTGATCTTCGGAGAAATCAGGACTTAGTGTTATGTCGCCCAGACAACGGTGCAGGAATTGTCCTTATGGATTGTCTTGACTATGTTACCAAAATATCTTCGATATTATCTGATCCTGTCAAATTCTCTATTGAGACCGTTCAAAGAGACACAACTGAAAAAACTGAACAGATGCTAATTAAAATTTTAAAGAAAATAGAAGATGAGGCTATTATCAATTGTGACCTCTATGGACTCCCAAACGTTCATAAGAATAATGTCCCACTACGTCCTTTACTTGATATGAACAATTCTCCTTATCACTTGATCGCTAAATAGTTAGTTGACGTTCTACAACCTGTTAAAAATCATATCAAAAAATACAATTCTCTTGATTCCTTTGACTTTGTCGACTCAATTAGAAATATCAACGTAACCGGTAAGAAAATGTTCTCATTAGATGTCACTTCTATTTTTACAAATGTTCCCCTCACAGAAACCATTTGCTTTTTATGTGACTATATTGAAAACAATAATCTTGATATGCGTATCCCGAAACAGTACCTTAAAGAACTACTTCTGCGATGTACGCTCAATGTGCAATTTAGATTTAATGATGCTTTCTATAGACAAATAGATGGAGTTGCGATGGGCTCTCCATTGGGTCCTCGCCTGGCTGATTGATTCACGGCTAATCTAGAAAAATCGGCACTTCGACCAATAATTGAGAGGTTTCATTTATATAAGAGATGTATGGATGACACTTTCATTATTTGTGAAGAAGATAGTGACCTTAATGATATCTTGAATATTTTCAATAACTGTCACCCATCAATCCAATTTACCCTAGAAGCAGAGACAAACCATGAATTTCATTTTCTTGATATCCGTTTAAAAAGATTGCCTGACGGTTTTTTTTACAGAGATCGATATATAGAAAACCTACTTGGAATGGACAATACACGAACTTCCATAGTTGGGTTCCATTAAGTAGAACAAGGAACTTAATTTATTCTTTATCCTTGAGGATCAAGCGAATTTATTGCAATGACACAATAGATGGGGAACTGTTAGGATAGTCGGAAAAATACACCAATAATTATCGTGTTAAGTCTATGGTGGCCTTGAACCTTAAATGTACATTTCTTATTGGTCGATGTTTATTTCACTTGTTAAATAATTTGTATATGTTGTTTCCTATTTTATGGTACGATGTGGTATGCTTGATTGGTATATAGACAAAGTATGTTTGAAATATAATGATTCATAACTCAGAGGCTGTGACTTGTGTTCCTGACTCGACTGGCTGGGACAGACTGCGAAGCGGGACCAATCAGAGCTCTAGATCGTCCACTACGGGTTTCCGTGTCACTGTAATCGATCGATCGATATAAACGCTGTCTAGCATAACCTGCAGTCACACACGTTACAACAGGAACTATTTCATCTTCGACAGACCCTCATCAAAAATGGTTATCCACCGAGATTCATTGATAGAAATTTGGCACCTAGACTTCATGACAAAGCATCGACAGTAGAGAAGAAAACTCTATTTATGAATATGGAATTTAAAGGAGACACGGCTGCCGAAATCCTAAATAAACGGATTTCGAAATCATTGAATAGAAAATTCTACGCAGCTAAGCTCCGAATCATTTTCTCTAGCCGACCTACCATTCTGGGGTGTGTTAAGGACAAACTTCCGCTTTGGGCCACTTCAATGTGTATCTATAAATTTACGTGGTCATGTGGGGCATGCTACATAGGCCACACAAAGCGATCATTATCCAGACGCATCTCGGAACATTATGCGGCCTGGCTCTTAAAAGGGCAACGAAAAACAATCACGAGTTCTATACAGGAGCACTTAATCAACTGTGGACACATCGCTCCAAAGGACTCTTCATTTAAGGTAGTCTACAGAGTCAAAGGAACTGGATCGAAGGGGGTTCGAATCAATATTTTATGCACCGCAGAGGCACTGGCAATCCACAAACTCAAGCCTGAACTTTGCGTGCAGAAACGATTTGTCCAACCTCTCATCCTTCCTTGGCCCTAATTCCCTTAATGGGTATTTTTCTGTGCTTTTTTGTTGTTTTTTTTTGCACTTTTATTTAATTATTATCAGTAAGTTTTTTAAATTACATCTATTTTAGTTTTGCTTTTAATCTTTTTGTTATGGTTTAATCGTTCTCGGAGTTTATCACTTGTATTAACACTTGGCATTTGTAGATGTGACAACAATGACGAAATATATGTAACTACTGACTTTAAATACATGAATCTCTTCATAGTTTCAGATCAAATTATTGTTTTATCCTTTTCAAAAGAATGAAACTTACGAATTTTACACTGAACAGCAACTGCTACCACACTTCAATCACTGAATAAAAAGTAGCGAGTTGATCACATCAGAAGTAATACATACGAATCCTTGTCTGAATTGCATTTAATTTCAAGAATAAATAGAGCAAGGTGAAGAAGCGGAATGGCTCACACACTAATCTTATTCAGACCTATGATACGAAGATTGATTATGATAATAGATGTTTGCTTGGACATCAATATACAGACCATGGTTTATACCTATAACCTAATTGGTTGAAATTTGAGGTACTCAACTAAATAGTAACAAACAGACATGCATAGACAAGAACAAAAAGTATCGGAACTTCTCAACCGATCGTCATACATTTAAAACAACGGAGGTCAATTAAATCTTGGGAAGGAAAGATGAGTTTCAAGAGAAGACAAAAATAACAAATTCAAATCTCAGCACATCCATATCGATAAGAATGTATCTTGTGGATGAAAATATCAGCGATTTTTAGTGACTAAGGTACTCAGCTTTCAACCAGCTTCGAACCCTATCCCACCTTCCTTTGGGTTTTGGGAGCCTGCAAGTACTACTAACAAGCACATACAATGTGGCTTAAAAATGATTACATAAACTGCTTCGTGATAAATAAATAAAATCGATCGACTAACAAATCAGTCATAAAAACTGATAAAATTTAACGAAATTTAACAGGAAAATGTCGTATTAAAACTACCATGAAACGTTTCGTCGGGTTAGCCATAAACAGATTTTGGAGTGTTTGATTTTCATCGGCTTCTAGAAATACACTCCCACCATTTCCTCCCCGGCCTTTAATTGGTGGACTACCTGCAGCCCCACTACCAGCTCTGACAAAAATACGAAGTTTGTCGATGAAACCCTTGGACATGACACTGCTGTGAACAGAAATAACCAATAATTGGTTGAAATAACATTATTAAGTGGTAAAATATCGAAAAAATACTGTCGCCGGTCTATAAATAAAAGCAGACGCTTATCCTATTTGACTTGAATACTGCATGAGGAATTAAAGTGTCAAGCGTAAGTTGGGAAATATAAAATCAGCTTATTATGTTCGTGAACAGATTTCGTCGATTAGATGCCTTGTTCACAAAGTTATGATTGGTGTTCATATTGTTGCGATAACGAGAGATGGCAACTTGGACCGACGCATATATGTGCCTGGTCCTACGACTGATGCTCATCACGAATAAGTTTATAACGATAAGTCCCAAGTCTAATTATTATAACGCCCATTGTGGAAGAATACTGAGAATGTTACTGAAAGACGCGTTTGGTTTCAATGGGGAGCTTCCTTCGATTAAAATTAAGAACTGTTCCACCAATACTCAATTTTAGTATTATTTTCCGAAAATAATCATGCGCATTTAGTTTTAGAGAATAGTCACGTATCTTTACTTATACCGTCAGAGAAGGTATATCACCAAAACTCACTAGTGAATGGTTACTTATCATCCTAAAGACCAAACATACCAAGTAAAGTCAAGTGAGAAAGAAACGTTGAATTAGTAACACAGGTGCTAAGAGCTTTAGGTATTAGTTATGCAATAGTTTGAAAGGTGATGATAGGAGGTTGGGCAAGGTAGCTCAGAAATAAAGGAGGGATAACTGCGCTTCAGATGAATATAAAACTAACAACCGATAATCACAACTTGGGGGGCCAAGAGGATTCAACCATGGTAAAATAATGGGTTAGGTTTCCTATTTTAAAACTTGAGGAACAATTGATTAATGGTCATCGTTAAACTCCAGTCTTCAGTAATAAGGGTGAAGACTGAAGACTGGAGTTTAACGATAACCGCTCAACTATTGTTGATAATCTTTTCCGAGGATGTCCATCTAAACATCAAGTAGAGTCTAACATACTTATTTTCCTGAATAGCGTTGAACGTAATCAGTACACTGACAGACTTAATCTAGAACAGCTGGTGTATGCATACATATAATATCTGTTCTTGAATGGGAACTTATACACTAGCACTTGTAAAAATAATGATACCCATGGAAAACCTAAATTTACTTGTAAGGAGTTAACATACATTATAACTAAAGGTTGTCGGTTTGAGTTATTTCACTTATCTATTAGTGTTAAAAACTTATGTAGTGATGTAGAACATTTGAGGACGTTTAAACAACAACGTGAGAGAACAACTATTATTATTATATTATTTAGAAAGCCCTACCAGTTTTTGTGCGATTTAGGTGTTGGCATAGTTAAACGTTAAGTCTAGTTGTTCTGTCATGTTTGATGTTGTTTATAAAAAATGTCATAAAAACCAAACATTATTAATGGTTAACACAAAATAACGTATTGAATAACGACTGAGCGGTAAGATTTTAGGATGTACGCGTCACTCTGTAAAGCGAAGCAACGCTAAACCGGAGCACTCGTGGGGCCAGCCAAAATTTCAATAGAACCAATGCGATGATTGGCCTTGATGATTTACACATTGCGCTGTCTGTAATTTGTTCAATATCTGAAATTCTTTATTCCAAGCTTGCATGAACCAACAGAGTTCTATGGAATCGCTTTTGGTTGTTTCGTTCGGTCACTCGATCGCACTTGCTGTAGATAGTTTGGTAATTGTTTGTTGGTTTGTATATCCTGTAATCTGAGTAGATACGTTTGTATCAGGTCGCCAAGGGTTCTGGATACTAGAAACAATCACACTACCTGGCGAAAGGTTGACTGGTTCTATGGGTATTTTATAAATATTTTGTATGGTTTGAACAATCCGATGTATTGCTGATTGAAACCCCATAAGGTTCAGTACTAGTCTCAGTTCGGAAAGGACATAAGGCTAGGTGGCCGATGTTAATCCTGGCAATGGTGATCTTCCAGTTGGTTCAAATTTCTTTTGAAAGCTTCAAAAGATGGAGCTTCAATCGCGTGTTAAGTTAATGGATTTCACTCATTGATAATTCGATGGGAAAGTCGATATTTAGCTGATTAGTAACTCGTTCTGGGCTAGTAAACATTTTTGGACTGTCCTCATAAATGCTCTGTTTTGAAAGATTGGAAAATTGAGGGCATATCAAATGTGAAGTTGTCACCAAATAGTGTAAAAACTGTGATCAAGTTGCCTCTGGTTCATATACATGATAATGTAAATAAGTTTAATTTAGCCAGCCGATCATCATACTGGATTTTCGCTGAACCGGGATCAGCTTACACGAAGTCTTCTAAGATTAAACATCAACCATTTTGTGACTAAGCGTTGGAACCATCTAGCAAGCACTCATTCACCTTACAATCTGGACTGCGGAAGGCCCAACGGATAATCAGCTCTTTTCCTTTCCATTTCAAGCGGAAACAAACTAAATCACACGTCCCACTTACATGGGATGTGTTATAATTAGCGGTGAATGAGGTAGTTTTTCTTTGATTACAGCTACTCAGCCCTTAAGCTTCTGAATGCTGGCGGCTTTTACTAATGTAAGACCTCCAAAATCAAGTTCTCTATTGTCTAATGACTGTATCAGCTAAGTTTTCGTGACTGCGACTACATCCGGATTGCTAAAGTACATTTGTACGCCTAGTTTCGATTGCTTGCTGAGCAAAACCCACAGATTTGTGTGTTAGATCCAAGGATCAACTAAATGACTTTGTGCTGCACGCAAAGTGACTTCGACAACACTCTCTGCCAGAGCCTCACCATCCGAAAATTTATAATTTTTGGGTCCTTCTCGCCAGCATCCAAGTTTAGTTTGGGTTAATTTTAAGCTCCTAGTCTTTTTGTACGAACCATGGATGATAAGTCTTTACATACGAATGAACTAAATCTGAAGCTACTCATGCCTTTCTACAGGGACGGAAGCCAGTGTTCCCATCCAGAAGATTTATTCTTTATGAGCTCCTCCCAGTAGTTGAGCAAGAACTGGATTGACTCCTAAGTTTATGTGTTATCAAACACGTTAAAATGTATTAACATTGGTTGCTAACCACAAGATCTTTGAAGCCGAAGACATGTACACTCAACATATAACACCAAGAGGTCAAAAATGACGAACGCGGGAGTGTAGAGTCGAAATAGAATGGCTTGGATGGGCAGACGTATTCACTGTGTAGTTCATACTAAATATATTATTTTACCCCGGCACAAACATGTTCTTCGTAAGTCCGAACCATCATTGTGCTAAGTGTTTCTACTGAACGAGTGGGTAAAGACAATTATGTGACTTCCATACAAGATCTCATAGATTAGATAGTCATATTATAACAAATCTAGGTTTTTGGGATAAGGACCACTTTCTCAGTAGCCAAGGTGAGTGTACTAATATCGAACTAGGCGATAATGCTTCAAAATATCAGAATAGGCTGCAACGACATTGATAGTTAATAAACGTCACTGGCTTTCGTTTGCGTTGAATTAGATGCCATAACACTGGTTAGCCATCCTTTTTTGATTATACGAAAAGTACTGTCCTAGCAGCCACAGTTATTGATTCCTGGTTTTACTCGGTTTGAATAGGGTGGATCAACATCGCCTAGGTATCATAAGACCATACTGAACGGTGAATTTTTTAAATTAATTTAACTGCTATATTGCAGCGTTTACAAAGCTGTTGTAAATCAGACCTGTTGTTTTACTAGCATCATGTCAAACCCACCATTTGTTTACAGCTTGGTATTGCACTGATTAATATATTTTTGTGAATGTAAATAAACTGAAGTCAATTAATTCTGGTTTGCATTAATTCGATGCGGTACAATTTTTGTGAACATTATGTTTTGTTTTGTCGTTTTTATACCGAAATTCACCTTTACTTTCGAGGATACTTATCTACATGACAGTCAACAAAGGTATATCGATCTCATTTAGTAAATAGATTATTAATATTGTTAGTGTTTCGGTCCTTTCACTTAGCTGATGATCCACTGTTGCAGCTCTTAGGTTTAAGATGCTTCTCATTGATCATTTCATGTTTAAAGACTTAAGTTACTTTCAGGCCGCATCTATCTTTATAAAAGACATTAAAGACACGAGTTTGGAGTCCTCCATTTAAGCTGTATTCTGATATTCCTTACGAATTATCGGGGATGAAGTACTAATAGAAGCCGCTTTCCGTCTTTAATAAACAGGTCTCGCACCCGGTTTGTATGATAACATGAATCGATAAGATCAGCCGTTAAATTACTTGTAACCACACATATTGCTACCTGGGTTCTGATTTGTTTTTTGAGAACACAAAAGTGTACATTGTCCAGCGAGTTAGCTGATTCACTATTCAATACCATGGGAAAAACATGAAAATAAAGACGACAAGTGATAACTTTCAAATCTGTACAAAACTTGATATATATTGCTCAACGTCTAATAAAAGAATCCATACCTAAGACTTAACATTGTCCTATATATAGATTGCTTAAGATTTTCGACAACATAAAGTGAACTAGAAATCCCCTATCCATTGTTTCAAATAAATCTGAGTTTTTACTCTTTCAACTAAATTATGTTACAAATATGCAAAGTTTCATATAAGAACTGGTATTACATCCTTTCTTTTAAGTGTAATATTTAAAGTTGTAAGTATTTATTTAAACTGAATTACATTTGTAATTTGGTTTACATAATATTGTTTTAGTCATCTATTTTTGGTTTAACTTACAATTGGGGAATTGTTCAGTAATGAAATATACTGGAATATTATTGGTAATGAGATTGTAGATGTCAAGTCTGTTTTACATCCTCTGTCCTTATTCATTTCCCTTCGACTCTTTTCAGTATTGTTTTATATTATTTATTAATATTCAGTAATTAGTTGTAAGCCTAGCAACGCAAGTTTGTCGTGTAATATTCTGAAATAGTTACATATGCTTATAACACTTATTGTATTTATCATTATAATCACTTTATCTTAATCATGGTAGCAGTTGTTGACAATTTTATGCAGTCGTTTGATCCTTGTTTAAACGTAACATTTTCCATATTGCTTACTTTTAGTTTGATTTTTGCTTGTTGATAAACCGCCAAACAGTTTAGACACAAAGAACGGTTGTCAATTTGCACTATCCCAGCCTTTTTTTTATTTCACATAAAAAGACGTGGTAAACGTCATAGATACCTCACAAGTTGAGATTTGTAACTAGTTTTTGTATATTATTCAATAAAGACAAATTATTGCCTTGTGAATATCGACTAAGCACAAATCTCAATTAGGTGATTTAAACACTTCGATAAATGTAACAGCAGATAACAATCCAATAACATAATGACTTACAATTTTATCTGTTTTACTTTATCAAACTAACTGATAAAGATATTAAAAGATATATGATTAAAACAAGATAGTAGTAAATCAAGGCATATATCTAATTTTAGTACATTTTAGTATACATTTTCAACCATCACTGATTGAAGGCCTGTATACTCCATGGTGACGAAACCCGAGTCAGTCAGTCAGCTACAACGTAGGACCAGGCACATATATGCATCGGTCCAACTTGCCATACCTCATTAACACAACAAGATGAACACTGGATTCATAAAAGTAGTTAATTCAATGGTGGTAATATATAGGAGAAAGATTGCAATAAGGATATAGTACAGGAAGAAAGAATTAGTTCGTAGAAAGGAAGATATGAAGCAATTTTAATCTCTTAGTTTAAGGGAAGACAGAAAGTGTATACACCGACGCCATTGTGACCGATTCTGAGCTATGTCACCAAGACCCTCCAACCATTGGTTACGATAGTCATGTGGACCCTAACCAAGAAGTCTGCATCTGCCAACATGGCTCAGACTAGAAGTTAGTGACTTCAGTGACTGATGCTACATTTTGGTTCGGCAGCCCTTAACTTTCTTCTAACCATCTTGAACACCGGTTAGCATTGCACGTCGTGGTAATCGGTGTTCAAGCATACGTGACCGGGATCAACAGGCCGTAAGTAAGTCAATAAGTAAACAAAACTTAATCTTCTTTTTTTTTTAAAAAAAAAACCAACTTCAATGTTATTTTAGAATATACATAAATATGAAGAAAGAGAAAACAAACAAACAAACAAAGTGATTAGAAAAATAACTGAATTGTAACAAATTATCCCCAGTATAACTTTCAACTATACACAAATTGGGGAAAAGTGTGTGTGTGTGTGTGTGTGGTGTGTGTGTGTACAAATGATTTGTTCATTAACAAATTAAGGCAAAATATTCAATTGATAGGAAGACAGGGGAATATATATATATATATATATATATATATATATATATATATATAAGAACAAAAGTAGTTTGTAATGTAAAACGTAGGGTATAAGCAACAAGAGAATCTCTCTTTTGTATTTCATTGTAATCTATTATGTTGAATTGTTGAAGTTGTTGATGGTAAAAAAGAAATCCCTGAATTGATAAAATCATAATTTAATAAATTTGAAGTGTTTATTAAATGATTAGAGTTTAGTATATTAGTTGTATGAATAGGCACTAATGGTGATGATAATAATGACAATGATGATAATGATGATGAAGTTATGCAATTGAGATTGTTTGTATTAGTTGATGGTATTAAACAAGCTGCACCTATTATATATTTATTTGATCTTAAACTACCATTTGGACAATAATATACTGCAGTTTGAGCATCGAATGGATTATTAAAATTTGCTAAAAAATTCGCTGTTCCATTTGTATGATATTGAAATGGTATAAAGTATGGTTGAGCCTTGATAAATTGAAATGAAATGTGTGTTTTTTTGTTAATATAAACTCTAATAAGAATTAATACTGATTATGTTTATGTAAATAGAATAACTCTATTTTTTGATTGACATCCTGAAACGATTGAACTTAGATCACCATGGAAAACTTGGATGCACTAGATGGCCGTTTCGTTCTATTGTGGGACTCCTCAGCACTGCGCATCCACAATCCCGCTCGTGGGATTCGGACCCAGAGCTCTCAGTCTCGCTCGTGAACGCTTAACCTCTAGACCACTGAGTTGGCTGGCATCCAAAGGTGTTAATGTTTAACCTCAACCAATCCACGAAATTGCGTTACAATCGTCCCACAATAGGAAGAAATGGACGTCCAGTGCTTCCAGGTTTTCGATGGTGGTTTAACATCAATTGGTTATTGATCTTAATCAAAAACTTAGTAATCTACACAATCCCTATAATGATATTAACTTTATTCTCTACTATTAGAGAAGCCGTTCATAACTTCAACTAATGGAATGCTTTATTCAAACATCTATCATTTTTCTCATCTTTGTATATTCAGTTAGTAAATACTGAATTTGCTAATGAAATTTCCTCAGTTCGATGGAGTTTTGTTCTTTGAGCTGGATGGTTTGATCTTGGAGCTTTCATCGGTTCTTCTGAATGACATCATTAGCATAAACTTCAACTAGAAGTGAACGGTTCAAATCTATCTACATGTAGTTCACAGCGGTGAGACAAATTTATGGACGAACCAATCAGGTATATGATAAAAAATCTCCGGTTTTGGTGAGAAATCCACTCATCCATTCGGCTAAAAAGAGTTTTGATATCACAACTGATTGATCACTGGGTGGTGACTAATGTCATGTGTGTTAGGTCGTTATTTAGTGCAGATCGGATGCTATCGACCAAGTTGCAATGTGGCCACTAGTCTAGGTGATTCGACATTGCGTGCATTATGTTGAGGTTAGATGGTGGTTGGAGGTAGTCAACAGGAAACCCTGGACCCGGGCTTCGTGCTACTTGGCACTCGTCAGCAAGATGTACCTATAATCTTTAGGGACTTGGTGCTCCCTGATGGATTGGATCCCGTGTCACCCAGCTTCACAGTGTGAGACGTTACCACTAGGCTATCCGAGCTGTTTTGATATTGTAGTTGATTCCAGTTCGTGGTGAAAACCTTAAATCTAATTCCTGACCCTAACCATCAACTGTAAATCATAATTCTAATTCCTCAAATCAATATATAACCCTCATTTGATCATAGTTATTAGGTGGACACTCTCATGGTCACTATGGCGTCGCTCAAAGGTCGTCCATAAATTCTAGTCTCACCTTCGTAACTTGTGTTGTAGACCTCGATGTTGATTGGTTGACCTTAAAGCTGTCATTGTTTACTTCATTTTTTGGAAGTCAACAATGATAAGTTTAAGGTCGATCAATCAACATGGAGGTCTACAAGACAAGCTATGAAGCACATGCAGAAAAATTCGAACACTTCATTTCTACCTGAAGTTTGTGCGGATGATGATGTCGTTTAGATGAACAATGAAAGTGCCACGACTAAATCATTCAACTCAGAGAACAAAACTCCATCAAAATCATCTACCTGAGCTACAAATCTTCTCCATCATTTCAAAATCTCCTCATTCGGAGTTTAAGGGTTATTCAACTATTTGAGTGTATATCACCATATTTTTTCTTCTTCGTTTCTTCAATTACTGCTCATAGAGTGATTGGTCAGTTAGTGATTTAATGAGAACTGTTACAAAACACTAAGGCAGTATTGTCAAAGGTGACTTATATTCCTAAACTATTTCCTTTTAAGTAGAGCTTCTCCATACAAAATTCACATTAAATAACAGTTATTTTCAGTACTAAAAATCAGTGTACGTTTATATTTTTCTATATATATATATATAAACGGTGACTGAACTAATAGTATGATAAGCAAACTTATCAACGAGAGATGAGTGATCAGTGGAAAATGTGATCTGATGAATCTGTCGTCTCAATTTTCTTTTTTTTGGGAGACTACAGATACAGAAAGCAGATACTTCTACGACTGTGTCACAACCAGGGACTTCGAAAAACGTGCGTTTCGTCCTGTATGGGACTCCTCAGTTGAATGTACCTGTTTTAACTCTGGAATGTAGGTATCTTTAGTTGACGAGTTCCAAATAGGACGAAACGCACGTCCTGGATTCAATGGCTAACCAACATCCATCTTTGCTTATAAAACTTGTGACTTAAGGCGATCCGCATAGAATGCATATATGTCAACATGAAACTGATCAAATGTAGTCCTAAAACCCAACAATAGAAAGATACAAGCAAACAATACCGATGTGAATTTCTCAGTGATATGAAAACTAATCAATAGCGACAACTACTTTATAACTCCATCATATAAAAGAGTGGTATGCTATTATTATTCCAACTTCAATAGACATATTTCATAATTATATACTAAGTCATATCGTATTATCTAACTGTTGATTCAGTTTTTATTAGATATTAGCCTTCACTAGTATTGTAGACAAGTGATTTTTAATACATAAATTCTATGAAATTCGATATGACCTTCATGAAGGTACATACTAAGCAAGTTGAATTATCCAGGAGAACTTATACTTTCTAGTAAACAAACTCATGATCTTAACCGTTGAAATTACTATAATATCCACAAAACCCTTCTGATATTAATCAACATGTGCTCACTAGTGACTGGCTTCAAGAAGTATGTCCTGGAGTTCTATTGAGAAGTACTGACCAGTGGAGTTCAACAAGGTCTCTTGTGAGATATCAACTCACTGATGACAATGGTGGATGTGTCGCTCAATTTCGTGGATTAGTTGAAGTTGGACAGTAACACCGTTGGATACTGGCTCAGTGGTCCAGTCGTTAAGTGCTCGCGCGTGAAACCAGTAGGTTCTGGGTTCGAATCTCGCAGGGGGCGAGGTCGTGGATGCACACTGATGAGGAGTCCCATACTGGGACGAAACGGTCGTCCAGTGCTTCCAGGTTTTCCATAGTGGTCTAGCTTCAACTAACTCATGATCTTAACCATTGAAAAAAAAACATTCAATAATAAATTTACAGTAAACATAAAGTTAAAGTCAATTCACAGGAACTAACCGTCAATAGATTTTTAACAGGTTTAAATAATGATTCAAGTTCTTCTTGTGTTACATCAATTGGTAAACCTGTTAACATAACCATTGATGCTGTAAGATTTGGTAAATTATATCTTGATTGAGTATTTAAATGAGATAAAGTTTTATAATCTAATAAAACATTTGAATGATCTACATTGTTAGATGATATGAAATTGGATGAAGGAATCAATAAACTTTCATAATCATGGTTGGTAACTATTGTTGGCGAAAGATTAAGACTAGAGATTGAATGAATATAATTATCTATATTGTAATTTTTTATGAATGAAGATGTATATTTAATAGGTAAATTTGTATCTGATAATTGAATTGGTGAAGTGATTGCTGAAATGAAATCAGATAAAAATAAATGATACTTCAGCTTTGATAATAATAATGACAATAATAATCACCTTCTCAGTAGTGACTGACTTTAGGAGACACTCCTGGAGTTCTAGTGAGAAGTCGTTGCCAAAGGAATTCAACCAGGTCTGTTGTGAGATATCAGCTCATTGGAGACAATGATGTACGGTGGCGCAACTTCGTGGATTGGTTGAAGTTGGATATTAACACTGTTGGATGCCGGTTCAGTGGTCTAGTTGGTTAAGCTCCTGGAGCGAAACTGATAGGTCCTGGGTTCGGATCTCGCGAGGGGCGGGGTTGTGGATGCGCACTGTTGAGGAGTCCCATACTAGGACGAAACCGCCGTCCAGTGCTTCCAGGTTTTCCATGGTGGTCTAGCTTCAACTGACTCATAATTATTTAGTAATTGAATTCATGAATGAATTGAAGTTCTAGATCATTATAGAAAATCTGAAAAGATCTGTTGACTGTTTCGTCTTAATATGGGATTCCTCAACAGTGTATATCCATGATCCCTCTTTTCATGGGATTTGAACACAGGACTATTGGTTTATCATGCAAACGCTTAACCTATAGACAATTAAGCGGTCATCTAATAGTGTTAATGTCTAATCCCAACTGTCCAGTGTTATGACTTTATGTCCGGCTTTTTATCACGTGATTTATCCACCAATCAAAATACGAATTATACAATTTCAGCACTGTGTCAAATCAATGACGTTCGACCGGTATGGGCAGCCTAGCGTCTTTATTGGTCCTATGTCCGCCTAGCCCGTCCACTTCAGTCCACAAGACCAATACCAGCTTCCAATATGCGAATCGAATCGAATCATTTATTTCAGACATACTGGGTTTATACATCAAATCAAACAGACCACAACGCACAATAAAATAGGAAATAACATTCATACACAAACAAGCCAAAAAGTGGCTGTGAATGTGGGAGGCGGTATTCAATAAACTGAATCTAGTTTAAGAACCGTAAATCGTACAATAATAAATTATAGGTCAAAATAAGGCTTATAATAAGAAGAATATAAATATACATAATTGTCCCTATTTCGTGTCCTCGTTCACTAAATATGTACTCGCTAGATCAGTAACTAATGCCTTGAAGGTATCGTTTATATAAAATACCCTTGTGGGTCAGTGTAATTTTACATTGGTTTTCAGGAGAACCAGACACCACACCATACAGACTTTCACGTGACAACCCGAACAGTATAGCTCAATCCTGCTTCTCAGGAGAACCAGACACAATATTGGCTTCAACGCTACAATCTGAATAGTACAGTTCAATCCTGTCGCACAACTACACAGGTAAAAAGCACCCTGGTGGAACATTCGCAACATTCTTATGCACATTCACAACACATGTATAGTTATTACGATCAATGATCGCATGAATCAATTATGCACAGCACGAACAGGCCAAAGTTCACCTATTCCGCTCACACGACAGTCAAACTCATTGATGTTAGCAATAGCGACATAGCTTACAATGTCCCAATCACAATGGTCCTTGCAAACACTGACAACCAACCCCTGTGTGAATGAAATAGGTTAACTAGCAAACCAATTTTGTGCATGAAAAATCAGCGAAACCTGTCAAAGCAATACCGAACCATCCACAATATCAATGGAGAACCTCCAGTCTCATACGAGACCTTCAGCTCTACATAGCCATATAGCTTATACTGCATACAACACATATATAGGGTAGTAAACGAAATAGCCCAGCCTGAAGTGTTAGGGCTTAAATAACGCTTAAAACCAATTGTCTGGTGTCGAAATACTATTACCAGACCACCAAGATCATTTTTGTTGCATCGGCGAAATTTTTATTTTTCCGACTTTTCAGACCCTGAGTTAGGGATAGCATCCCTAATGTCTTGGAGTATGGAGCTAAATATACTAGATTCAAGTCTCACTGCGAGATCCAGGTACTGAATATTAACAACTGTAAAACTTAAACCCTTCTTTCTATAAATCGATAATATTTATTTCTTCTAAGATTACAATCCACTTCATAAATATGACTTTAAGATAAAAACCAACTCTATAGATCTATCTTTTGCTTTCACTTATTAAATAACCTTCTTATAAACAAACCAATACACGTATAAGGGTATACATATATACTAAAGAATGTTATTGTAGTGAGCACAAACACGAGTGGAGACAATCGAATTTATTGAACAAAAAATTACAGCACACTATACAGCGAATACTTGATTTGCAAAATATCAACCAATTGTCTCAAATTTGACTATTCCTTTTGTAAATATCAGTCCATCGTCTTCGATTTTATTGTTCCTGTATTTTCATATCGATTGTTTTCCATTCCCGCGTTTTATTCCTTTTACGTCTTTTGCTAAAATACATTCTGTAACTGATTATCATAATATACTACTGATGACAACAAATATAAGTAGTTTACATCATAATATCCCGACCGTAGCTGCTACCTTGACGCGGCGGTCGGGCTTGCCTATCGTCATGATCCAACCGAGCTATATTGGTTGGAATATATGTTCCTGTAGCTTCTACAATGCCAGGCAGGTCGACTGGAGAACGGTAAGACCAAAAACAGCAACTCAAGATCTGATGGCGAAGTCGTACTGCTGGCTGTAGAGAGGTGTGACACCAGTAAGGTGTTTCCCTCAGACAACCAGCATCTACAGCGATGCTGCCTTCTCAAAAGAAAGGAAGGGATTAGAAAAGGCCGACCCTAAAAATGTCACACCTCACCTTACCTCACATATTTCCGTCTCCGGGGGTGAGGCCATTTAAAGAACGGAGCTAACACATTCAAAACCTCCCACAAAAAGACCGTGCACGACCGGCCTCAAGCAGTTGTCCCTTGGGCTCTGCGGTCACGTTCCCAGGTCGTCAAGACCAACACTAATCCAACTTTTGTTTCAGGTTCCTCAAGAAATACCCTTTCACGGTGTGGGCAGCCGGGAAGTGATATCAGCCCTCATACCCGTAACAGCATACGAGACTGATTGACTGACATCACAATATATATATATATATATATATATATATATATATATATATATATATATATATATATATATATATATCGCAATGATTATTTAACTATGTCATTTCTCAATAACTTACCATTGAATATATGTTGATCATTCATTTTTGTTTTAATCGGATATTTTATTGTTGATCTTGACCAATTGTAATTGGAATGACTTGATCTATTCCATTTTAATAATGATGTCATATGGATTCTATGTATTGGTATATTATATGTTATATTTGATAAATCAATAATTGATAATTTACCATTATTATCAATATTATATAATGCAAATGTTGGAATATTGGATAATACTTTAAATTGTTGATTATTTCTATATAATGTAGTAATAGTAAATGGTCTACTAATTAAATCATGAATAAATTGAATAGCTTCAGTTATATTCTTTAATGATAATAACCATGATGATGTATGATTATTGTTGTTAGTGTTGGTGGTGGTGTTTGAAATAGTTTCCTTGAAAAATCAAAAAAACAAAACAAGAATTATCCATGCTGTGACTGTTAGTTTCTCAAAACATTGAATATTCTGTTATCAATGTTAGAAACTCTTGACCGTTGTTGTTGTTGTTGTTGTTGCTACCTTGATGTAGTGGTCGGGTATCAGTCAGTCAATTAATCAATCAGTAACAACGTAGAACTTCGTACTTACGTACATCAGTTCGAGTTGCCATACCACATTAGCACAGAGATGCAGTTATCGATTCAAATCCCGTAGTGGTATAGGTAGTAAGAGTATAAGCAGCAATCGGAAAGATTAGGGTCTGAAGATGTTATTCAAGGAGTGTAATCCAGTGAAATAAGTTTAGAGAGAAAAAAAGAAGGGACGTGAAGAATTCAGAAGATTAGAATTTCGGGGAACACAAAGAGTGGATACACCTGCGCGATTGCAAACGATTTTGAGCCACGTCATTCAAGGTCTCTAACCATCGATTGCTGTCATCTCTCGGTCGGATGTGCCTATCGTGATGAATTAATCGAGCTATATTGAGTGGAATAACCATTTCTCAAAGTTCTACCATGTCAGATAGGTCAGTTGAAGGGCGGTAAGACTAAGAACTTAGCAAACTCGAAATTCGAAAGCGAAGTTGTACTGGTGACTGTAAAGAAGTGTGATAGCAGTTGAGTGTTCCCTTCAAACAATCGGTATAACAGCGATGTTGCATTCTCACAAGGAGAGGGGGTTAAAAATGTCGACCATAAAAATGCATATCTCACCTTATCCTACGGATTGCCGTATTCGGCGGTAAGGTTACAATAAGTACAGAGCTAACACGAAAATTACTCACAAAATGGTTGTGTGTGATCGACCTTAAGCAACTGTCCCTTGAGCAGTGAAGCAACCTGAACGAATGCATATGTGTGCCTGATCCTGCATAATAGCTGACTGACTGACGGAAACTATTTTCAAAACGCTGGATTCTTAAAGCATAGAAAGTTGTATTTTAATGCCATTGTCAATAATCAAAAATATGCACTTCATGAATATGGGCACTGCATCATTTTTTTCGTATTTACTGTAGAAATTTCTTTAGTTCTATTCTATTTCAATGAGCAAACACTATTATAATAAGTACATCGGTTAAGTTGAGGATCTCTATGCACTTGACTGAGTTTTTCTACTTTCATTTTAAATACTACATAGGTTGGATAATGGTTAACAGTGGAGTCCAAGACGCGTGTTTCATCTTATTTGCGGCTCGTCAGTTGGATATACCTGCATCCCAGAGTTGATATTCATTAAGTTCAAGTCCCAGAGTGAACATCAACTCTGAGATGCAGGTATATCCAACTGACGAGTCCTAAATAAGACAAAACGTGCGTCCTGAATTCCACTGCTAGCCACCATCCATCTTTACTTATGGGGCTTGTAAGTTAAGGCAATATCGAGGCAATCCATACGGGATGCAGATTTTCTAATAAGACACTGATCCTATACATCAATGGAAGGATTCATACAAACAATACTAAATGAATTTGGACTATCCTGACGTTTGAGACAATTGATTGACATCTTGCAAATGAAGTCTTCACTGTATAGTTCTCAGATTTTACCACGAGATTATGTATGTTCAAATACATTCGATTGTTCCCACTTAAGTTCTCATTCACTACAATATCATTTCAATTGTAAGTAATAAAAAAGACAACATCATTATTAATTTCCTTCACTGACTCTTAATGTTAGATATATCTTCAGCTTATGTTGTTTAAAATACCAAAGTCTGGACTAAAAACGTTAGGTACTAATGATATCACAAGCCATTTCAAGTTAGACATCTATTGAAAACCAGTTCAAACGTGTTGGATGTGAGGAATACACATGCTGAAGACAATGAAAGATGGTCACTCAGTGTAGCCAATTAACTGGAGTTAAACACTCATATTATTAGATTTCTGCTCACTGGTTTAAAGATTGAGTACTCACATACAAGATTGAAGGTCCAGAGTTCGACCCCTGGTGAATACGTGTGTACACACTGTCAAGGAGTTCTATGCTAGGACAAAACGTCTGTTGAATACTTCCTGAATTTTAATGGATGTCTAACTTAGTCTATAATATCAAGAACATTTGTTAGTTTCCGTAAACCTCTATTCTTATGGCTTTAGTTACATTATTTAAACTAGGGATCATAATAAACTTAACGACAATTTAGATGGAACTAAAATGAGTGAACTGTTCATTTGATTGTACTATCAGGGATATTGAATACAAATGAGTTTTGTTCATCTAGATTCATTAGATAAACATATTATTAAATAAAATCATTTAGTAAATAATGCAAAATAATTACCATCCTTCTCATACGATAAACCTTTGCAAAATTAGCTGGACCCAAATACAATCGAATATCATGCCTGGATGTTTCCATGGGCAATTCATTCAACTGAACCATAGCACATGCACCACCAATTGGCATTGGTCTTGCAAATGGACAGTCAGGATCTGTTGGATCAGTTAGGTCACGTATGAGTGGATTTGTAATAGGTATATTTGGTAAAACATTAAGATTCACTGAAGAATTGTTTGGTGAGATCATTGGTATGGATGATGATATACCTCCTAATGTATTATTTAATAATAAATTCTCGTTTAAGCCAGATGAATCCAATCCTGTTCCATTTGACGTTAATAAGTTATGTGATAAACCCAAAGGGATTGTGCCAGAATTCCATAGATTTTGTACATTTGATAGGGCTCCAGTACTGATAGCCGATTTCAAATGTGTAAGAGCTGGGCTTAAATAACCTTCCTTGTTATTACTACTGTTACTATTATTATTGTTTACAAAATTGACTAGATTAGAACAGTTGATTTGTGTTCCTCCATTTATTAGTGGTACACCTATAATTCCATTAGATTGGATGTTCGATAAGGCTGAATATGTTTTCTGTCCAGATGATGAGCATTGAAATAGTGTTACATTATGACAAACCTAGTCGAAAATAAAAATAAAGTAGAAAGACCACTGAGAAAAAAGCATAGTAAACTAGTACAAATCTGATTGGTAGCACAATACAACTTCCTTACCTACTTACTTACGTCTGTTACTCCTCGTGGAGGAGCATCGGCTTAGTTGATGTGTATGCGTTTGTGTGCTTCATACATGATATTTTCGTTCCTTCATAGAACGATCAGATAGGTTTTTATTAAGGTTTGTAAATTGTTAAGTAATCTGAGTCACTATCCAAAAATGCCTACAGAAATTCTGTAATCATAATCCGAAAGTTTACTCTAGCGAGAATTGCTCATTAGAAAGTAAATACTCAAACAATGTTTCAATTTTTCATACAGATGAATTTGGGATATCTGAAATGCCAATATCAAGCGATGTCATCATAACTATTCATGTAAATTATTTCAACAGTAGGTTAAACTATTAAACCCACTTTCATATAGTGTTTGTTTTAAGCTGATGAATATATGAGGTAGGACTTACCCTATATCTCATTTCTTCTTACCATTCTCATTTATACTTTTAACTTTATTTTATAATCCTTAACATAGACAATTATATAATTACCTGGTGGTATGGTAGATGATAACACACCATCAGTTATATTGATCTATGAAAATGGAGCTTACATAAAATCTTTCCTTTATATATTACACCATTGAGTTAAGTGCTTCTATGAATTCGGTGTTTGTCTTGCTGTGCTAATGAGGTGTGGCAACTTGGACTGATGCATGTATGTGCCTGATCCTACGTTGTAACTGATTGACCTTTCAAACTCCAGTCAAGTAACTAGATCAGTTTCACTAAACTATATCAATGATCTAAAATCATTTTCTGAGGTCAGAATAGTTTATCCAATAATCAGGTAAGTCTGTATTAGTTTGTCATAAAGATATTTGATACTGGAGTATTGTCTATGATATTTTTCTCTCTTTAATTAAAGAATAGATATACAACTGTAGTGTTTATATGAACTAACGATTCCCTTGTAAATTTCACAGGCTGAAGTCATGAGTCAATTGAAGCTAGACCACCATGGAAAACCTGGAAGCACTGGAAGGCCGTTTCGTCCTAGTATGGGACTCCTCAGCAGTGCGCATCCACGACCCCGCACCACGCAGGGCTCGAACCCAGGACCTACTGGCTCCGCGCGCGAGCATTTAACCACTAGACCACTAAGCCGGCATCCAACGGTGTTAATGTCTAACTTCAACCAATCCACGAAGTTGCGCCACCGTACACTAGGACGAAACGGCCGTCCAGTGCTTCCAGGTTTTCCATGGTGGTCTAGCTTCAATTGACTCATGATTTCAACCTGTGAAATTTCTAAAACTCTCCACAAAACTCATTCCGATACCTTTGTACTTGGTGAATGCTTGATTTTGAATTCTAAATTATTTATTTATTTATTTGAACACATAAATATTGGCACAAAGGGGCACCAAACTCATATGCACCACATAAGTCACTTGATTTTTGTGTATGATATTGCCCCGGTACCCAAACCGAAGTAGGCGGTTTCCTTAAGTGGCCATATCCGGAACCTTCGACCTGAAAGTCTAATCTACAAGGAAGTGGAGCAATTTATGGAGATGCAATCCCATAGTAATCGGTGACTAATAATTCGTTCATACTCCATTTGCTTTCTTAGGATCTTGGAGTCCGTGTGCACCATTGGTTTGGAATGAGGGTTTTCCAACTCCCCCAAGTGGATCTTCCATATCCATCAACCTGGTTAAAGCGCCGGACATTCGCTTTTCATCCTCTCAATTTCATAAATAACAGTGATCCAGTAAGTAGGATTTCCCTGGTAGTGGCTGTATACACGTGACCATATGAGTGCATTTCAATATGGGAAGCTGACTCTCCTCATTCTCAGCCATTTGTTCTCTTGTAGTTCTTTTTGGCTTGAATCTTGTTATTTTAGGAATTCCTAGTTCGTACAATCATTCAAATACTTTAAACTATCACAACAATTGATAGAGAGAAAATTTGGTTCGACAAATGTTTGTTTGTAAAACGACTGAATAATAATGATGGTTCTTTGACAATTATTCAAAGATATAGATTACAATACAAATATAATAGAATACTTAGTAACTATTATAGAAAAAAATACATGTATATATATATATATATATATATATATATATATATATATATATCACCATAACAACTACCTGAACCATTTCAGATGGTGATGCTTTAAATAATTCAACATATCTATCACCTAAATAATCTTTATGACGTGTTAATGCTTTAGTTGCTATAGTATCATTAGAAAATAGAATAAATGCATCACCAGTTGGTCGTTGATCTGGATAAGTCACTAAATAAATTCCTTGTTCATTTAACATAATTGGTGCTTGAACAATATTGAAAAATTCAATCTAAAACCAAAAAAAAAAAAAGAAAAGAGTAAAATAAAATTTACATCAACTTCTAAAGTTTGATATGTAGTCTACTTAGTAACTAATTATGTCACTAACATGATCACAGTAGTACTAACCACCAGATTTAACACCAACCTGAAAAATTATTCAATCATTTTAAATAATAAAAAAACAACAACAATTGGATTAGTTTCATGATCTAAATTATCATCACCAAATCATTATTTTTCAATAGTTTAGATTATGAATCCAATGAAAGTAGATCATCATAGAGAATGTGGAAGCATTGGATGACTATTTCGTCTTAGTGTAAAACTCTTTAGTAGTACACATCTACAATCCTGCCTTGTGAGATTCGAATCTTGATCTTATCAGTCTCATACATGAACACTTAACCTTTAGACTATTGAGCTAGCATCCATTGATGTTAATATTAAACTTTAACTAATCCACGAAATTGAGCAATAGATCCAATATTACATTCAATGAGTTACTATCTCACAATAGATCTGGTTGAACTCCACTTGATCATTGTTTCTCATTAGAATTCCAGGAAGTACCTCTTGAAATCACTCACTACTGAAGAACTCCATAATAGGATGAAACCGTTATCTAATGCTTCCAGGTTGTTTTATGGTGATCTAACTTCAATAAACTCATGATCTTAACTATTATTATCATGTATCTAAAAAACCCAGTAGCTTCACAATAGAATCACCGATAACATGATCAATGACATTTAACCATAAATACATGATGATTATAAATTCTATTCCTATAGAAAACCATAATTCAATCTTGTATATAAACAAAAACAACAACAACAATAGAGCACATTGAATATAAAGAAAATTGAAATCTTACTACTAATACTACTGCTAATACTACTGAATGAATGAATGAACTATGTCACCATAAGACAACATAAATTATGTAAGCAAAACTAAACCTTATCCCATTGAGTATTTCGGTTTGTTTGTTTGTTTGTTTATAAAAAAAAAAACATTCACGAACAATGTAAACATAAAGAAAATAGGATAGTAAGAGAGGGGTTTTGTGGATATTATACTAAGTTCAATAGTTGAGATCATGAGTCAATTGAAATTAGACCACCATGAAAAAATTGGAATCACTAGACGGCTGTTTCGGCTTAGTATAGGAGTCCTCTTCAGTAGTGCACATCTACAATTTCGCCTCACGAGATTTGAATCTAGGACTTATCAGTCTCAGGCGTAAGCGCTTAACAACTGAATTACCAAGCTGGAATCGAAAGGTGTTAATGTTTGAATTCAACTAATCCACGAAGTTGCGCCACCATCCACCATTGTCTTCAGTGAGTTACTATCTCACAACAGAACCGATTGAATTCCACTGGTCGCGGCTTTTCACTATAACTTGAGGAAATACCTCTTGAAGCTAGTCACTAGTGAGCATATGCTGATTAGTATCAGAAGAGGTTTTTTTGGATATTATAGTAGTTTAGTTGGTGAATTCATGTATCGATTGACGCTAGACTACCATGGACAACCTGGAAGCACTGGATGGTTGTTTCGTTGTAGTATGGGACTCCTCATCCACGATCTCAACCCGCGAGATTCAAACCCAATAAAGCAAATTAATTAATTTGATTGACATAAGATAATAGTACAAGATAGTTCTATGTATGATACTATACACCTAAATAAATGTCAAATTAGATATGAATTTAATCTATACTTATAGCAAAGATTAGTTACATAAATGATAAAACACAATGGCATCTGTTTAAGATTGGTGCTATTAATCTCTTAAATTGTCATTAATAAGTATGAGCTTATAAAACTTATTAACTAATGGGAATAAAGTTGATAGAACTATTTCAAATGATATCAAATAGTAGGAAATAAGAACATTGAAACTACTATGTTGTGTGCTACTTATATCGACATGAGTAGTATATAATGAAAGTCAGAAATAAAATGTCTGGCAGTAGAAGATCGAGAAGGAAAGAGAATAGAAAACAATTGGTATGGAAATGTAGGAATAATGAAGTTTGAGACGATTGACTGATATTTACAAAAGGAACAGTTCAGTTGAGACAATTGATTGACATTTTACAAATTGAATATTCACTGTATGGTCCTCAGATTTTAGTGAGATATTCTGTGTGTTCGACTACATTCAATGCTCCTCCCCATTTGTGTTCTCGTTCACTACACTATCACTTATACTGCAATCTATCGATTCAAGCCAAGGCAGTTTACTGATATGTTTAATACACATTAGGGTAAATTTTTATGAGCATAGAAACAAATTAAGAATTCACTTTTTCCTTCGTAAATTATAGATTAATCTTAATCACTAAAGATTTTACAAATGTAATCTGTATTGAATGCCTTCTATTTAATCTAAGAGCCTAGTTTGTGTGTAGCTGATAGCTTAAAGTATTAAGATTCTAGTTCATAAGAATGGTTGTGTTTAAAAGATAATTTACTAGGCGCTTGTTACATTCAAGGTTCACTAGATTTCATAATGTAATTAACGATTTCTTTGATCTTATAAACACGTTCAATATTATGATTTTATCTATAAAGAAGGTCACTTTTCTCCTACGAAAATATTACTTAATTACGCATGTTACCCTTCGTGGTGGAGCATAGGCCGCTCATTAGAGTTCTAGATTCAAATCTGTCCTGGTCAATCTTTTGCAATTGTTTCCAGTTGCTATTCATTCTTATAATATCTCCTTCGAATTCCCGACGTAATTTACTCTTTGATAATAATCTTCTCCGTTTTTCTTCGGGATTCCAAGTTAGCGCTTGCCTCGTGATGCACTTTGATGATGTTCTCAATGTGTGTCCTATCCACTTCCAGCGTCTTTTCCTAATTTCCTGTTCAGCTGGAAGTTGGTTTGTTGTCTCCTATGGTAGGGCGTTGCTGATGGTATCCAACCAATGGACATTCACTACATTACGTGGACAATTATTGATAAATACTTGTAATTTCTTGGTGATGGTTGTGGTAGTTCTCAGAGTTTCAACTCCATACAATATGACTAACCGTATTGACGTTCGTATTGAAGATTGTGAGTTTGATATTGGTTGACAGTTGTTTTGAGTTCCACATATTCTTTAAATGTAGGAATGCTGTCGTTGCTTTGCCAATTCTAGCCTTCATGTCTGCATCAGATCCTCCTTGTTCATCGATGATGCTACTCAGATAAGTGAAACTCTCCACCTTTTCCAGAGTTTCTCCACCAAGTGTGATTGGGTTGGTGTTCTCCGTGTTGTATTTGAGGATCTTGCTTCTTCCCTTGTGTACATTGAGGCCTACTGCTGCAGAGACTGATGCTACCCTGTTTATCTTCATCTGCATTTGTTATTGTGTATGGGATGATAGAGCAAGACCATGTGCGAAGTCCAAATCTTCTAACTGATTTCGAGCTATCCATTGTATTCCGTGTCTTTCCTCAGATGTCGAGGTCTTCATAATCCAGTCAACCACCAAAGGAAAGAAGAAGGAAGATTTTAAGCAGTTTTGTCTGACTCCGGTCCTCACTTGCAATGCGTCTATCAACTGTCCTCCATACACCACCTTGCAGTTTATTCCGTCATATGAATTCCGGATGATGTTGACGATTTTCCCAGGTACACCATAGTATCGACGAGGTCGAAATAAAGCCCTCCTATCCACACTGTTAAATGCTTTCTCTCAGTCAAGGAAGTTGATGTATAGTGACGAGTTCTATCCAATTGATTGCTCAACGATGATCCGTAGTGTCGCAATTTGGTCTGTGCACGACCAATCGTTACAGAATCCAGCCCGTTGATCTCGAAGTTGGGCGTCTACTGAATCTTTCACCCGGTTTATCAACACTCTGTCAAAAACCTTTCCTAGTACTGACAACAGTGTAATTGTTTCGTAGTTCTCACATTTGCTCAAATCTCTTTTCTTTGGTATCTTGATGAGGTGTCCTTCTTACCAGTCTATCGATAGTTGTTCTTCCTCTCAAATCTTCTAAAGTAGAACGTAGAACAACTACGACTGTAGTTCTTCTAGGGTTACTACCGATACCAATTTCAGGTAAATGAGGAGAGTTGAGCATGTGATCAGAGACCTCATCCCTTAGAAAACAACTTTACTAAAACAAAACAAAAAACACTAACCAAAATAAACAATTCAAATCATTTACAAAATCATATCACCATAATTTTCTTGATATTGAAATAAATGGCATAATCAATTTCATAATGATTTAATATAAAGGGAACTTAAGCAGCAAATCATTTCATTTCCATTATTATAACAGCTAGACATCGTTCACTGATCGTAAGAAAAGAAAGATTTTATTATAAACCAATGAAACTATAAAGGAATAACCAATTGAACCATTAGAGTATAACTTGATCTTGGAAGCTATTTTAACACAAATCAATCAATCAGTCAGTCAGTCAGTAACAACGTAGAACTTCGTACGTACGTTTAACACAAATACACATTGCTATCGCAAGACATCTCCTTGATACAGGACATGAAGTTGATATACTGAAGTCCTTCAAGGTGATTAACAAACAATCAAACTCCAACCTTTTGAAATTTGCTGAAGCATTAGCAATCGAACGTTTAAAACCAGATCTATGTATACAAAAAGAGACAGTAATAAATCTTTCTTTACCCTGGTAACAATAACCCCCACCCTTTCTATTCATTTGCTCCTATTTATTTATTTATTTATTGCGTCATTATTGCAACTCTTTCTGAAATATAAATTACATCATACATAAATGATTGATTTCAATTCATATCTTTCTTTATTATCCATTAATCTATTTTCATGAGTTCTAATCACTATTTCAATGTTCCGGAACATTCCCTCTCAAACTTTATTTATTCGATACAAAACATTTTATGACCTCATCAACTCTATCGGAATCTTCGTTACACCATGATACACATGTATTCATCTTTAATCACCCTCTAATGTATAAGTATGTCAATATCTATAATAAAGTTGAATTTCAAATAATTTAGGATGTAATCAGTTGATGAGAACCTAACGAAATACAATGAATTCATGTATTATTCTGCACCAATCTTTGTTCTTGTTCTCTTTAAGATAATAAAGGGAACTATGTGTATGAAATAAGTATCTATATTATCGAAGTCAGATTTATCGAATAATAAATGACATTGATTCGGAATTCCTATGATGGATTAAACTGCAAAATTGTGCATGGAGGACAGTTGACAAACTCGTTCGAGGTAAAGACCGGTGTCAGGCAAGGTTGCTTACTCTCACCCTTTCTCTTTCTCCCGGTGATCGACTGGATCATGAAGACGTCAACGTCTGAAGGGAAGCACGGGATACAATGGACACCTAGGATGCAGTTGGACGATCTGGACTTCACAGATGATCTGGCCCTTCTATCCCAAACGCAACAACAGATGCAGGAGAAGACGACCAGTGTGGCAGCAGCCTCAGCAGCAGTAGGTCTCAATATACACAAAGGGAAAAGCAGGATTCTCCGATACAACACAGAATGCACCAATCCAATCACAATTGACGGAGAAGATTTGGAAGATGTAAAAACCTTTACGTATTTGGGCAGCATCATTGATGAACAGGGTGGATCTGATGCAGATGTGAAGGCACGGATCGGCAAAGCAAGAGCAGCATATTTACAACTGAGGAACATCTGGAACTCAAAGCAACTGTCAACCAACACCAAGGTCAGGATTTTCAATACAAATGTCAAGACAGTTCTACTGTATGGGGCAGAAACCTGGAGAACTACGAATGCCATCATCCAGAAAATACAGGTGTTTATTAACAGTTGTCTACGCAAAATACTTCAGATCCGTTGGCCGGACACTATTAGCAACAACGTACTGTGGGAGAGAACAAACCAGATTCCAGCGGAGGAAGAAATCAGGAAGAAGCGCTGGAAGTGGATAGGACACAAATTGAGGAAAGCACCAAACTGCGTCACAAGACAAGCCCTCACATGGAATCCTGAAGGCCAAAGGAGGAGAGGAAGACCAAAGAACACATTACACACAGAAATGGAAATAGACATGAGAAAAATGAACAAGAATTGAATGGAACTAGAAAAGAAAGCCCAGGACAGAGTGGGTTGGTGAATGCTGGTCAGCGGCCTATGCTCCATTGGGAGTAACAGGCGAAAGTAAGTAAGTAAATGACATAGATTAAATGTATTATTCAAAAGAAGGTGAGATGATAATTTCTCGACGACTTTGGAATGACACCGAAATGACCTTGTGAGTGTCTCCACCGTAATACTTAAGACTAAATGAAAGTTATAAATCAACATGTGAGAAATTAGTTGATGGTTACGGTTAGATGTATTAGATTTAAGGTTTTCATCACGAAATGGATAAGTGAATTTTTGCGCCAAAAATTCAAGACCTATTATCTAATATCTAATTGGTTCATTCATAAATTATAGTGTCATCCCAAAAGAATAAAATTGACTATAATGTTAAAATAGATAAATGAAAACAAAACTCTCAAAAATTTAGACATTACACTATGAACTAAGAAACTGTCGTCTAAATTTGATTGAATAGTTTCATTACAGTATTTGGGCGTTGAGTTGATGTGAGATATAAAAAAAAGAGGAAGGATATTTCCATGAAAACTCTTCCTGGTGCCTCTCGGGTTACTGCTGTCCAAATACCGGATAAAAGAGGAGGGTAGCCATGGAGTTGGGGGTTTCATCCCGTGGAAAACTAATTCGCTAAAAACGAAACCCAAACCAGAAAAAATTATATTTTCGTGAAAATGTTTGGATCAGATTGTTAGGTGAAATGTTGGATTTTAGAAATAGAACATTCTTCCTATTTAATGTTACACTACTAACATTATATTAAAAGCTTAATCATATTATACACCAGTGGATAAGTATGAGATTGATGCAAAATGTATCATAAAAAATTATAATTACTATTTTAGAGCTTTGTGTATTATGGTGAAGATTCTACAGTAAAAAGTCGGAAAAAACAAATTGATTATATATGGATTAAACATAAGCTAAAGGATTATGGATACACACTGCTGAAGAGTTTTACAATAGGAGAAATGGTTTTTCCAATGTTTCGAGATTTTCCATGATGGTCTAGTTTCAATGAACTCATGATCTCACCTATGGAATAAACTAAGATCAGTATCAATTGATGCGGTTGTTACAGATTATAACAATAGTGACTACTAATCATTATTCAGATAAAAGGATCTAAATATACTAACTACAAAACGAAAAAAATTATTTATATTACAGTGTTATGGGAAGATTCAAGTAAAACAATACCAAGTGAATTAAACTTCACCCCATTGCACAAGTAAGTGGCTATCAGGACTCAGTAGCTAAGTGGATAAAGCGATGGCGTTTGAAGCGAACGGTACTGAGTTCGAGTCCCAGAGTGAACATCAACAAGTCTGAGATGTAGGTACCTCAAGCTGACGAGTCTCAAATAGGACGAAACCCGCGTCCTGAATTCCACTGCTATCCACTATCCATCTTTGCTTATCATCATTAACATTTCAATGATGAAAACCGACTTCGATTTCATTCTCTTATATGTAGATCCTAAGTAACATTGTAATCTCTAAAGTATATTAAACATTAAGGTAGATAATTGTTTAAAACCATTTGTTTATATTAGTCTATTAAAATATAATGTTCAATATGAACATAATATAATGGAAACACACACTATAAAAACATGACAATCCATCAGATTCAATGGATCACAACAACAACAACAACAACAACAGCCATAACAACAACAAAAAAGAAGACAACATGATCACCTTCAAAACAACTAATCCTAAAGTATACCAATGAAAGAAAAATACCAAAAAAAGTAAATAAACCATTCACCAAAAGTCAATTGTATAGTATTATTACTATCATTATTAATAATTACATGTATAGAATTGTATTAAATGTGTCATAACACGACGTAATCAATTATGCTGAAAAATAATATAAGAAAAATCTAAGTTTAAAGTATTACAATAACTAATAATTATGTAATCAATGAATGAATTAATTTCAATAATTAAGATCACGAGTCAGTTGAAACTAGACCACCGTTGGAAACCTGAAAGCACTGGACGATCTTTTCGTTCTGTTGTGGGACTCCTCAACAGTGCGCATGCACGGCCGTTCAGTGCTTTCAGATTTACCACGATGGTCGTCTAGTTTCAACTGACTCATGATCTTAACCATTGAAATTACTATAATATCCAAAAAACTCATCTGATATTAATTAGTTAATTAACAATTGATTATAGAATAAGAATGAATGAGATTAGAATTGATTGACGACCTTGGTGTGATACCACCACAATGACCTTGAAAGTATCCCCGCCCCCATCTAATAACGTAGACTAAAGTTACTACAGATTTAAAACTCGAATGGGTATGATATTATTAAACTCATTTCATAGAAAAGGACTTTTCTATCACAACACATTAACCAGTAAAGTACAAGAGTCTAAGAGCTAATTCAGGATAGAATTCATTTCAATCGTTATTCAAAACTGTATAGCTACAATCTTCTTTCATCAATCAATCTATAAAGAAAAAACCTTGAGACAAACCTTAACATGGAATCTTCAAGGAAACAGAAATGAGGAAGACTAAAGAAACACATTACTTTGAGAAATAGAAGCAAATCAGAAGAGGATGAATAACAACTGGAAACAATTGGAAAGGATTGCCCGGAACAGGGTTGGATAGAGAGTGTTGGTGGGAGGCCGCCACCTATGCTCCTTTACGAGAAGTGATAGGTGTAAGTAAGTAAGTAAGTAAATGCAATTTACATCGGTTCCTATGAACCAGACATCTTAAAACGATCATTTACACAATCTTTTTCTTTTCCTATTTTCTTCTTTATTTAGAATAATGAATAGAATTGTTTTATTAAAACTTACAATTTGTTTTTTACATGTTGTATATGGTAGACCACGTACACGTACTACAACTTGTTCACCATTTGTTAATTGATTCAAAAACGTTATAACAGATTCTTGATCACCTATATAATACAATATAATAATGATATATAATTCAATATAAAGTAATACTACTGTTTATAATTATAGTAGTATTTATCAAATAGAATAAATATTACTTACTTACTTTACTTACCTACTTACTAACTCACTCACTTACTTACCTACATACTAACTGACTGACTTACTCACTTTACCTATTTACTCACTTACTGACTTGCTTGCTTACTTATTGACTGACTTATTCAGTCATTCACTCAATTAATTACTTACTTAATTACTTTCCATGCACCTATAAAATTGTTGCTCTGGTTGTTAGAAAAGAGCATCGGTCACGTGATTTCCAAAGAATCTTGGCTTTCATTTTAAGGCGTCATAATTGTTCATTGAACTTTGAAGGGCAAATCACTTGGTATTGTTTTACTTGAATCTTCCCATTGATGTTTTAGGACTGAAATTGATCAATCCCTCATTGCACAAGCAAGTGACTATCAGGACTCAGTAGCTAAGTGGATAAAGCGATGGTGTTTGAAGCGAACGGTACTGAGTTCGAGTCCCGGAGTGAACATGAACTCTCAGATGCAGGCAAATCCAGCTGACGAATCCTAAATAGGATAAAGCACGCGTCACACTGGGTTCCACTGCTAGCCACTATCCATGTTTGCTTTGAAGGGCAAAGTTTAAATGATTTAATTTGTTTAATCTAGTTGGCGGTTTTTTTTTAGCAAGATATTTTTTAAGGGATTGGGTTGTTGACCTTATGCTCAACCCTCCTCCTTTACCTGGGATTGGGACCGGTAGTAGTAACTCTAGAAGAGCTACAGGCAAAATAAATATTACGAAACATATTTTCATTAGATTATGCTTCATAAAATTCCTCATCTATATTAGATTTGTTTAATTGATTATGTACATTATATTTAAGTAGTAAATACAATAGTAAATAAATTTTAGTAAGCTAAAGTAGATCAATGCACTCGAACTTATATTGAACGTATGATATTGATATAAGCCAAATTATCTAGTTGTTTAAACGTTGATGAAATCAAAAGGGATTTGGATCGATTGTGGTATGTGTTACTTATATCGACATAAGTAGTATATAACAATAGTCAGAAATAGAAGATGCAGGAGGAAAGAAAGGAAACAGAAGGCAATTGTTATGGAAATGCAGGAATAATAAAGTCCGAAATGATTGATTGACATTTTGCAAATGAAGTATTTACTGTATAGTTCTGAGATTTTATTAAGACATTCTATAATTTTGTGTTTGAATACATTCGATTGTCCCCATTTGTGTTCTCGTTCACTACATCATGACGAATAGCTTTCTTAGCTCAGTAAGTTGATTAACGACTGACTATATTCAGATCTCTTTCAAGTAATCCAATTGTTTTAAAGTACTGATTAGTCTATTCATGAAGAGAATTTATCTGAAACATTATAACAACCACTGTATTTGATAATCTCTTTGAAAGGATAAAATCAATCTGATAAAAGTATTCTCTATTCTTGTAAGTTTATTAATAACGACATTTCTTAATTAGTGGACAGTGGCTCAATTTCATGAATTGGTTGGATACCGTTGAATACCGAACCAGTGATCTTAGGGGTTAAGCGTTCACGCGGAGACTGAAGGCCCTGGATTTGTATCTCGCAAGCGAGATCGTGGATACACACATCTGAGATGTCTCATACTAGGACGAGACGGTCGTCCACTGCTTTCAGGTTCTCCATGGTAGTCTAACTTTAATTGACTCATGAATTCAACTATTAAATTTAACTGTTTATGATTATGGCTTTAATTTAGATTAGGGTATTAAGTTTACATACTATTTTAGTCAAAACACCAGAAACAAAATATCTGGCACAATGATGCAGTGAATTAGTTTAAATATATACCAAACAGACATTTTCAAGTAAGTTCATTTAAACTCTGCTTATCTGGCCCATTGAATTAAAGAAGTCAAGTGTATCGTTCTGTATCCCTTGAACGGTAAATATGAATCTACCGAACAAAGATAGACATTGATGAACTTCAATCGTGATAAGGTTTCATTGAGACTATAATTTATGGACAACCTTTGAGCAACGCTAAAGTGACTTTGAGAGGGTCTACCTACTTAATAGGGCTAAATGAAACTTATAAAGCAGTTTGAAGAATAAAGACAATGATTTACATTTGATGGTTAGGAATTAGATTTAAGGTTTTCATCATGAATTGACATAAGTTATAATGCCAAAACTCTATTTAGCCAAATGTGTGAATGAATTTCGCGCCGAAATCTAAGACCTATTATCACAGATCTGATTGATTCGTCCTTAAATTATAGTCTCGCCACCCGATTCATTTAATTTGGTGATACTGAATAGGCCATAAATTGTATCTAAAATATTGGTTGCTATCACACTGCATAGATTATGGTGAGTTTATGAGGAATTAGCTCAAAATAGACCGAGTTGGATTTTTTTTTTTAAATTTCATTTTAGTGATTATGTCTTTAGTTCACCATAGATACTTGAACATTAATCAAATGACCGTTGCGCGTTCTGTTGATGATATGTTGGTGGATAAATTGCTCTCTGGTTGTCCTTTGTAAAGCTATTTTTACTGGTATTCGAAAAACAGCTACAATGGAGGTATGAGATAGTAATTAGAGTGTAGATCCATTACTAAAGGAGAAAGTTTTGATCATTAGAATATTGAAAATATCCTCCTATTATATATATTAACATCAATCTCACCAACTTTATCAAGTTTTAAGTATGCCTTCAAGAAGGATTCCATATCAAGCTTCGTTTAATGAAGCAGTATTATAGTATGAAGAATAAGAATGTGAAGTTAGTATACTTTAATGAATTCACAGAATATTCATTCGGAAGAGATGACAAAATGACTTCAAGGATTATAAACTATTACATATAATCGAAATCCTTATCATTAGTAATAACGTTTTATATAGTTTAATAGAGATGGTACTTTTTTATACAAATTTTCTAATATCTTCATTTGCTTATTTGTGTTGTGTAAGGACGGTCCACGGGTGAATTCAAGGAAGCTCTAAGAAGCTCAGAAATATCCGAAGATATTCCATCCAATCAGCTTTCTTGGAAGAATATTCAAGAATCACCACGTGAAGCTTTCGTATTGGACAAATGCTAAGAACCCCTGTGTGCGGATTGGATAACTATAATGATGATTTCATTTTCACAAAAAAAACTATAAATACCTGACAGTTTTGTACTATAATTGACACTGATTGGAATAACATTCCTTTCTCTTGTCTTCTCTCTTCACATTTGAGAATTGGGAGGGTCCTAGCGTCCAAGTGCTCAAGTTATACGCGGTATATTAAGCGTCTAAGCTCCAGATATAACATGTTGTAATTATGTAATTAGTATTACAAAACTTGATATATGCGTGTATTTAGTACGTGTTCAATAATAATGATAATATAGTTACAATGGTTTGGCCTTATTTCATATTCAATCAACCTCGGACTAATTAAATAGATAACTATTAACTAAGAATAACTCGGCTAATCTTGTAAATAAAACATTGATTATTAAAAGACAGTTTACGTGATAGAATGATCTCAATCACTATAATTCATTAAACATGATCACAATTAGTACGTTATGGTTACCAACTCAACTGTTTACAACAACCATCCTATCAGTAATCCAATGCCATTTCTTCAAAACACACAATCACTTCTCAACACCTTATTCAAAACTTAATCTTCCATAATCCCTACTTCAATCAACATACTCATTAACATGTCAAACAACAGTCAAACTCGGAAAATTAATCATCATTTTCACTTACATCCAGCACACTGAACAAATTCCTTCCCTGAAGCTGGATGGATTTGCAAGTACATCGGTTTCATTGAACCACTTATAATCTGTTGAATACCATCAGTCGAACACTCACTACGACTATTAACACAGATTTGATTGGTGGGATTACTGTTGTCTGTAACATGATTGTTTGATGAGGATGACGACATAATATGCACATCCAATGTATTATTTGCAATCTCTGTCATCAACGAACTACACAAATGATGTTGATTTCTTGCTAATGCAAGTTGAGCATTCTTCGAATCATTGAAAGCAACAATAGCAGTGTTACTGCGTCGTCCATCTGTCAATCGAATGGCTACTCCACCAGGAAGAACATTCAGACCGGTGAAATAATGAGCGATTGTAGCTGGTGTGGCAGTCCATGGAACTTGACGTATTTCAACAACTTGACTGTCCATTATTTTCAATTTACGTGAACTAATAGAATGGAATAAATAGATAGTTGACATCTATAAAATGATAATTAGTTTCTATAGCACACATTTGTGTTCTTGTCTACAATAAAAGATCGTTATGCATAAAACTGGAAGCACTGGACGGTCGTTTCGTCTTATTGTGGGACAATTGTGACTCGATTTCGTGGATTGGTTGAGGCTAGACATTAACACCATTGGATGACTACCAAGTCAGTGGTCTAGAGTTTAAGCGTTCACGCGCGAGACTGAAAGCCATGGGTTCGAATCCCACGAGTGGGATCATGGTTGCACATTGCCAATGAGTCCTACATTAGGACGAAACGTCTGTCCAGTGCTTCCAGATCTTCAATGGTGGTCTAACATCAATCGGTTCATGATCTCAATCAAAAACTTAACAATCTCCACAACCCCTAAACTGACAATTACCATGTGTTCGCTAGTGACTAGCTTCGTGAGGGAATTCTCGGAGTTCTGGTGAGAAGCCGTGACAAGTGGAGCTAATCTGTATCGGGTAGAGACAGATATCTACCTCACCAATGGATGACGACTCAGTGGTCTAGAGGTCAGGCGTTCGCACTCTAGATCTGTTATATTTCATCGGGATCACGAACTAGTCTAAGTTAGATAACCATTGGATTAGTCAGCGGTGCTCGATCACGATCCCATGAACAATCAGCAAAACTTGCTAAAGCAATGCCGAACCATCCACAATATCAATGGAGAACCTCCAGTCTCATATGAGACCTTCAGCTCTACATAACCGTATAGCTTAGTGAACAAAGATGTTATGTCTAATGATAACATGATTTTGTCATTCATATTCATATCTTTTTATTGTATTCACAAATTTAAATACACCTTTAACGCTATGCTTAATCAATTCTTGGTGTAATGGTTCTAATAGTTTCATCAACCATTTTACTGTCAAATGAAATGATGAATTTGACATGTCCAGAATTGAGAGTAAACGAACCCCTATGGTTAATGAATCTTATGTAAACCATAAAGTAATCTTATCTTTATTTACTACTGAATAGATGAAATGTATTTAGTCACATATAAAAGACGAATAACTTACAATGTTTTATGTTCATAATTATAACGTACATACTCAGGATCTTTCATTTGGTAACCTAGATAGTATTAAGATTCTGAATTAAATAATCATAGTTAATAATAATAAATATTGAATCAATATATAATTCAGTAGTATCAGTCAGTCAGTCAGCTACAACGTTGGAATAGGCACATATGGTTTACTTGAAACTTCTCATTGTTCTTTAGGACTACAATTGATCAGTCTCTTGTTGGTATATGTGCATCCTGTGAGAATTGCCTCGATATAGCCTTAAGTCACAAGCTTCTTAAGCAAAGATGGATGGTGGTGGCTAGCAATGGAATCCAGTTTGACGCACGTTTCATCCTATTTAGGACACGTCAGTTAGATGTGCCTGAATCTCCGTGTTTATATTGGAATCATAGAGTGAACATCAACTCTGAGATGCATTTACATCCAGCTGACGAATCCTAAATAGAACGAAATGCAAATTCTCAATCTCACTGTTAACAACTATCCATCTTTGTTGATAAGTAAATCAAGATTATAATTTCAATACAAATCAATCATTTATATACGCTTGTTCAATTATAAGTAGATCCCCTGAAAAATACATTTGGTTAGACAAGGATATAATAGATCTTCGATGAATATGCATTGAGCATATTGACCATAAACTATCATCATTTGAATCATTAGATCAATTTTTTTTAAAAAAGTAGGAAGTTTTCGTCTATCATTGAAATACTATTTATGTTAGACTATAGTGTTGGTTGCTATGCCAAACCCATAGAGTTTATTCTAGTTTCTGGACAAACCAATTTATTTATTCATTTCAAGCTGTATTTTGACCTTGTTAATTAATTTACTTACCAACCTTAACTGGGTTTTTTTCATGTAAGTGTATGTATGTGTGTGTGTGTGTATGTGCATTTTATATCTTACTCATCATATGTTTGTAACTTATTTCTGTTCGGTTATAAATATCGATTAATGCTTAGTTATAAATCGAGTTGATTTACATGCCTTCTCTACTGCGGATTATTTCACTTCACTCTTTTCTCTTGGCTTTTTTCACCATGTTTCTTTGATCATTCGTCTGGATCAACGATTGAATGAAATACACATATTCGAATTCTATTCTTATATTTGACTTATTTCATTCTGTTATTCACTAACTCAATTTAAATCGATGCTTATGTACAACGGTTTCAATACAAATGTCAAGACAGTTCTACTTGTATGAGGCGGAAACCTGGAGAACTACGAAAGCCATCATCCATAAGATACAGGTGTTTATTAACAGTTGTCTACGCAAAATACTTCGGATCCGTTGGTCGGACACTATTAGCAACAACCAACTGTGGGAAAGAATAAACCAGATTCCAGCAGAGGAAGAAATTAGGGAGAAGCGCTGGAAGTGGATAGGACACACATTGAGGAAAGCACCCAACTGCGTCACAAGACAAGCCCTCACATGGAATCCTGAAGGCCAAAGGAGGAGAGGAAGACCAAAGAACACATTACGCCGGGAAATGGAGATAGACATGAGAAAAATGAACAAGAATTGGATGGAACTAGAAAAGAAGGCCCAGGATAGAGTGAATGGGTTGGAGAATGCTGGTCAGCGGCCTATGCTCCATTAGGAGTAACAGGAGTAAGGAAGTAAGTAAGTTATATACAACGGTAGCTATGATGTATATTTCTATAACTCAATAACAATCATTCGTACAATTCAACTGGAGTCCGATATTACAGGGTTACGAATAGGCATAAAATCTTATATTGAATAAAATCAAGTAAAGTACCATGCACTACATCATTTTACATACTTTTTGTACTCGTAATATACATTTGTTATTACTAAGATTACTATTAATATTATTTTAATGATAACTGGTTGCATAATGGTTAACCCCATACATTTTAACTACCTATTCGTCATTACATATGATGAAGTGAACATTTGATTTATAATGTATAAATAACTCAAAATTGTTGTAGTGTATATGCTACTTATGTCGGCAGACATATGAAGTAATCAATGTATGATTCTTATATTTCATCAAGAGATTCTGTTATTTTGTATTAAACAATAAATTATTTGTCCTCATCTGTGTGTTCGTTCGTTATATTTTATAACGTTACCAAAGGGAAGCCTAGAAGAGTGTAGTTCTTCGGACGCTGTTGGCGGCCTAAGAGAGGAGGCACTAGTTGGGGTTGTCAGTTTCGGGGGAGTGACGTCGGATAGAGTGTTCTGGAGGAGCGGCGTTGGCTGTCACGGTTTCTGTCAACAGAGAACAGCAGTAGAACATGTGGCTGTTGGGCGGACATCAGGTCTAGATAACCCGGCTAGTCGACATTGCTACAGAATTCAGCGCGCCGACGGACTCCACATTTTGACGGAGAACATAGCACAGACTTTGGCAAAAAAGAAAATGGCACAGCGAGTAGAACTATCACAAGAAAAACTATTGAAAAGGGAAAATTAATGTGATGTTTGCTACTTAAGCCAACAGACATATGAAGTAGTCAATGTATGATTTTTATATTTTACAGAGAGATTCTGTTATTTATGATTTTAACATCAATTATTAAAAATACTTCGAAAGTAGATAAGTGAAATACAACTAACCTTTCTTAGTTAATTCAATTACTATATTTGCCATTATTTCAGCTTTAATAGCGGCTACTTCAGTCTCTTCTGAATCAATTTCCAATACTGTAAACAAATAATAAAAAAGAATGCATTTTTTTGGGGGGTTGGTTGGTTGGAAGAGGGGTATTCATCTACAGTTATACAAAGATTTCCTTTAATAAATTCCTTTCAGTTGAATAGGTTAAAGTTTTCATACCAGTAAAATACAGAAAAGAAACGCCGTTAATCATTAATGATCAGTCACAATTTGAGTTTTCAAGAGAAACTATCATGATATATGTAAGAAGAAATTATCATAATTCCTACTTTTTGAAGTTTCAGCGGTAAGACTATAATTGATGGATGAATCAATCAGATTAACGAGAATAGGTCTTGGATTTTGGCACGACATTCATTTAACTATTTGGCTTAATTGCGTTTTGGTATTTTGGCTGATATCATTTCGTAATAAAAACCATCAACTAAAAATCATAATCTTAATTCCTTACACTGGTTTATAACTGGTATTTAGCTCTAGTAACAAGGTGAACATTGTAAAAATCACTTTACCATTGCTCAAATGTCATTCAGCAAACTATAGTCTCACTGTTTTTGTGAATGAAGATGTCTAAAAGAATAATGAAACCTTTATGAATACATCATGCTACATTTATAAAACAATATATGTAAAGTATTATATAGCTGTATTATTCATAAGATGTTTGTGTATATTTCAAATACGGTATAAAAGGATACAATATTTACTTGTATTTTCCAATTGTTGTATAGGACTGCAATTGATCAGTCTCATGCTGGCATGTGTACATCCTATTCGGATTGCCTCGATATAGCCTTAAGTCACAAGCTTTATAAGTAAACATGGATGGTGGTGACTAGCAGTGGAATCCAGTTTGACATGCGTTTTATCTTATTTGCGACTTGTCAGCTGAACGTACCTACATCCAAGAGTTGATGTTCACTCTCGTACTCGAACCCAGTATCGTTCGATTCAAACATCATCGGATTACCTACTTAGTTACTCAGTCCGGATAGTCACCTACTTGCTCAAACAGCTTGATAACCAGGGCCATCTCAATGGTAAATGCTCTAAAAAAGTATTTTAACAGACTAGATCGAGACACATTGGACAGTACTCGCTCTATCGATTTGAATCCATCTCAAATAAGCTCAGTAATAGTTGACTTACATGGATCAGATCAAAGGAAAAAAGACCGATTTCAAAGAGATCTGTCCTAAATAAAAACTCAAGAAAGGAAGTTTCCTCTGTCTACAATATTTGTTTAGTTATTAAGCTTTTCATTTACTAAAATTACTAAAACCAATGAAATAAACTTTAGTTATTCAATTGTAAAGATAAGCTTGTCAAAACTAGACATTCTCTATATCTGTTATGAATGTATGATGAATGGAAATTATGGAGTTCATTTCGTAAAAATAGGTCCGTTGGTTATTCTTTGAAAAGATTGACCCTTAAGAAATCATCTGGAAACATGGGTCAATGAGGAATAAAGTAAAAAAAATGTGTGAAACTATCTATCATACAGATTCCAGTTAACCATGACCATTTTTTATCTAGATCTCTCTGCAAATGCTTATCTTGTAGACCACTAAGCAAAACTTCAATGGTAGATATGTCCAACTTTAATCACTTATATTGCGCGACCATCTCCGATTGTCTCCAGTTGGTACCTTTCTCATACCTGACATGGTTGAACTTCACTCGTCACAGCTTCTTACTAAAACAATGGAAGTTTCCTCACGAAACCAGTAGCTAGTGAGCACATGATAACTATCTATATGTCGATCGTTGAATCTTGTTGAGATCATGAACCAACTGAAATTAGGCATTCATTGAAAATCAGTAAGAACTGAACTGCTCAAGAGTCTCTTACTACAACACAAATAATATCGGTTCGTAATCGCAATAACAGTCTACAATCTACACAATCCTCACACTGGTACTGATTGACACAAACCGAATTCCACAATTCCCATTGATAATACTCAAGCATACGACTAATATATAAACTTGTTCATCACATTCATTATTCTCAATTAAGGCAAGAATAGAATTTGTACGCGAATGATCGGCGAGACTCTAATTTATGGACGACCTTTGAACGAATCTTAAGGGACCTTGAGAAATATTAGCCGATCAACAAACAGTATAGAGTAAAAATATATTATACAAAACCAAAGAAATAGAGTGGATACATTTCTTTTAAGTAGTTCAAAAACTTGTTAAGGTTAGAATAAAGGTACAGAGGTTCTAAAATCGTAATGAATACAGTAGAGGAAATCATCCATATGGCTACATATTAGTCGACCTCTGGAGCCATGATAAAGTCGCAAAAACTCTTTCACCCTCGACCACATAACTTCAATATTGTTTATGTGCACTCCGGTTGTTAAGTGCACAAAATGCCACTTGTGAATAACGACACGATGCACATAACCAAGCCTATGTAGGAGTGCGTATGCTCTCCAATCATCCGTATATATTGTAGTACCTAGCTGCAGCCAGCGTTACTGGTGCTTTTATTATCCAGTTCTCAATAATTGTCATAAGTTGCCTTAGTTAGAAATTATATATGGGGTTTTCATCACGAACTGACATCAACTATAATGCCAGAAATTTATTTAGCCAAATAGATGGAAGGCTTTCGCGTTAAAATTTGAGACCCATTATCTCATACTTGATTGATTCGTCCACAAATTATAATCTCACCGTTCTATTTGTTATGGCCGTTCAATTATCACGTTTTGTACAAAATTCCCTGTGGACCGACCGTACGTTAGCATTAAGCACTGAAATTGGTGCCGTAACCTTGAAATTTCTAAAACGCCTTTGATTGGCTCGTCCATAAATTAGAGTCTGGCCGAATGATCTTTTAATATTCATACCTATGACTACTGTTCTAAAGCTTTCAAAAAGACAGTTGCCAAAAATAACTTTAAAGATGACATAATATATCTTCAGTTTAATTCTACAATTTATTATTCTAACTTCCATTATGAT